ATGGAGAGAGCATTGGTGCCCTATAGGGAGCTATCATCTGAGGTAGTTGGATCCTTGAGCCCTTTAAGTATAGTTGGTTTCTCGCTACGTTTACGCTTACTAAGACATCGAATGTCAGCATCACAGTCATCTGAGGCGTCCTGAGCCGACCGTGGATGGGCCGTGGCTGTGCACGATCCTCATTGAGCACACCTCAGATTTTCCCTTTTGGATCCCTTTGGACATCTGGACTCAAGCAACCTTACCCATACACTCCATGGGACTGCCATAGGACTGCCGCCCCATTGACCCCCAAAACCACCCCAAAGTAGGCATATATGGCATACATGGAGCGTCTGGGTTATAAAGCAAGTGGATTGAAGCGACTCCGGGCCCCCGCGCCCCGCGGCTTGGCTCCAGCTTGGTCCGCGGGGGGGCGTTGGTTCCACACGCCTCGAGGCCAGGAAAGACGCTCGACGCCGACGTGACGAGCACGACGTGCAAATCCCGAGGGGAGCAGAACCCTGCAGCAATTGGTCCCAGAAGAATGACCTGTCTTGGAGTGACATTTTTATGACTCCCGATCTGTTGCTCCAGGTTGAAAAAGGGGTCACTTGAAAAGGGGGTTGAAAAGGGGTCAGGTTGAGATGGAATGTTTGAAAATAGTGCTGCAAGAGAATGCAACTTCAGGACCTTTGGGATGTTCCTTTCTTTTTCCAGCTGTTCTTGCCACGACTTTTTCGACCCTTGCTGGTCCTTCGTGTGTTGCATGTTTGGTATGCAATGTTTTTTCCTTTGAGAAGCCGATTTGTCATGGTGAAACTCAATCTGTGTGTGGCTAGCCAGCTTACAGGGATTTCCTTTGGTTTTGCAGTTTTATATATCCAGTTGTCACCTTTCAATTCAACAAGTTAGGACCAATGGCCGCTTGTCTCACTCAGACAAAGGTTGCTGTGGCAAAAACAAGAATCCATGTATTTATTTTATCTTGGGTGGCACCAATGCCAGCATGGAAGAACAAACCCTGCTGAAAGCCCATGTGCCTTGGCCCTGCTGAGTGCCCCTGCTGGTAGCTTTGGCAACAAAAGAGGATCACCCACAAGGACCTACCTCTTCAGGATTGGTATAAGTGACCAGTTCAAGACCTGTTCATGACCTCAGCCACTCGGATCTCAAAGCACGGTCACTAGGAAGGTCCTGGCATTTACCCTGTGTGCCGCTCAAGACGCCCCCGCAGGCCGCGGCAGCCACGCCATGAAGCTGAGACATCCCAACGGCGTGGCACACGTGCGGCTTTTGGCCACTTGGGGCTGAGAATGTGACATTTTCGCACGAACAGAAGAAGGTGGACCGGACAGGTTCAGTCGACAAACTTGAAAACATCACGGTATGGATCTTTACGCAAAAAAAGCAAGCAATATGGTGATCGATGTTTTGTTTCAGAGCCCATGCCAATTGTGCGGTCTAAGCATTGTTTTGGTATGGGGCCCAGTCCAGCAGTGGTCGTCCGGTGAGACGGGGGGGGACGGGGTGATACCTGAGACTGCCTGATACCTAGAGAGAATCTAGCGGCATTTTATATATCGCCATCATGACAAAGCACAGCTCTTTCCCTGAGCATCGAAATTTTGCCACTCACAGGAGTGTGTATAGAAGCTACTAGGTGGAGGGCTATCGCAAGTAGCTTGGAGGCCATCGCTCTTAGGTTGGAGGTTGGAGGCCATGGCGATTAGGTTGGAGGCCATCGCGCCTAGGTTAGGTCAAATGCTATGCAACTCGTCTTCATCGGTCTAGGGCGTGGTGCATCCAGGACCTTAGGCCATGCTATAGGCAGTTCTTGTTTAAATTGCTTGGCGCAACAGAAAAGGGAGGAAGCGGCTCGGCTCCATGCGGGCTGTGTTGGGATTTCTGCTTGGGGACGAGTTAAGGATGAAAAAGCATGTGGACCTTCGTTCCTGCTAACCTGCTATAGTATCTTATAGTCATCCTCCACGTCCACAATAATCCCCTCCACCTATTAAAAAAAAAAAACACGCCCCCCCCCCAATAATGAAAACTAAGTTTTTTGAATAGGCACTCGGGATTATTGATGGGATGTGATAGGACAGCGTTGATGTTCTTCAGCCCTTTGATCACTTGCAGCAAGAATCAGAAAGACACGTGCGCAGGATTCTGCATTCAATGAAAGGTTTCGTTTAAGGAACATCCACCGGACACCCTGGCTTACACCCCAAAAAGAACATCCCAAAAACATCTGGGGTTCCTGGAGATCTTCCAGCCTTAAGCCCGGGATGCATGGGTCATCATCTCCTAGTCAAACATGTACAAAACTTCCCCCCCAAACTTCGGCTCCACGGATCAGTTGTGAGCAACCATGAGCAACCCTGGGTCATCACTACTTCCATGCTCCCAGGTGAAAGCTCCCTGGAAGAGATATGTCGTGCCTTGGCCACCGGCGCTGTTTCACGACCGAATGGACGAACCTGGCACCTCTAAATTCGAGACTACTGCAGGCAGTGTGTCTTCTTGTAGAGTCCAGGATGCCCACGAAATCGTGCGAGAACGTCGACGAATTATCTATATAGTTGCAGTGATCAACTGCACTCCTAGAGTCATGCACCTTGCCCCCTTGCTTCTGGCACACGAAATCGGCCGACTGAGCGCTTGGAAAGGCTGACCGTCGACATCGGCCGACCCTTCACGAAAGCTCCGGGAACCGACCGAGGTGGCCGCTTTCTTCGTTGCCTACTACTCCATGTCGGTGAAGCTGTGGTCCGATACGGTCGCTTGGCTCAGGGTAGAAGCGGCTGGAGGGCTTCTTTTTCTCGACCAGTTGCACTGGGGTAGTGGACTTGTGGACTTGCATCAAGCGCACTTATATAATGTAGACCGCCCCTGGAGATGTACAACCATACAAACCCTTCTGGTATCAAGGTATCTCTTCACATCAGTCTTTGGCACACTGAGATCCGTTCGTTTGGTGCACCGCTGGTCTCCAGCTCCCAGCGCTCGCGCTCAAATGAGGTTGGTCAGCCACACCAGTGGGCGCTCGAGGAGCAGAAGCGGCTCATTAAAGAAAAGGCCGAAGCCGCCAAGGCGCTCTCAGCAGCGGTTGGCTGCTGTGGATGGGCCTCGCCGGCCGGTGGATGAGTAGCGAAGGGGAGAGTGAGAGTGGTTGCTGCTGGCCGTGGGTTGATCAGTATAGAGGAGATATGAGGAGATATACCTGGTTCTTCGATTCTTCAAAGTGACCTTTTGATACCTGGTTGGTTCGGTCACTTAAGCCTCCTGTTCGGGTCTCTTAGGTACCTTCAAAAGGTCACGGACTGAAGAAGCGGACTGAATAGATTCATAAAATATGGACAATCAATCCGCGCATGGGACCGGAAGGTTTTACCTACTTGCCAAGTAGATCCTCAAAACAGCTTCGACCTATGGCATCCTTGACCTGGTTGCCATAGGGTTGCCCTACATGGATTGTTTGGGGACCCTTTGAGCCACAGCTTTGACCAACTGCAAGGAGTCTTGATGGATTCATGGAGGGTGCCGAAGTGAACAAGCCATATTGGTATATAATAATATATGGTACCTGGATGTACCTGGCATCAACCTGGATGTACCTGGCATCAACCCGGATGTACCTGACATCAACCTCTCTACGTGCCCCAAAAGGACATCATTGGGTACAGCCTGGGAGCTGTGAGGTGTTGGCAGTGTTTGTTTGGCCTGGGGAGGGCTGCAAGACCTGAGTAGCGAACCGCCCCTTTTGCTAAGCACCTTTTGGTGAGAGATGGTGAGAGTGAATGGCGAACCGCTGAAGAAGGAACCTCTAAATCTGGAAACTACTCCATGGTTGACTGGACCTTGGAACCACCTCAGAGGTGATCAATTTCAGCATCTTGTGGGAGTCAATTGGTCAGAAAGTGAGACATCACTTGGGCGTTCCAGATTCTATTCCATATACTTAATGCATGGAGTGCTCTTTTGTCAAGTTCGACAGGGTTCACGTCACATATCGTGGCCAAACAACCCGCAAGTCCACATTACACATGTCCTCGCAGTGCATCCACTAGCACATATGCAGGAGAAAGGTCTCTCCTTCACCAGTGGGCAACAGGATCGCAAGGAGTGACGAGTTTCTGGCGGAGAGCGGTCGTTCATATTCAGTTGGGTTGTTGAGTAGTGAGTCCGCTGTTAGAGTTGATTGGCCTAACCGAGTAGCAGCATAGTAGCATTGAGATTGGAATGACAGAGTATTTATAGCATTGCATTGGCTAGTAGGTGAATGGCATGACTGAGAAATAGCATGATCGGAAGTACTTGTTGATTGGTTTATTTCCTAGACGAGAGAGTGCTTGTAGCCTGGTAGCACAGAAACCGCAAAGTCGTCATGACACCAAGCTGACTGGTCCGGCTCTGAGCTACTAACCAACCGTGTCAGCAGTCGCTGCGTCCACCATATGCCAACACACGATTTCGGATGCGCTGAGAAGGTACGCAAGTTACATCCCTAAAGATCAACATGCAATCACCCAACAACAAAAACAAGCAACAACAACAAAACACGTGCATGAAATCCAGGGTTCTTGAGATCCACGTTCCACGAAATTCTCCCATGGGCAGGGAAAGCTGCACCAATTCCATGCACAAGTTGTCATACATACATATATAGGTTTGGGGCAGCTTTTCAGGTCGCCATGAAGACTTTTCCAATCACAGGTCCCACCAATTTTTCAAGTCGCTCTGAGGCCATTCAGTCTAGGAAAGCACATTCCTCCGCGGGTCTTAACGGTTTTGCTCATGGAATTCCATAAATTTCTGCGTTCGCTCCTGCGATTTGGAGACAGCGACGGGATTTATGCCTCCCGGGTATTCATGTTCCCCACATGACACCGCTGAGCTGAAACTCGGAGGGGCGACCCCGGACAGCCGTTCCCCAAGTCCTTCGTCGTTTCATTCTTGACCTGCATGGTGCTTAAAGGCTCCAAACATGAGTAAAACCGTGGTTGTTCGGCGATGAACGACTGCCCTTGAATCGGGTCACCCTGGTCACCAGCGGGTTTCCGCGCGCGGGCGTTGAAACGCCCCTCCCAGCCTCCGACTCGCCATGCCGCGCTCCTGGAAGAGTTCGGACTACATCTGTCCGGGATGCAAGACGCTCGGCCTGGCTGAAAGATACGGGTGAGAATGGAAGATGGGAATGGAGGCGAAGATGCAAAGCTATAGGAATTTCGAAGACACGTCTTCATTCCAGGATCATCCAATGGATGTTGAGGTCTACAAGCAGTGGGCTGGGTAGTCTATTGGACTCATTGGTGTGTTTTGCATTTTTCTTTTAAGACTCTGGGCCCTTCAATGGGAAGGGGTGGGTCTATGGGGTCCGGACTCCTATGGAGGGTGTGAGGGCCCAAGGATTCTGAGTGATGAGAGGTAGTTGCGTTGTTTGGTCCTGAAGGGGAAGGTGGACATTTTCACATGTTACATTCCTTTCCCCTGGCTCTCTGTCGGATTCCCCTTTCCCCTGGCCAGTCGCTTTCTGTTGCGTTTCCATGTGTTCTGGCCAGTCTCTTCATGTGTTCTGTCGGAATCATTTTTTTCGCACAGAGAAACACGAGTCTGGTCGCGGAGGAGTTCTTTTGGTCCTTCACTTCTCCTCCTCATTCTCAGGAACTGGAACTTGGGAAAGAACATGAACTGCATGACCTGCGCCTTGGGACAAATTACGGAATGGATGCTTTCCATTCCAGACGCTCCATGGGACTGGCATATTGACCGCCCCATTGACCCCTTTTCATCAACCACCCCTGTATGGATTCATATGCCGGTCCCCATGTGTCGGTCGTGTTTGGGGGGAACTTTTAGAAGGTTAGATGGTGGAACCAAGAGGTGAGACCCTTTGTGACTCCTGGTGCCTGGGAAAGACTTTTGAGTTTTCTCCCGGTTCCGAAGCAAAACCATGTGTCCACCTGCCACGACACGTGGGGTTGGGCAAGAAGCCTAGTTAGATTGACTGGCCGCCAGTGGGGCCAGTGATTCAAGCAGCAGCTTTGCACACCTGAAGCGAAAGCCCCAAAATACAATGGTGCATTCTACATCCTACCCAGGAAATGTGGATAACCTGCAACACCTTTTTGGGGGCCCGGCCCGGCCCACAAATAATGACCAGATGGACAGATTGGTTATAACCTATTTTCTTACAAGGGAAACTGCGGGACTCAGCTATATACTAGACCCCCGAACTCGCCCCGATCGGCAGGGTAGACTGATCAATTTCCAGTTGCCTGGATTCGTCGTTGCCTGGGAGGTCTACCCTCCTTGTGGTCCAAGTACCCCTCCAAGCCTACATACTTGGATCCCTAGAAACCTATCTTATTACTATACACCAAACACCGCGACTACCACCACCTTGCAGAGGAAAATGGTCTTCCAAGGTGCCATGTTTGATTCCAAGAGTGTAGGTGTCGCAACCATCTCATGAACAAACTCTTAGGGACGTCGACTTGTGGATCACGACTACCTCCACCCGGAGTGGAGAATGTAATTCATTGGTCTAACCTGCGCAGGTAATCACCCCAAGCCTACCATCAACACCATGGGTGAGCGAGCGCATGATGCTTGGCAGCACGGTGTTTGTTTGTCCTTCGCACGCCCCGAGCTTCGTGCCCCCACACCATATACCCTAGGCTTCCAACAACCATTAATTTAATCGGCTTTACCGAATCAACAAAGGATTGTTTCACTACAAAAAAACAGTTCAACCATTTTTTAATGGTCTGGGAAGTCTAGGGTATAAGAACATGTACTAGACTTGTACTCATTTTCTGAGGTACGTACTGAGGATGCCCCAGAGTGCCGGTTGATTTGTCACCAGAGTAGGACAGTTCTTTGGCATGTGGCGCTGATTTTCCCTGTGATGACAAGCAAAGCGGCAAAATCTATAGTGGTATATCCCAGACACTCCATGTACGGCATATGAATCCATACAAGCAGGGGTGGTGGTTGAGGGCACAGGGGTCAATGGGGCGGTCCTCCTATGCCAGTCCCATGTGTCGCGTCTGGGACTCAAGTGCCCAAGTGTGCACTTTGAAGGGCCCAGTTGGGAGACCTAGGGTAAAAACACTGGTGTCAATACTCCAGTCAATGCCAACCAGCACTAATTAACGCTACATAGCCATACATAGCCGCTGCAGGGTGGAAGGCACTTGATACCCCTTTTGATGTTTGATGGTAACCATGAAATCCTTTAGCAGTTGTTTCATGTCCCAAGCCAGTCAGTACTTGTGCTTTCACCTTCTTTGGAAGGGGTTGGTGGGTTGGTGTCCGAAGCTCAGACCTACCCAGTCAGTGGTTAACCTGCATGTTCTGAAGACCAGCATTTTCTCCACCTGGTCTTGCTCAGCATGATGTGTATTTGGCCTAATAGTATGGTGAATCCATGTCGTGAATCCCCTCACCTGGGACATCTCCCTAGAAGTCCAAAGACTATATGTTGACCGGCTGAAGTAAAGGAAGTTCCCTTTCAGTTCCCCTAAAGACAATTCTTTTTATAGTCTTTGACTCCCAGGGATCTGTTTGGACCCAAACCTCCGGGTTCGACCACACATCCAGGTCCCGAGGGGGACCCTGGAAGTGGTCCGAGGTCGGAGTCAGTGAGGTGGTCTAGACGTCGACTCTGAGGACTTCTACCCCTTAGCGGGTCAGAAGATGTACTGCAACGGTCAGAAGAACTGCCCCGAGTGCCACGCCATCGTTCACATCAGCCATTCAGAATGCCACTGGGGACGAATTCGGTGCGCAAAAGAAAAGGGTCATGAAAGGCCCCCGGTTCTTCAAAAGGACTGAGCTTCATAGTCGGCTTTGGGGTCACAGATCTGTCAAAGGTCATTGGAAGGGATGGCCTTAGATCATCCATGGGACTGGAATAGTTATAGTACGTATGTTACAGCTTTATATCTACATTAGAGTCATTTCATTGGGTACCAACGCTTCCAGTGTTTGCAGGCTCTTTGACACCGTGCTCCGAAATCCTCCAGTTCATGCCCTGGAAGATGACAAATATATATTCAGATTTTGTGCAGACTCACACAGAGGCACAACTGCTGGACCCCATGCTCCAAGACGTTTCGAGAGTACAAGCTGGCAAAACGGGGCACTCCAGATGCGCCCGGAGGGCTTGCGCCGTTAATCCATGAAAGGTCTCTCAACGTGCCAAGGCCTGGCATGTCGGGATCGAAAGCAGAACATGCGTGCCATCAACACGTGTCTTGGAGCCACGCCTTTTGGCACGGGTGCTTCGGCTTGCCTGGTGAATGACCTGCTTCTATATATAGTGGATTGAGAGTAGATGGCACAGACCCCACGAGGTGGTTTATATGGACCCCCATCTAAAGGACATCTTGGGGTCTGTGCCATGTACTCTGAAACCACTATTGGCAGGACAGTAGTCAAGAATAGGACAAGTAAGTAGCTGACCTACCGGGTCAGTGGATAACCTTTGAATGGTCTTTTTCCACTCAAAAGCCAACAGGTGGAAAAGCGGCAGTCAGCTGAGTCCAGTCACCGGGTGGTTTCGATATTGTTGTTTTCTACATTTACTTGCATTGTGGCACCATTTCTTTAAACCTTTTACAGTACTTGGGCTGTGGTCTCGTTACGTTCATCCTTTACTTGGATTGTGGCAACGTGTTTTTTTTCTTTGAATGTTTTTCAACATTATATTGTTCGATATGTTCAAAGTAGTGTTTGCTTGATCCCATTTTTCACCATGGTTTCCCACCATTCCCTGGTCTTGCCTAGCCTAGGGGGATCTTTCTCTTCCTGATGTCCTGGGTTCCTGGTCCGCTTTGGCATCCCCCACCACGGCCCAATCCCAAGGCATCAGGCCTGCGTGGTCACCACGGCCACCGGCAGCAAGGATGCCATGCGATCGGAGACTGGGTCGATGCGAACGTCGCGAACGCGTGAGGAACACGAGACATGGTTTTTCCACCTCCAGTCTGACAGCGGTTTTGGGTTGTGCGGATCAGGTGATGTGGTGTGTTTTCCTTTTCCTGGGTCAATCCCCAACCACCTGGGGAATATGTTTGCTCCCGGCTCCTGGACAGCAAATCCAAGGCTTGGTTTAGTTGGTTGATCTCATTCGGGATCATTCGGGCATGTCCATCCTTGCAAACGGCCGACCGCAATGGACCAAGTAGGACAACATAGGCTAGTCACCAGCCTGGATTTGATCACGTCTTTCACTTGAGAACGGGTTGCAACCTAACCATTATAATTGTCATCATCCACTGGGCCCAGGGAATGGGATATACCGTGGGATATACTATTATACCCAATATGCCTAATGTATAGGACGTGAACATAATGCTATATTTATGTTTAAATGTTTGGTAGGATGTTCCCCCCAAAAGATGGACCATATATAGAAATGCTGAGCTTTTTAGGAGGGCGAAAGCTAGGGTATATAGTTGAAAATGTGCCAGACATGTCCATCGCAGCACGGCGGTCAGAGTTTGCCATGGTCGTTTCAGTTGTTTCCCTACTTATGTTGGCAAAGCCCTACAGTAGTATAAGGCAGTATCCTTTTCCAAGTTGAGCTTTGCTTTCGGCGCTCTTGGCTTGTCCTGTCAAAGTCCAAACCTGAGCAAGTGGCTCCCGCAAGGATCAACCCACATCCATTTCAGGTAACAAAAAGCAATTTTGTTTAAGCACTGCAAGTGACTTCCAACTAGAACAGCACTAAGAGAGTCCAAAGTACATCCCCTTTCAACCAGTGATCACATGTTCTCTTTGTTCAATCCATTTGGATCCACGTCGACGGTTTTTTGGCGTGACCCGTCCCGACCCAACTCTCTACCCGACGACCATCCGAGACCACGGTCGGACTCCTCCATCCCCTGAGGACAGCATTCACGCGATCATGGCTCCGGACGCCTGGGCGCACCGGGCCCGCGGGGGCGCACCGGGTCCGAAGGGGGGTCGATGGGGTCGGTGACCGGGACCGGGAAGACCCCTGCAGTAGCCAACTGCATGGGGATCGTTTAGATAGGGTTCTTCAACCTTTGCTGGTCATCAGTAACTGCTAGTGACCAGTCAGATGTCGCTGCTATTGTTGGGAGAGGTTCTAGGGTTCTGGGGGGTGGGCTGGGGGGGGGAGATCAGTGATACTCCCATGACCAGTTGGCTTTCACTTCTTCCCTTTCCACAAACAGCTCCCTTGGTTGCCACATGGAAGTGTTTGTTGAAAAAACAATCGGGAGCCAGGGACTAGACTCTGGGAGGAGGGCAAGGGCAAGTGAGACACAGTGATGGAAATGGTGAAACCATGTGAGACCCGTGTCTATAAGAAAATCCTGCAAAGCATGTTGAGTTTGTTGCCCTCACAATCCCTTTGAGTCAAGATCATGATTTGGGTGTATGACCTCCCAGTTCACCCCCCTGGAAGAATAGACCACTGGGTTCTTCCTCTCCCTATAAAAATATATAAAAATGCATTCCCATTGATGCCATCATGAATCCACCACCGGCGGGGCAGACGATCAGAGCCTGTCTCAGACGATCGAATGAGACAAGACGAGCCACTGCTGAGACGAAGATGTCCGACTGGGGTTGGAAGTGGAGTTGGACTGCCATAGGACTGCCGATCAGTTGGGGTGGTTTGGGGGGTCAATTGATCGGCATATATGGCAGTCCCATGGAGTGTCTGGGACTGGTAGTAGAGCAAGATGCTGTTTGTTCCACTTGCATGTTCGTGAGTAGATGGTACAAGCAGGGTCCTTTGCACATGGCCATTCTCGAGTTCAAGGACTCACTGAACACTTGAATCTTCACCTTGCTAGTAGCTTGAATTCCGGATTCCAATGCCATCAACTGCCACACGTGGTTTCTGGAATAGACTCTATAAGGCCAGGTCAATTGAGTTACACCCGGGAAGACGATCCCATGGACCCTGAGTACACCACTGGTTGGTACTGTATTCGGAAAACACTCGGACCCAGGGAGCCAGGACGTCAGTGTAACTATACCATTGGTATGACCATCCATATAGCCATAAACTTCTTTATATAACTCCCAGGTCAATTGAGCTATAGGACCTGGAGCCTCCGTGGGCCAAGGAAAACCTGGCAAAGGCTGCCCCAAAGCCCAAGACTGCGGTCGACGCCCTCGAGGAATACGACTGGCGTGTTTCCAACTGGTGGGGGGGAAGTTGGGGTGCAGTTCTAACCATTTTGAAGCGTTTATTAACATATAGGCAGGGTGTCATATAGGCAAAGACCTTCAGCTTCACGGCTAAAAGAAGTGCATAGAGTGTCATAAAATGTTAGGTTTGTATATATTCATGTGATATGTGTAGATTGTAGGGTGGAAAACATCCTGAAGTGTTTATATGGGGTGTGTCGTGGACAATCATTGGGCAGATATTTCCGGCATCCTGCATAATCTCACACCGAGACCCATCGAGTTCACGAATTGATGCTTCAAGGTGTGACAGAGCTTTGGAGAGCATCACAACATCTATACTTGTAAGTGTAAGTTAAACTTCTAAGAGCAGGTGTCAGACGGCGCTGGCATTTGGGGATGTCATGCGTTTTGGTTTAGGGAGAGGTGCCAGGGACCACCACTATGTTGTGAAAAGGAACGTTGGTACAGATTTCCTCGAGGGGCACATGGAGACCCATTGACTTAACTACTAACGCAACAACCATTCCCAGACACTCCATGTATGCCATATATGCCGCCCCATTGATCCCCCTGGCACCACCCCAACTGATCGGCATATATGGCAGTCCCATGGAGTGTTTGGGATTGTTGAACCAAGCTTTGCACTTCGCAGCTTCGTCCAACGAACGTCCGGCGACGCGACCACCCGGGAGACAGGGTTCGGCGACCGACTTGGAGGTATCCCGACCGAGTCTCTCCGAAGTGACCGTGTAACGGTCCGTGGACATGTCGGCCTGCAGCCTAACCATCATCATCATGCCCTGGCAATAGGGTAGACCCAAGCACTATGCTCAATGTGTTGGTTTTCACGACCAGGGGACTGGAGTAACAGGTCAGGCTGGACCCCTTCGACTGCGACACTTGTACTGGTAATGCAAGTAGGATAGAGAGATAGACCTGGTTTTGCAGGTGATGTTTTTCCCCTTATGGCTGAATCATGTTAAAATCTCCTTTCGGTGAGTCTTTTGTATTTTGTTCCAGGTTCTTTATCCCCTAGGGCCCTCAGGGTCCACAGCCACCTTCTCAGGCTCGGTATGACTGGGCCGAGGTCCCCTGGCGCCTACATCAAGAGTCTCCAATCACCTCAGGTTCGCTCTGCGTAGCTGGAACCAAAAGTCTAAGTTGTCAGGTGTCCCAGTTCTACAGGGAGTTCTACAGGGACCCTCCCGATACTGGGACGGACGGCCGTACCGGTCAAGCACCGGTCGTCTCGCAGGACAAGTATCGAGGTCTCGACCCCTTGGCCATCATCGACGACCTCGAGAGGCTGGGCAGTGGCTCCCGGTGTCAGAAAGACAAGTAGCAACAGTGCCAGAAAACATCATACATTGCATGTATTACTGTATAAATATTCATGTGTTGCAGGAACATAGATGTTACTTTCCTAATGCTATTGCTGCTTTGATTTCAACTACTGATGAGATGAGAGCCAAAAAGTGTATGCCCAGTGTATGCCCCTATAGCGTAAGGCACCGTTATTTGGCTTTCTCACACTCTTCACATGTGCCGCATGAAAACACTGTGTGGCCGAGCTTCAGGGTGAAGGCGGGCGAGGGCAAGACCATCGACGCAATGGAGGAGAAGAGGCGGATCTTGGAAGAGCAAGAGAAAGAGAAGGAGCCACAGAAGTCGCGGCTTGGGAAGCCACCAAAGCGGCTTGGGAAGCCACCAAAGTCGCTTGGGAAGCCTGCCCAGCATCATGCGCATCATGCGCAGGATGCTTCAGTGTTTTTCAGAGGGAAAGTGGCTTGACCTTGAATAGGTGAGTGTGACAGAATGTGAGGGAAGCCTTGTCCTTGTTGACTTGAGTACTTTAGCAGCCGAGTTCAGCGGCTCAACACCGGTGCTTCGGGTCCAATGTCCTGTATTTTCTGGGTACATGAGGGTTGTGGAACCCCTTCTGGAAAGGAGATGCTAGTTGCTGCAACATTGAAGTCTAAGGGATATCGTTGGATCATGAAGAGAGATGTGCCACAGACAATCCCTTGCACAACAACCTGGTTTTGCTATGTTTTGCTGATCAGGTGATTGTTGTACATGTTGTACTTTCCCTATGGTTAAATCGCCAACCTGAGGCATATTTGGGTCCAGGCTTCCTGGACCACATCCAAGACGACCAGCATCTTAAGACCGGTTGGCTCGATTCACAGCGACCTTATCGCCACGCCCTCGACGGTGCCCTCGACTGTTAGCTTGAAAGGAGCGGGAGAAGGAAAGGGAACGCCAGCGACAAGAGCAGGAGGAGGAGAATAAGAAAAGTCTTGAAGTGGCCAAGCATTTTGGCTTTCAACATGGCGAGAGAGTTGGTTTCTCTTCAAAACATTTGATAGGGAGCTCTTGAGTTCAGTATAAAATCAGTATAAAATTCTACCTGCTACATGGTGCGTCCTGTTGACCACTGCCAGTACCACATGCAGTATTTTGGTCCCCAGAGGTCCTCAGTAAATAGAATTCGGGTTGTCCAAGATATTGCTTGGAGGCCCAGGAACATTGCAGGAATCCGTTTCTCGGATGTCCTGCAAGGTCCCCGAGGCGACGACCATTCTCTGAAAATACGAACTCACCTCCAAGGGCATCCGAAGTACGGATGTACCTGGACCCTACTGTATGATACTGTATGCCTGGTTTTGCTTAAGGGGATGATAGGAAATTCCCTCCTGGGGAATATTTTATTTTTTTCCAGGTGCCTTAAGCAAATCCAAGTCTAGAAGTTCACTCCATATTGTTTGGGGCTTCCATGACATCCTCGTTGCTGGAAGTCTTAGCTTGCAGCTCCGAGGCTGCAGGCAGAGGCCATGGAAGCCGACAGGAAGAGGAAGCGGGAGGCGCACTCGGACGGGCGGGCGGCGGTGCGGGTGGCTCGTCAGCTCATCAGTGGAGCTTTTGCCAAGCGCTCGCGGAAGATGGGATTGGACGAATTCCTGGTAAGTAGCAGTGCTGAAAAAGGCGGTCATATACCTTTTGCATGCGGAAATCATGTGGTGCCAGTGTCCTCAACCTCTATCCTTCAAACTCTATCCTTCCACAGATTGGTGCCACAGATCTGAAGCCCTTTCTTTGGCCAGGGTGCGATCTGAATCTTTCTCCGGCCTTTTGGCAAGGATTCGGCCGTACAGCTCCTTATTTCATCCATCCCATTTCGGCTCCTGTCACCCTCCTGTCCCATATCCGGAGGTGGGCACAGACCCCTCCGGCACCCACCCCAACCACCTTTGAAACGGAGGCGGTACTTTGAGCCCCAAACATCACCCAAAACGAGGACATTCGACGAACATATGCCCAGTACCTGGGCCGTTCACGTCACTGCCAGGCCGCCTCCGACCTCATCAGTGCCATGCTGGACGCCCAGCAGGCCGAAGAAAGCGCCGCTGACGTTCGCGGCGACGAATCTGGCGCGGACGGCCCGGCGGACACCGTGGAGGATGCGGAGAAACGGCGGAGGAAGCTGCTGGAACAGGCGGAGGAGCTGAAGAAGAAGCAGGAGGAGTGCTTTTGAGAGTGGATGAGAAGCTTTTTGGCTGCTTTTAAACTTCATATATATATATATATATATATATGCCTTTGGTCGTGTGTTGGGGGACCGCAGAATCTTAAATTGACTACTGTACATAATTATAGTACAATTATAATTGTAGGTGTTAAAATCACAAGGCGGCAGTTTTATGAACTAAGAGTCTACTTGATTGTTCCAGGCCGGACTTTGAAGAGCATGGCAAGTGCCACAAAAGCAACAGCTTGTTTTGGGGGTTAACCTGAAGTCTGAAGGAAACGAGGATGGCACGGCAGGATGTATCTCTCACCAGCCATCAAGCAGGCCATTTTGGGGAGGCCATTGGTCGGCGCTTGCACCCCCAACAACGGTTCTAATGGCTCCCTTGGGCTCATGCCCACAGCATTTGATGAAGTAGCCCAAGTGTAGATAGGTCAGCGAAGATGTGTATGATTAGAGAATATTGCTGCCATATATGTAGCCACATATGTAGATGGGATGGGTCACATATTTTTGCGTCATTCAGTTGGCATTTCATGTCACCACTTCCCCCCAGGAGATGAAGCAACGCCAAGCTGCAGAAGAGCAAGCGCGCCGTCAGCGCATGCGCGAGAGGCGGCAGCAGCGGAAGGCAGAGACGGCGGTGGTCTTAGACTGAAAAAAGGAAAGGTAGCTTCGTGCCTTGCACGGCGATGCGTGAAAGGAACATAAAAGGAACACGCACCAACCATTTGTTGGCGGAGACGTGTGGCAGGCCAGCATGGGTTTCAGGCAACTGATTTGCATTCACCTCTCACCAGAAGCGTGGATGTGTCGATGAGTTTGAGAAGTACTCATTGCTTAAGTGCCAGCCAGCCTTTGTTCCCCTACAATCCGAAGAGTTACCATGGATCAGTTTGGACAGACTCAGCCAGGGAGTGGACGAAAAAATCCGCCAGACGGCTGGCGGCCACGGCGGCCATGTCCTTTTTGATCGGAAAACACTTCATGTTTCGCCTCGGAGGTTCTGTGGCCCAAGTGACCAGGTGTTTGAAAGATCCCGATAAGTACAATACGAGATACCGATATACCTGTGTTTGCTCAATTCAGGTGGTTGTGGTTGTCAAGTTTTCCCTGTGGGCAAATCCGCTTCTGGAGAATATGTTGATTTTTGATTCTTCAAGCAAATCCAAGTATGATTCAGTATGATGTATTATAACGTATTATAATGTCAAGTACTAGAAAATGGGACATGACACAAACCCCAAACAGGTACAAACGTGCTCAATGGTGAACGGGTCGACTCCAGGTAATATAGGTATGCAGATGAACTATGGAACCACCAAAAACCAGGGTTGTCTAGGAAAATCGCCATCAGGTCCCTTGCGGGTCTCAAACACCGTTTCTCTTTCAGGCCATCTTACCTCGCATTCTCCGCGCTTCTCGGCCTGGCTAAGCCTTGGAGATCCACATAGTCAAGAGCAGTTTATCAGTTTATCCAAAGCATTCATAGATCATCCATGGATCATCTAGTCGAGGCATTCATGGATCCATCACGGATTTTCATGGCCCACATCGCACAGTCGGTTTTTGCGAACTCATGTACCAATGGCCTTTGGGTCATGCGAGTCATGGTGTGCACGAGGTGTTGGACGGATTCCTGGCCCGTTGATTGTTCAACAACCATGAACAAGCATTTGTTGCTTTGCTAAGGGTTTTTGACTACCAAAGCCGATCGACATGTTTAAGTGGTCTTGGACCAGGGTCACACTTCATCACTTCAACTTGCTACAGTTATAGCGGACATGCAGTGCCTGCAACAGGTAGCGGGAGCATTTGTTAGGATCTTTAGTGGGGTTACTTCTCATCACAAGCAAAGCAAGACAAAATGGTTTCCAGGAAGGCTCATGGGCTCCATCCTCGCCCCCCCACTCCTGGGCCAAAGGCCCCAAATCTATCTAAATCTGAGAACATCGCCAAAGGCTGCTTGCTCATTAAGATGAACATGTGAAGCCAGCCAGCCAGCCAGCCAGCTGACCAAGACGAAGCTGCCCAACATCCTCTCCAAGAGGACTCGGGAGAATCTCATCAGTAATCTTTCTTTCTAGCTGATGCTACCCCAATCCTCTCAACCTTTGTGTCCTCAGTGTAGTACTTAGTATTTAGGCAACTTGAAGCCTAGAAAACAACGTCAGCTACAACGCTCCCTTCCCTTGCTTCCCATGCCATGGACGCAGCCATCGAAGCTGCCCGCCGTGCCTCCGCCCATGCCATGCTCGCGCCCACGCGCCCGCACGGCCAGCGCGGTGGCCGGGCGGGCAGGAGTGTACCAGCGGCCGGTGCTCGTCGCGTGGCAGGTGTGAACGAAACGGCGAACGTTTGGGACCCTTCAACTCCGGGCTTTACTATTGGCTTTATAAATATCCATGTTTGGGATTAACTACAGTATTTATGAATCAAGAGTCTACAGTGGTGGTGCTCAGGTGTATTCAAGATATCCAAATTTTGAGAGGCTCCCAGCTGGGGTGTCCAATTAGATAGACCATGATAGACCACGGCAACTCTTGGAAGGTGCCTTGTTCCAGACGCAAAAGGTTTTTGCAACGGGACGCGTGGAACGCCGCACCCAGACGCGTGTCCCATGTCTGAGCGAAGGGCGTGTCCCATGACCTGCCACGATGAGAAAGGCCCTTGACGTGCCAGGATCATCCACTATAGCTTATACAGGGAATGGATTTTTTTCCGTGAGGCAATACTCATACAAATGGTCCATTGCTATACAGGGAATAGAACATGCATGGCATCTACGTGAGATATGCCATACATGCCGCGATTCCGACCGATCTGTGGGATGCCTTTGCCCAGGGACCGCACCGGTGCAGCGGGCGCGGGGTGGAGACCGCCGCTGGTCTCCGGAGGCATGGACCTGGGGGGCGGGACGGGGGAGGTGTACCTGCAGTGCTCCCTGTTCGGGTTCTCGGAGCAATTGCACAGGGGTTGGACTGATGGTGCCATGCAACCCAAAGCAGACTGATTTCAGATGGTTTCAGGGTGCTTGTAGATGAGGCGTCCCCATGGGTCCTCCCCCAAAAGACATCAAAGCACCACCCGACTTCATTAGGGACAAATAGGGACGATTACTCTCTACTCTCTACTCGCGCTATGGTGGGAATGAACTCATGACCGGGATGGAAGCATATGGAAGAATCAAAATTGGTTGGATGGGCTACGGCAGTGCTGGATGGGATAGAAGTTTATCAGCCTTTCTGAGGCCAAGAACCCGGTCTTGTCATGGGCAGGGGTAGAAGTTTCACCAGCCTAGGGCAAAGAATTGAACAAGTCCGCATGGAAGGTGAGAAAAAAGACCTGAGATATCAACCATTTTGTGATCTTGGGCGGAGCCGAATTGTGAAAAGATGCGGACGTCAACGAGGGAAGATAGGCAAGATGGTGGCATAAGTGGAACACCTCCAGACACAACCTCTATACCTGGTATGCTCTTAATCCATTTGAATCCTATTTACTGACCAGATATAAATCACCACTAGTAACACTAGTATCACCACTGGCTCCCCATCAGAAGCTTTTACATGTGCCATGGCATCATGAAAAAGACGTGCCAGGATGAAGGAAGCCTCTCCAGTGTCAAGGGCAGAGAACACGAAGAGAGTGGCTTGCCTTAACAGTTGCCCGCTCCCACTTCGCAAAAGGAATGTCATGTCCAAACCCTCATGGACAACAGAATGGAAGGAGCAATTGAAGCTGCGTTACAGTGGTTTCAGAGTAGATGGCACAGACCCCATATGTCCTTTAGATGGGGATCCATATAAACCACCTCTTGGGGTCTGTGCCATCGGTCCTCTCAATCCACTATAATTCACAAACGTCCAGCGATGGATCCTTGACATGGACCGGACCAACCAATGTCGACGAGGTCCGGCGACAATCGGGGTGAGTTGGACACCTCACCCATCGGGTTAGCTGATGTTAGCGTGAGAGGATCTCTTGACAGCTTGCCAGGTTGGAAGGGAGTAGAAGAGCTGGCAGCTGGACCACTTCAGGTATGGTAATGCATGGTACATCATTGGAGCATTTGGATGACCTTTGGCCTTTTTGTGCCACTTGCTTTAGATACCACTAGATAGGATTCTTCTCACTTGACTTCCATAGTGGTTGGAAGCGAAGTCGCTACTTTGCGGGAGTTTATGCTGAACATTGGCCATGGGCCGCCTTTCCCGGATAAGGCTTAAGGAAACGGCAAGCAGAAGTCGCTCATTTATGCCTGTTGATGATAATATATGTGTTCATGTTCTTTTCATAATTGATTCAAACTACCTCATGTTCAGTGCACTGCTTTTGACTGGAGCTTCCACTAAAGCCATCCATGTTGCAATTGTTCTTCGTTTTCCTGACTCAGCTGACATGTTCTTTTTCAACAATCCCAGACGCTACATGGGACTGCCATCTATGCCTATATCGACCCCCGTGGCACCACCCCTGGCCTGATCTGCAGTCCGTCCTGGCAGTCCCATGTGTTGTGATTGGGAATGTTCCATTTGTTCTACCCAACTCCCCTGGCCTGGGAACCGTTGCAGAGGCATTTTCCTGGATACCGTCTCCACGGAGCACTGCTCGCGGCGCGAGCCGCCAGTGCGAGCAGCTCACCCGTCGGAGCCGCTCTGGCCTCGGCGACCACGGCGACCAACGCTGTGGGTTGGACCTGGCGGAGGGGCGAGGGGGAGTTTTGGGGGTCAGTTTTAGCATGTGGGACATGAGCGAAACCAGATAGGTGGTGGAAAAAATCGAAGATGCATGTGAAGATCCAGCGGCAGGACCAAATCCCACCAGCTTTGTCGTGAAGGTGGCCCCTGGCTCAACCGAACTTGAGGGTCTCAGGGTCCCAGCTGGGTAACCCTTAGGAGGCTTATCAAGTGGTTTCGGAGGCGCAGCATGGCACTGGCACCCCTTAAAAGGTCCTTGGATGCCGGGGTCCATCACCACCCAACGACTGGGGACCCAACCCGTGCCCTGCTGCGCCTTTGAAACCCATATGATAACCCTATAGCCTGTAGGGATCCAGTCGTCTCAAGTGATTGGAGCCCACTGTTGTGTGCCCAGTCGGGTCCATTACGCATTCCGGGATCAAAGACAGAGTCATGAAGTCACCTCAAACGGGGATCTCAATGGGTACACCTTGGAAGAATGGAGGACACCTGGGTGCGGTTGGACGTAAACCCGTCATACCAGGCCGGAGCTGAAGAGGGGGTGGAAAAGGGAGCAAGCTGCGAGAAATTTCTGGAATTCAGGGTTCACTTTCCATGGAGTTGTGGAATGTCAGGGAGTTTTTGGGTGGGCGAGTCAGACTGGACTCAGGCTGGAAAGCCTGGAACCTGCAGGATCTGCAGGTCGTCCAGCTTAGGTGTTCAAGCTTGCCAAGTGGTCGGTGACTTTCTCCTACCCAATGTTATTTAACACATCCATATATAGATTTAGATCGCCTTCTGGGGGAACATGTTTTCTTATGTTTTTCTTTTTCAAGGTTCCTTGTCTTCACCCGGGATTGCCGACTTCAGACGATACATGGCTCACAGATCACTTCGGTCGCCAGAGACGAATGGGCAGACTAGACTAGGCACGTCCTTTCTTGTGGAACAAGTGTCGCCTGCAGCATCAGATTAGACAATAAGGCGTGGAACATATGCTTTGCACCATTCCCTGACTTAAAGTCTGGAGGCAGACTTTAGCTGTTCATGGGTTCGTTTGAATTTCTTGGACTCCTTCGATGCACGTGGAATCGTGTTCTTCTTCAAGGTGGGCTCCTCCGTTCCCGATCGACGCGGCGCTGCCACCGCTGCCACCGCTGCCACCGCTGAGCTTTGAGCTCCGGAGTCTTGGACTGGTCTCGGTGTCGCACATGCTGGAAGGGTGGACCAGGACCCTGGACCAGTGACTCTGTGGAGTCCCCAAGTGGCCTGGAAGGCCAGGCCTGTTTGTGACCGAGTTTCGGTCACGAATTGAAGGTCCTGGGAGATGATGGTCAACGTGGTCTTCTTATTCCAGCAAGATGTTTCGGTGATTGTCCTCCTTGTTTGGATAGTCTATGGGGTCCTTCAACCTGTTGGAAGTAGCTTGTTCCTAGTAGTATTGCCAGGAGCTACTAGTTACTAGTCGCTTCTTGGTTCCTAGTGCTTCATTAAGCCCTCTTTCAAGCTTTTCAACGCTGAGGAATTGGCTGCTGGCCCTGGAGCGCGCGAAGGCGCCGCCGCCCGCACCGCACGCGCACGAGCCGGCGCAGCGGCTCGCGCACGCGCGGGAGCATGCGCAGCGCTCTCCGTGCCTTGGGAGGGTTGGTGGAAGTGGACCGTGGGAGCCAGAGTTTGTTTTGGCAGTTGTTGTGTTTTGTGGTGATTGTTTCAGTCACCAGTTACTAAGTGGTATGAATTTGTTTAAGCATGTTAGTCAATGTGATGAAAGCTGAGCTGCCTGCTGAAGCGATTTGGTCATGGCACCTGCTCTTCTCAAGCCACGCGGGGTGTACCTTGAGATTGAACAGTGGTTCCAAGTCATTGCTATTGTGTGTTCCCACTGCCTCTAAGATGGAAGACGAGATGGCTGGTGTACTATTCTGTCTCAAGAGGTGTGATGAAAACTCTCAGATTGGATTCAGTTTGGACAGTGAGCATCAACTACACCCCAGAAGTCCAAAGACTATAGGTTGACCGACTGAAGCAAAGGAAGCTCCCTTACAGGCCCCCTCAAGACCATTCTTTTGATAGTCTTTGTATTTGACGTCCCAGGGTATACCGGACGTCCACCGAAGGTAAAGCAATTTCCGAACTCAGATCACATATAGTCAGACAAATTTTAACATATACCAGGAGTCACAAATGGGGTGGTGTTTGGTCCCTAAGTGAGTGGAGTAGCTGGGCACCCCGACTACCTCCATTTAGCACACCTTTGTGACTGCTGGTACATAAGTCTTCCTTTCAATGTGCTGGGACATTTGGACACCAGCCAGGCACTGACGAAGTCGCGTGCGGCACCTTTTTCATCCCTTGGATCTACCCTCCTGATCCCTCCTGCAGATTAACATGGACTTATATATAGATGAGAAGAGTCTTACAGGGTCCATTTTCATGCTGGTGACTTTTCTGCGGGGTTTACCCTCCTGCACAGTAACAGGATATAACAGGTACAGTTTGACCCTGAAAACCACGGTGGTAGATGAGAAGAGTCTTAACATGGCCCATTTTCACGGTCTCATGGGATCCTTTGCTGCTTTTTTTTGAATTGACTATGGGACGATCGGATTCCATGGGACGACCGGATTCATTGGAATGCCCTAAGGTCCGCCTATCCCTCTTGCCAATCCACTGCTTCCCTGAAGGATTCAGAGGCGCACAGTTCTGTCGATGCACTGGTGTTGCCTTCGGGTTCTTTGTTGAGTTTGATGCAAAGACTCCCAGAAAGGAGGGGCCAAGATGCAATCGGCACAAGTTGGAAATTTGGTAACATGTTTGCACAGTTGGAAGATCTAGGTATCGGTCAGATATAATATATATATATAGTATCAGACACAAGACGCTTCTCAACATGTTCCTGGTCTACAACTAAGCTGTGTGACAGAAGATGGACGAACTGAAGAGCTTCACTGCTCTTGGAAGCTGACCTGGCCCATGAGCTTCAGAGAAAAAAACATATACAATCACAGCTGATGTGGGAGACCTGGTTTTGCTGATCAGGTGTTTTTCCCCGAACTGGTAAATCCCCTTCTCGGGAATATGTTGTGTTTCTTCCAGGTTCCTTAAGCAAATCCAAGGAGACAGTGGTAAGACACCGACAGCTCCTGTGACCGATCGTCGCAACGGCTCCTTCTTCGGAGGCGCGAGCTGAGCAGGATGCTGCGATTGCCCAGTTGCGGGAGGAGGCGGCGGTTGCGGTGTGAGTCAGGAGTTGCGGGCCAGTGGTGTGAGTCAGGAGTCGCATTCCCCGAGGAATCCCATGGGACTGGAATTCATTGATTGGTCCATTGATTGGTCAACTGTTTCAGGTTAATAAAGGGTCAATGTACAGAGGTTAAGGGGTGTCCATTCCCACCCCGTTGGGCTCTGGTGCGTATAAAGTTAATGTATATATATATATACCAGCTTCTTCAGTTCGTGACCTCTTTGGAGTGCCAGCCGGTGACCTTTTACAGGTCCAAGTGACCGAACTAACTGGGAGATCAAAAGGTCACGAATTGAAGAACCAGGATGTTTTCCAACATTTGCCCGTCTTTGTCGAAAGAAAAGGTGTTGTTTGGAATGGCTTTGGAGGGTCCCACCATCTTGTAGGTAAATGTTTCAGTCCCATGGATTGTGAGAGATTTGTAAGACCCCTGTCTGCCAAGGCGCAACCAAAAAACAACAAGCTTGACAGGAGTGACTCTCCAAGCACGCGCAGATGAAGTCATGAAGTCCTATAGTAAGGACATGTAAGGACCCTTCAGGAAAAAGAACAACATCAACCGGGTTCTTCAAAGTGATCACTTAAGCCTCCTAAGGGTCACTTAGGAACCTTCAAAAGGTCACTTTGAAGAAGCTGGAACTTGTAGCTGCAGATGAGTGGCACTTGCTGAACTTGCTCAACCCACACCCCCGGAAAAGCGCATAACCGGATAACCTTTTGGGCTTTGACACCACACAAAAACACCTAACAGGTGGAAAGGGTCGGTTCATGAACCCGCATGAACCCGCTAACTCACGGCTTCACGGCTTCGAAGACTCTGACAGAACGGCACTGAACCCGGCACTGCTAGACCAGTAGACCAGCCAGCACCATTTTTGGGGCGCCAACCACCTGCAGCGGCACCAAAACACCTTCGGTGGCGCCAAAGACCTGCAGCACGGCACTCATCCCACAGGTGCGTGCATTGGCGCAGGAGCGGGATGCCACGACGCAGCAGCTGCAGGATCTTCGCGATCAGTGCCTCTGAATGCACAAGCTCTGGAGGAGGAGATTCTACAAGTTGAAGATCGTGGAACAAATTTCGATTTTAAAGACATTCTGTAAACTTGTTGAACATTTTTGGAGGATTCACTCCAGAACTTGATTGCAATATCCCAACGGAGAAGGAGGTGGAAGAACATGTTCAAAATAGATACGATATATATATATATATATTACAGTATAGAGTATAGACGCTCTTTTGGGGTGCTAAGTAGCTGCTGGGCCCGAAGGCCCTAGGGGCCACCAGGGGTCGATTTGGTGTTTTTTGCCATATGGGCTTCTATTTGAATAGGGCGACTCCTGATCGCCTTGGGCTGGGGACTGCATGATCGATTTTTCCGAACGGATCGGAACGCCTGGAGGTCGGTCTCCCTATGACATGCACAGTGAGTTTTGGCCCTTCACTGGCTAAGAACTCCCCAACATCCAGTCCACATGCAGTTTTGAACGCAAACTGCCACCCACACTCAGGCTACACCTGCTCCAGCGTCGCTCGGCGGCCACGGAGGAGGCCCTGCACGCCGAGCGCCAAGCGCGGGCAGAGCTGGAGGAAGAGCTGCGGGCGGCACGCGCGGCAACCCCGGGTCCGCGCAGTGGCTAGGCATGTTTTTAGGAGAGCCGGGCAGGTTTTGGGATATCCAAAGGAGCGGGTGGAGAATTGTGAAGCGAAGAGATGTTTTGGGTTCAGCTTGTATGATGGGGTTTGTATGGATTTGTATTTGTATCCTTGTTGTTTACCCAGGTGAAAGATGAAGGTTTGCAGCCAGCTTATTCAAAGAAGAATGCCCGGAACATGCAAATCTATGCACATCTTCCAAGAGAAGTGCGTTATATAACCGTTAACCGGAATGGACTTGGACCTCCAACAAGAAAACAAACACAGCTTTTTGACACTGCAGATGAGTTCGACATAGTCCCAATATATGCTCACTAAATTTTCTAAATCGCTGTTTTAGCCCTCTAGCCAGAATGATCAGAATCGAATCTTCACTACCCAGTTGCTCGGTGAAAACAGTCCTACTTCCTGGTCCCTCAAAACCTATAGCTTTGAGACCCCTCCACAGGTCCGGGTCCGGGCCCTAAAAAATCGGTCCATGAGTTGGTTTTGGAAGTGATTTCTTCTATTGGTTAAACAATGTTAAGCAATAGGTTTAACATCTTCACCATTGTTCTATTGGTTAAACCATTGTTCTCCGGTCACCCCGGCCCCTGGTGAAGATACTCTTTTCCCAGGTGCCTAGAGCGGTGTAAGGCGCCTTTTTCCCAGGTGATCAGCTCCAAACCTCGCCGGAGGGCGGCATAGCGGAGGAAGTGCCTGACATGCTCGAAGAGGCGCCAGGAAGAAGGGGTTGAAAGCAACTCTGTTTAGACTCCACCTAGTACTCCACATATATATATATATATAGATATTATAACTTATAAAGCAGCTAAAATTTAAACATGCTTAAAAAAAAAAAAAAGAAAAAATTGGTTGATAAGTTTTTCATAGCCGTATAGAGAGAGAGAGAGAGCGATAGCGATATTTATCATAAACACATGCATACCGCTGCCGACCACGTTGTTCATTGTTAGACGAGCTTTGGAGGTGCTAAGCAGTTGATATTCACTATGACTAGATCTTGCTGCAGTATGGGGTACTCAGCGGTTGGACCGGAAATGGGACAATGGTCCCCCAGTATCCTTCCCCAATCTCACTTGGATTTGCTTAAAGCACGTGGAAAAAGTAACATACATATTCCCCGGAAGGGGATTTAACCATTTAAGGAAAATACACAAATCACCCTTATGAGCAAAACCAGGCTCAGGTGCCCCAGGATTTCTGCAAGATCATGTGTGGCAGGCGGAGCCAAAGGTGAAGGTGGATTTGCGCCCAGCGCGGGGGAAGATGAGACGCATGGCATGCCAACCGAGCCAATGGGCTCCGGCTGAGGGTTGCAACCAACCAAGTTGTGTGGTCTCTTCGACATTGGAAGAGGTGACACACTTGGACTTGCTGGTCGCGATGTTCTTTTCCTATGTGTTTCGATGTCCTTGCTGGTATCCCTTTGGACTGCAGCTATCAGCTATCATATGTTGTGCCTAGATCTCACTTATTTGATCTTATTTGCATACCTTGGCTTCCATGTGTTCCCTTCTTTTCTGCATATACCTGGCCACATCGGCTCATTTTCAGCGACAGAGGGTGGGCCGATGTCCTGTGTTGAAGGGAGGGATGTACAGCGAACTCATCACAAAGTGTGTGCTGGTGTCCTGGGGGAGTGTCGAGGTGAGGGGATCTAGGGAAGTGCGAGCACGGAATCTTGCGTGAAGCTACTAGGGAAGATACATATTATGTATGGATCAGCAGATTTGCACCCGAGCTGGTGCTGTTGGAGAATCATGGATCACCCAAGCAACAGAAAACCCAACCGCTCACACGCTGGATCCTCAACACGTCTCAGATCAATGGATGGTTCTGGTTGGTTTTGTATAAGCCTTCAACATGTTGACCTACCTAGAACCTCAAGGACCACCCTTTTTTGGGATCATCACTGAGCCGAGCCGTTTTGCAAAGCTTCGAACCTGTCGGTCGCCCGCTGCGATGCCCTCACCTCGTTCCGCAGCGTTCGGGGGTCAGTTCGCCGTCCGCTGTGTCGCACCCGTCGTCGACCCAGAAACTCTACTGCGTGCCAACACCTTCATCCGCCGGGTTCAGAACCTGGTTGAGCATTTGGATGAGCGGGACCAAGAGAGGCCTGAGCAAGAGTGTGTTGGAGAGAGGTGGGCGAAAATCGAAGAGAGATGTGGGTGGCATGGGTGTGGAGATATGTGGAGATCCTGAGTGGTTCCAGGAGTGAACTCATGAACTTTTCTTGGGGCTCCAAGAAGTTGTATTTTCTTTCAGATTGATGGTTTTTTGCTCTTCCACGCAGGGTCTCCCCAATTGGACTCCTATCCATGTTTGTGTGTTGCATCAGCTCAATGAGCTGCCGCAGCATTACGACATGTGCACTTAAAGGTGGAGACTCACTAGCATGGAAGTGGAGTTCACCCCCTGTTTCTAAAGGACAGTAGTCAGATGTAGTCAGTATAGTCATCCTTTCGGTTCCATGCCATCCACTTCCACCACCATGTGATGTCTTCGTCAGAGTGTTCGTCGGTGGAGACGCATGTTTTGTGCTCCAAAAGACCCTATAGGGCTCCAACCACCTCCGTTTCGAAGATGGTTGGGGTGGGTGCCAGGGGGGTCGAATACCACCGGTCACCTGAGGACATGGGACACGAGCCCTAGGGAGAACCAAGTCGGCCGAACGCTTGACCTGGTCTCCAGGTCACGGAGGCACGACCCACGCGAACGACGCCGACAAATGGTGGCCTTCAGAAGCCCTAGGGATCCAGTCGTACTTAACCTCAGGGATCTGGACCCTCCTGGCACCTACATAGTGTCCAACACATCACCGTAACTGACCAGATACTGAATTTGTTTTGGGTGTTGTTGAGCAGAAACCACTTCCTCCCAGGCAGCGCCCTGGGGTTGGATTCACGGCTACTGTAGCCACCTCAAAAGGTACACCCTACAACCCAGTGGTGATGATGAACACCAAGCCCTGCATGATTGTTGGCACAGTGCACTTCCTGGACTTCACATGCAAGTGGATTGCATGGCCCCCATTTCGGATGACCAGTGCACTTCCGAAGACCAAACCACTGCAGGGCACCGTGATGGTTGCACGTCCGTTGACCCCTTCAGTCACATGTCGCCGCCTGGAGACCGTGGACCATTCGCAGGTGAAGGACCGTGGTGGCGAAGTGAAGGACAGCTTTGATTGGCCTTCGTCGGGACGCTCCGAAAGCCTCGTGCTGTAGTAACTGTTCTCATGGATGGTTGACTGCTCAAGCCTATCCCAGACACGACCCATGGGACTGCCAGGACGGACTGCCGATCAGTTGGGGTGGTTGAAAAGGGGTCAATGTAGGCAGAAATATGGCAGTCCCATGGAGTGTCTGGGTATTGTGGAATGACTGCACCTGTTTGGTGGTTCAGGATTTTTGGGAAGGGTTTGGATGCCAGCTTTGGGTCAATTTCACATCACGCTTGCTGGAATCTCGAGTGAGGCGGGGTGACCAAAGAAGTGCATGTTCTATTTTTGTTTGCAGCACCAGGAGTCTCAAAGTACCTCGAAAGCACCAGGAGTCTCAAAGTACCTCGAAAAATAGGTGTAAGTTGGTACAAGCACTGTTTTTTACAGGGGCATGTCCCTTTTCCTGGTTTTGCTTAAGGTGATTGTTTATCTCCCTACGGGTGAATTCCCTTCTTGAATAGGTTTTCACGATTTTCTGGAGGGTCCAGGTACTTGTCAGGTTTCATGAGGCCCCCCAGGAGTTCACAGGAGTCTCCTGATGGCAACGGCTGAAGACGCCCTCTTTTGGCTTTTGAGGCTTCCAAAGATGAGCCTTGACTGTCTGTGGAGCGCAGAATCGACATTTGGGCAGCATAGTTTTGGCCCTGGCTGATGTTGTTTTCTGGTTTGTTGGTTGGCAATGCTTCATTGCACTGGTTGACATGTTTCAGAGTGCCCAGATGGCGGCGGGTGAACAGGCGCTTCTCGCCCTGTGCCACATGTCCGTTCGAAGATGTGCTAATGTGACCTCAAAATGAGGTGTTTAGCTCTGGGTGAATTGCACCCGGCCCGCGTCACATGAAAATAAAACACAAGGTGTGGACGGTATGGGCTTTGAGGATGGGCAGTTGGCATCTCTTAGGGCACTCTGATCTTGCTTGACCTCGTGAACGGACCTCGTGCGGGACGGGACCGCGCTCCCTTTGGGAGTGACCTAGGGTGATTCCAGAGCGTTCATGAGCCCACTAGAGGTTAAGGGGTGTCCATTCCCACCCCTTGGGGCTCTGGTGTGTATATTATCTATATATATATATATATGTTCACCTCCAAAGCCCAATTTGGAACTCCAGACGATGTCTTCGTGCTTCTCACGGGCCTTCACCGCGGTGCTTGGCCTACGGCAGTTGAACTGGGTCGGTCATTGCAAGAGTACTTGACCGTACGCAGGCGTAGACCCTTAGTCCTTGCGGTTTCGAAGGGCTTTCTTACTAAAACACTCGTTTTGGTGGAACCCTTAGGGCATAGGGCATAGGACAGCCAAGAGTCTAGTAGTGAGCTGCGCAGATGTGCTTTAACGATCTAAGACACAGCTCACGAGGTGAGATGCGACGGGTGTTGAAGCATCTACACAGATTCAAGCCCCAAAATGAAGACCCCAACGCGCTGGAAGCCTGAAGACATTAATAAACCACCAATGGGACCTTCAGTTCGTGACCTCTGTGTCTTACTGTATGCCTATAGGGATGTCAGTAGCTTGGTTTTTCTGATGGGGTGATGTATATGGCCCTTATTTGCCCTATGGGTGAATCATCGTACTCGCCTTCCTCCCAGCTGAGTAGTGAAGTCAGGACACAGAGTTGGAACTCGATGAGGACCGCCGGCACCGGCTTCTCCCGGCGCCGGCGCGGTGCGGTGCGGACGGCAGACGGAAGACGAGGTGCAGTTGCTCAGAGGTGTCATGGGGTTGCCACCAAGTATTCCAGCTAGGAGATGCCACTGTCTTTTTCCCCAAACAGTTTACTGAAAGAAAGATTGTGGTACATCAAACAGTTATTCCCCAATGTGGTTCTCAATTCTTTCTTAAGATGTTCCCACCTGTTTGGGGTCTACGGTGGTGTAAGTTCCCTTCCTGAATCGCCTTGTGGTTAAGAGACGGACCTGCAACAAGGTCAAGTCTAGCAGATGTTCAGAGGCAGCGACATTCATCGGAGATTTGAGGATGGAATCAACACCATAACATGTTACTATCTTAACACAATAACATGTGATTGATGAACAACAAGATTGTGTTATAACATGTGATCTTATTACATAACACAATCTCCTTAACACCACATCATAACACATGCCTTCGTGGGCACAGCAGATGCACTTAATGATCTTAACTTATCTTAACTGCACTATATGCTGTACCTGGACTACCCTACCCTACCCTAACTTACTTGCTACCATATCATACCCAATGAAACAGGTGCACGGTACATGTACCCATGTTCAGAGGTACGAACTGAGACCAGGCACCCGGCCGGGTCGGAGGTGTGTCGGTCCAAGAGGACCGACTCGACTCGTTTTGACATGGCCGAACTCGAAACGAACGTGGACGTCGATTTGGGATGGTAGGGATGGCCAGCAGGATTTGGCTACAGATGGCGTACGAAGCACATGTCGAAGCATAACGGAAGCAGCTTTCAAGTGTTGGCGCGCCGAACTACGGAATAGTCCTGTTTCTTTCTTATTGTAGTCCAATATTGATTTGCCCTGCTTGGAGGAGTCCTTGCCATCGCAGTACATGCCGGGAGCAGTGGCCTGCGTCTTCATCTTCGTGCACCTCGCCGAGCACGTCTCAGACTGACATCGTCTAGACTGGTGGACGGGTGTTTTCCTCGGCCAGGTGGACAGCTAAAAGAGACCATCCTTCTTCCGGTGAAGTAGGCCTGCGTACGCACCAGGGGTTCAGTTGTGGATCACCTTCAGGTCACCATTTCGGGGCCTTATTTGGGAACACCATACTCAACAAGAACGGGTGGATAGTTCAAACCTGCATTTTTCAGGTAAATACTGGAGTGATTCGAAGTATCGCCCAGCATCAGCTCCGTTTCGCCGTTTCGCCTTTTCGGGCTGGTGTTACATCTCCTGTTTTCTGAACCATGTTTTCTGAACCTTCCTCAGTTTACGGTGAGCCCCAGCTACCTGGGAAAAGCAGCCTACGGCCTGTCTGGCAAAATCCAGGTCAGTGGCAAGACTTTTGATATTGTTTGTTCTCCCTCGCATTGTGTACAACCTTTAGCAAGAAGAGCCGACACCCACCCACACATGCACAGACTCGGGCACCTGGTTCTTCAAAGTGACCTTTTGATAACCTGGTTTGAGGTCACTTAAGCATCCTAAGGGTCACTTAGGAACCTTCAAAAGGTCACTTTGAAGAAGCTGGTAGAGCATATTTTTTTAAGATAACTATACTCTTGCCTCACCTCCTTCAGCTTTTCAAGACTATGTTTGGCCAATTTTGCAGATCACCAATGATCACCAGACTTCTCGAAGTCGATATGCCATGGCCGCGCATGAATTCCTCCCGCGCTGTGCGTCCGCCCTTCCAGGAACATCGTGGCGCCTCGAAGATGGAGTTGGACCGTCACCGGGGGGGTCCCGACCCGACTGACGCCTAGACGCTGGGGCGGTCTTGGTGGTCTTGATCTGATTGCCCTTCCGCAGTAGCGGACTGATGTTGCAGTGGGCTTTTGACATGTAACTGTATTGTTTAACTGAACTGAGTGATGCTTTCTAATTATTGTTTGACCTCTACTTGATGATTGGTCTCACTGACTCACTCATTTTCTTCAAGTGAACCAGTTAGATGTTGTTTTGGGGGGCCGGTGAAGCTCGTCATTCAGGGGTCAATGATGGTCAATGCGTGCCTTCAGGTGTGATCTAAGCCTTTGGGTGTGCATGGCCCATGCCTGCGCATGCGTGGTCTCCGAAAGTGAAATCGTCAGCCTTCGGGCCATTGTTGCGCCAACGACGTTTCACCACATTGGGAAGACGGCTTTCTGATCTTGCGATACGGTAGATGTCCAGAAAAAAACATGACTGATGTGTCATGGTATCACGGTATAACATGGTATAACAACATGTGGCCATCTACCTGGCAGGTCATGTGCCAACTGGTGTGCCGCCCAGTGAATCAACCTGAGGTGCACCTGTTGTTCCACTTGATGTGCATTTGGTCCATCGCCTTCAGAGCCGCTGGGTATTGGCACTGGAGAGAGCTCGTTGGGCATGGGGAATTGTTGGTTGAGGGGAACAGCTGAGGTTCTGCTTGATGGATGCCTAATTAGTGACCTGCGTGACCAAGCGGATGTGAACTGTTCCCACCTATCCCAGAAAAGATATGTTCCAATTTTGATGGGGTGGTTGACTAGGATCAACGCAAGTGATGCATTGTTCTAGATGTAACAGTCCCCGCACTAGTGGGGTTCGCAAGACATCCTCTTTTTGATGCCAAAGCCAACTGGATCCTCCACAGTTTTCTCGAAAATGGGTCATGCCCCTATGAAAACAGGTACGTGATTGTACTTGAATACCCAGTTTCTGAGGTACAAACAGGTCGGCTCCAGGTACATGGACTTTTTGAAGAAGGCCTCATGCTGAGTCTTCCAGCCTCTTTGCGCGCGCACGAGCTCCAGGCCTTGTTCCTCTTTCAGCCCGCGCGGCGGGTGACTCCCGGTAGCCGCTCGGCTGGTGTACATGACAGATGAGATTCAGATGGCACAATCCTCAAGCTTGGCATGACGACTTAAATGATCCAACAAAGAAGTATTGAGATGTATTGAGGGCATAATACTTGGATTACTTGGCTTTTGTTTATATGAACCCCCATTTTAAAGACATTTGGGGGTTGTGCCATCTACTCTGAACTGAAGGTGGTTGACTCAATGCTTTGCAACACATCACATACATTTAGTTTCTGGCTCGCCAGGAGTTCAGAGAAGAGATAACCACAAATTGGCCACAGATCATAAGATCATGGACAGGTTTTGAACCCGAGGTCTTTTAGCTCATTTGTTGCGGCAAATTGAGGGATGGCCGCCAGTGGGATGGTAAGAGACAACAGCATGCAGAAAACAACAAATACACAATCTTTAGACTCCTAGACCATCCATGTATGAAACATTACCTACACATCGATCCTTAAAGCATGTTCACCCCAATGTAGGCAAATATTCTGGTGGGAGGTGGGTGGCGGTCCATGTTTGTTTCATCAGCAGTATAGGACCAGGAGAGCCTGTGAGTTGCTGTGTCTAGAATTGCCATAGTTCCTCTGAGGCTTTGTCAGAGTCACGCCACACGCGAACAAGGGCAAGGCGGACATTTGCTTAGTGCACGAGTCGGAGGCGAGAGTGTCGGAGTCACTGTGTAGCCGCGGAGCCGCACATTCAGTAAAATGTAATTGAGAAAGGCCTAATAAGTATCGAAGAACCTCACAAGAACCGTGAACCATGTTAGCATAGGGTGGAACCGAGTGTTTAACATGTGCATGGGGGTTGTTTTGCAGCCTTACAGCAGTCGAAGATGTCACCGTTGGGTAGAAGGGTTGGGAAGAAGTTCATCGATCGGATTCCACCAATGATCGGATTGCCAGGAGTTCTGAAGTTGTTTCGATTGGATTCCGAAGGTCTTCAGTGGATGATGTGCTACCCCGAAAAGGCCCCAATAGTCGGTATACTGGCATCCCCCTTTTGGACTTCCTGGTGTGTCCCAATAGAATCTCGGGGATGCTTTGGGAAGAAATGGTCGAATCCGGCTGCGCTGCTCGGCGGCCACTCCTCTCCGGCGACATGAAAAAAAAACACGAGGCTCCGAACGCGTGGTTCGCCAGGTGACGCTGAACTGCCACTTCAAATTCCAGCTGCCTGGCAGAAGGGGCGTACGGCTTAAGGGGCGTTGAATAGCGTACTCTCCCTGGAGCTAAGAGATGGAAGTTGAAAGCCACCTATTTGTAGAGGAAACTCACCTTCCAAGGGGCCATTGTCCACGTAACCATGTTAGCTCCAGGACTCCAGGGAGTGTATTGCTTTCTGTTCCTCCTCCTCATGTTGCCTCATCCTCATGCTCACAGTCGTCATTACTTTGGGGGATGTACATGGGCACACTCACCAACCCAATCTATTCCCCCCAAAGGACCCCTTTTCCGGTGGATCTTGGCCGATTTTGGAGTGGATCTTGGCCGTCGCACATTGGGAAGCTGGACGGGGGACGGGGGGGGTCATATTATGCCATTTTTGTCCAAGTGGTCACTCTCTTTGGGAGCGATCCAAGGGGCTGGACGGATTCGAGGGCAGAGGGAAAAGCGTCGTCGTGGTCGCTCCTTTTGGATCGTTTTGGTGGGCTTCGATCATTCCCAGGCCATCCATGTATGGAATAGTGACATACCTATCCCTGGGGGTCCAGTCGTACCGAACCTCAGGTACGGTGAGGACGGAGACACTCTTATGTGGGTTTTGAGGGTCCAGCCGTACCTTCTGAGAAGGTACTTGGATCCCTAGGGTATGCTTTAAATGATGACCCTAACATACGTCACTATTCCATAAAATGGATGGTATGGGACTGGAAAGCCCTGGGTGGTTTGTCACATGACCTCTACGGATCAGCGCTTGACAGGGTATGGATCCCTAGTGGTTGCACACCCTCACCGTCCAAATCGGAAGATCTCTTGAGTACTTCCTGAACGTGCGCTTTGACCACGCCATCCCGCCCTCCCCGCCTGGATGTCACTGGATCTTGACACTGGATCTTCACAGGACCTTCACAGGACCCGTGGAACTGGTGCTTTCAGCATGTCTTCGAACGGAGCGGCGGCAGGTATCAAAACTTCGAGTTCGTCGACGCCGGGGTCGAGGATGCGGAGCTACTGGGCGTGCCGTGGGCAAGCAAGCGAACGAGAGGTGGAGGGGGGGCGGTTGGAAGTCAATGGAGTTTTGCATGGTTTCGGTCTTTCGGCGATTTTGGGGGATCATGTTGGGAGGCTAAGCCCTGCAGGTATCATGTTACGAAGCCCTGCAGGGCCAAGTCGTTTTGCCGGAGCACCCGATAGCAATCTGCAATCCAAGCTGAAGCTGGAAGCGAGGTGAATGATCAAAGAACTACCTTGAGGTTCTCGACGGTCGAAGTTGGTCGAAAGGTCCTGCCATTTCCCCCACTTGCCTGCCGACCTCATCTTCTCCACCCACCTCCCAGCTCCGGACCCCGGCGGTTGCACGGGACCGCCCAATCCACCAAGGATGTGGACCTTCCAGGCGTGGGACGTGGGGTGCGGAGGTCCAAGGGGGCGGGTGCTGAAGGTCCAAGGAGACGCTGCGCTGCGCTGCTGGAGCCCTACAAACTCCAAGTACCCCAAGGTCAGGTAGTCAGGTGGGTTTGTCCCTCACATGTCTCATGTCCCTACCTTTTGAGGATCCGGGACCAGAGTCCTAGACAGACAGTGTATGTCACGTACCATACTCTACAGGTCTTTTGCTTCGAGGGTTGGGCTCTCAAGTGGTGACTCGGCAGCGAGGGTGCTTGTAGACGGTTGATGAATAACCGCAATAAATCGCAATAAACAATAATTGGGTTTGTCATGGTTTGTCCCATTACCTGCAAACAGTCAGCAAACAATTATATATTTGAACCTTTACTACCTAGGGTTCCAAGTACCTCCGCAGATGGTATGACTGGACCCTCCTGGCACCCGGGCCCCGATCCCACCTTGGAAACGAAGGTACTTGGAGCTATATGTGGTAGGTCGAACAAAGTTTCAGAGGTCAGTTGATATAGGTCCATCTTACCATCAGCCGTCTCGGAGGGAGGTTTGTACCTGGGCCATGGCTCAGATGATGTTTGTATTTCCCAGAACTGGTTCAATCCCCGAACCTGGGGAATATGTATAGCTTTTTTCCAGGTGCCTGGACAGCAAATTCAAGTTTATTGCACCTTTGGTTCAAGAGGATGACAGCATTCACCACCGTTTCAGTTTCAGGCCCCTCTATATAGCTTAGAGAAACATGATCAACGAGGGCTATGGCGGCTATGGTGTGGGGTTGCACGAGAATCATGGAGACATGGATGGCCAAGCTGCTTCAGTTTCCAAAGATGAAGACAGCAGGCCCACACACGATAGTGAGGCTACAAGCAAAGATAGCGAGTTGTCAAATACAGACGAGTCTGAGTCCGCAAGTGAAGATACTGATTCGGATGTGTCTTGCAAGGTTGAAGACATTGAAGATGTGCCCACTGTGAGCCTGCAACATCTACGACAAGCAGATCCGACAGCTGTAGAGGTCACAGCCAGTGCTTTGAAGCATCACGGCTTTGCATGGCTGGACGTTGGAAGCGACAGATCGATGGAAACTCCTCACGGATCAACAGGCGCTGTGGGACTTTCCAACTCAAGTGCTTTGCTTGCCGAACTCGAAGACTTTTTGACCAAGAACGAGCGCCAGGGCAGTCCACATGTCACTGGATTTTGCAGATCATGTTGATGTTCCCTATGTGTGAACCCATTCCAGGAATGAGCGTTTCTTTAGTGATCGGCGTGCCCTTTTAGAAGGCTGACATACAAGGCTGAAACGCTTTCAAGAGCGGTCACTGACATACACCCCCTGAAGTAGTCATGAAAGCGGACACCTGTATTATACATGTTTGTAGAGCAAAAGGGTCACCCAAGAAGCCATTTTGCGATCTTCCATGCTTCTTTCATGCCCTAAGACTCCTTGGTCGGACCGGACTCGTTTGGCGTCCGGGGCCGAACCAAAGCCTATTTGTTTGAGGGCCCGGATTCTTAGGGTATATAATGGGTCAAGACAGGAAAAATGTTCGGCACAGCCTCCCAAGATGGCGATCTGAGATCATCAAGGGAGGAGTGTATACAATTAATAGTTGTCTTCCAGTTGGTCTCGGCTTCCGCCAAGCCCAAGGCCATGCAGGGGCACTTCAGTGCAGCACACAAGGATGGGCTTCGCATCGTGACCGGCTCGTATGCCGAGAATGACTTGCAGTTGCCCAAGACTGTTCAAGAGAAGTTGACATGCTTGGCCTTGGAGCTGGATGAAGCACAGAAGGATGTGATCCAAGCACTGGCACATACTTTGCAGTATCGCAGCGCTCAAGATCTTGGGGAGCGTTTAGATATCCCTTTGCTATGCCCTGAGCAGGGTCGTTTGCGCCCTTATGGCCTTTTGGATGTCGTCCGGTACCACGCGAATGGTCCGGAAGTGGTGGTAGCTCCTCATGTAGATCCGGGCCTGCTGATCTTAAGCTTGCCACCTGGTTTGGCTTTAGTATGCAATGATTAGTCTAAGTGGCCACCTGTGCGATCCTCCCCAAAAAAAGGTGAATCCCTCAAAGAGATCTTGCTGTTTTCATATTCTTTTCAGATGTTCCTTCACATCTAAGGCCATGTGCTGTTCCTGGCTTAGAGCTGAAGGATGCCTCTGGATCATGGCGTGCCGTTCCACCTGGCCTTGGTGTGCTGTGGGCTGGACAGGCTGCAGCTGGGTGGAGAGGTGGCCTACATCGTGTGAAGGCTTCGCCGGCTCCACGCTTCAGCGCTTGGCATGAACTGTGCAGCCGTTCGCAGTTGTGCCCTCCCATGCTTCAATTCCTGGAGGAGAATGCTTTGGAACTGAAGTTGGGAGACACGCGGGGGACTCCAGCAGTCTTGGCTTTGTTGCAAGAACATGAAGATCATCTCAATGTGAACATGCTGCAGCGTCGTGGGGTGCCGGTGGGAAAAGCTCCTTTAGCCTTGCGCCGAGCACGCCAGTTGTCGTGGCAGCGGTTTCGGCCTGACCAGCCTCCACGGGTTTGGAGGCGCCCGATGGTGTGGCCCAAACTGCCCCGTGGATCCGTAGAAATCGTGCCCCAATCCTGATCCTCCCTTCTTATGCGGTGGCATGTGCAGCTGCCACTGGATCAGCCACACTTGTTTTGGGTGCTGGGTCATGTACAGAGACCCTGCAGCATCGTACGAGATCGCAAGTGCGGAAACTGGAGCTGGCATTCGTCTGGCGCGCTTGGGTTGAGGAGCGCGATAGGGTCATGATGAGCAAAGGTAATGCAACCGCATGGTGTGGTCTAAAGACATATATACACCGGTGATGTATTGAAGTGGAATCTGCCAGGCAGATTCATGCAGATTCAATCCTTTTCTTGACATGAGCGATTTCAACCAGCGAATCTTCGCTGGTCTTGGCAGGGTTGGTGGTTGGTCTGAGTCTGCGCCTGCCTGAGCAGCATGTTTCTTGCCTGAGCTGCCGGGGCAGCAGCCGAGGTTGGTTTCCGGGGTCCGGGGCCGCTCCGTTGGCGTTCCGCACGTCCACAGCGACGGAGGCATTCATCTCATCCAGTGCCCCACCAACCAACCTTGGCGCAGCTACAGGGACTCTGAAGGCGAGGTGGGATGTGGTGCCGGGGTGTGGTGAGGAAGGAGCATGAAGGAATCAACACTTGCCAATGCTTTTGGGATCCGATTTCACCACAGGTCACACCTTGCAAGTCTAAAGCTCTGACATCTGTGACTTGAGGCTTGCCAAATGCTTGGAACATTGGGACATGCTGGGACAGTGCGTAACGGGCCTGCTAGGGCCTGCTAGGGCCGGCCCAAGGACCCTATAGGGGTGAACGGCATGCTGGATGGAGAAGTCCTATGTCGTTGTGGATGCAGGAACACCATGGAACACCTAACGCCCAGCTTCTTCAGTTCGTGACCGTCCCATCCAGTGACCGAACTGACCAGGGTTCCGTTGGTGACCGTTTCCTGTTCATCCGGTGGATGAAGTTCGGTCGAGAGCCAGGGTGAAGGACAGCAATCCAAGTTCAGATTTTGGTGTGCGACCTCAGCAACAGGCTCAGCAAGATGCTCAACATTCTGCAGGTCTTTGGGGTCCTTGTTGGATCTTAAGTAGCAAATAGCAAAGAATCGAGTGAGTTGGATTAGAAACCCTACCACGCGAGCTTCGCCATGCCACTTCACGACGTCATGTGGCCTTGTTGGACGTCGCCAGCCGAGCTTCGCCAGCTGAATGAGCCTCCAGGAGCTCTAGGTGGTTCATTCTTGGAATGGATCCAAGACCAAAGGGCTTCTGAAGCGCTCCCCAAAAAACGAACAGAGAACACAAAGGAAACTTTTGCTCCCAAAAAACAGGAGCAAAAGGGAACTTCTTCCCATCTACTCCCCCCCCCACACAACGAACACCTGCAACATCAACTGGAGCATGGACCTCCTGTCACCGTCCCACCTCCTTACCCCACTCTCTTCCAGCTGAACCGAGCCCATGGGCAGCCTCTCCTTCCGCGCTCACCCGCGCGCGGCCCTCGGCCTCTTCGTCGGCCTCGGCCCTCACCTGGGGGGGGCGATGGTGGCGCCGGAGGTGTTGACTGGTGTCTTGAGGAGTTGTGTGGCCTGGCAGGTTTTTCGCAAACAGGTGACGGTAATGCAACCTGGGTGTGCCCTAAGTATATTATAGTATATTATATATATATATATTATAATACATGAAACAGTCAGAAAGCACTAGTCAGTCAAGTCCTTTTTGTACATGAGAATGACTTGCAAACTAACCATCATCGTCCACTGTGACTGGTAATGGGATATACTGATATACCCAAGTAGGCCCAAGTAATGCGCCAGCAGTTCCATGGAGTTAGGTGCCTGAAGGATAAGAGCGTCCAGAGCATCTACGGACTAAAAACCCTTCCTCTGGAACTGGTGGTTGGCATCAAGCTTTGCATTAGAGGGATTTGAAGTAGAGGGCATCATGTTTTCCAGTTGCTGACGAATGAAACTTTACTTAGATACCAGTAATGTAGACCCTTATCTTGATCAAGCCCTTGAGACATGGATTGTAAAACCTCTTCAGGCTTGAAGGCTTGAACTCTAATCAAGAGTCTTCATGGGTGTAGGGAGCCCTGGAGATTTGGACATCCTCCTTGAGCTTTCAACCAACATTATACTGTAGTAGTTATGGATAGTCTGAAGTCTCAGTTCGTACCTGAGAAAATGGGTACAAGTATTTGTTTTGAGACGGTCATGTCCCATTTTCTAACCTAGTTTGGAGGGTCCAGGTAGTTATTGCATTTATGAAGGCCAGGTTGTTTGGGTTCGACGTTGTTGGAGCCGAAGACCTTTGAGAAGATCTGCTTCGGCTCAAAAAACCTGACATCTGGGGCCTTTGGGAGGCTGACATCGCCCTCAAACACGGTTCTACAAACTAGAGCTAACATAGGAGTGTTCCAATTCAAAGCTCATGCTACTCACCAGGAAGCATTCCGAGCGCCCGCAAGCCATGAACTAAATGAGACTCAGCCACCCTGGTTCCCTGATGAAACCAAGTCCAAGCAAGTCTAGTAACCTGCGGCTGTTGCTTATCTCAGGTGGAAGATGATAACTTCTTCACCCAGGAGCTTCGGACACCGGTGCAGTACGCTGCGCAGTCCACAGAAGTGGCCTTGGCACCGGCCTTGTCCGTGATGGCGAGGGCAGTGTTGTGCATCTCGTGGGTCGTGTTCAGCCACTGAATTCGTTTTATGAGGTTTTTGGATGTTTCATGTGTGTTTTTCTATCTATAGTCGGGGGGGGTGCTCTATAAATTAGGTGGTGCTGGTCCTTTTTTATTTTTGGAGTGTTCTGTTGCGGCCGCCCTCCAAGGCTGCGCGGCGCAGCCCAGCAGCGGCATCGAAGTCTACACGGGCCAGGGCTGGCTTTCGGCGGCGATGGCCGAGGGTGCGCAGAGGGCGGCGGAACGACCCGCAAGAGCTCCTTGGCTGAGAAGAGAAGGTATGGCATGGAGTCGTGCCTTCGTTTCGGTTGGGACTGGGGCATGGGTGGAAGCCTGGCAGAGATTGGGCACAAGCTTCAAGTTTTCTTGCAGGTGACCTGAAACCAAAGGTGGCTGACTCTTTGTTGTTTTTAATGTTTTTTGATATCCTTCGATTTTTTAGAAACATGGAAGTGGATGATGGCCACTTAGAAGGTGGGCTGGTCACTGGTCGAAACAGAAGCCCCCCAATGCGCCCATGTGCAGCTTGGAGGGAGGTGCCAAGCTCCTCCAAGCTCCCACCTCTTGTGCTAACCAAGCAGCTTGGTAAGTCCAAGCACGATGGCAGTCACGATGGCTACACATCCGTCCCTTAAGATCCCCTAGGGCTCCAGTCGTACCTTCGTTTCGAAGGTGGTCCAAACACCTTCTGAGGAGGTACGACTGTAGCCCAAACAGGCCTGAGAACGCCAGGCTGGATCTTTTTGTCTCAGCTTCTCGGCATCGCCCGCACCTCAGGAGCTTTGCCAAGTGGAGAGGCCCTCGGGGCCGCCGTTGCTGTTCACCTTTGAGGGCCAGATGAAATCGAGCCTTGGCGTCGACCACGGAGCGATGTGAGGTTGACCAACCAGCTTCTTCAGTACGTGACCTTTTGAAGGTTCCTAAGTGACCCGAACAGGAGGCTTAAGTGACCTCAAACCAGGTCACCAAAAGGTCACTGAGAAGAACCAGGAAGAGGGGTTATATTGATAAGTGACTCTTAACATATATAACAGACAAGGCCGAACATCTGGGGTAGCGATGGGAGAGTCTATAAATAGTTTTTTTTGGTTTGCGTTTTCTGGTCCTTTCAAATCGGATTCGGAGGTGTTATTTTGGGGGTTTCCCGCACTGGGTGCTTCATTCCCTTTTGGTTTCTGGGAAAACAGGTGTCCAACTTTTTCCCACCCGTTTGGGCTCCAGTCGTAACTCCTCAGGTTCGGTGGTATTCGACCCCCCAAACCACCCACCCACCCCTGGCCCATCTCCTCAGAAGGTGGTTGGAGGTGTAGGGTCAGAAGTGTTCTTCCAACTCTGGGATTTGCGATCTGTTCTGGGTGTCCCGGCTGGATTTGCTCATCTATGTCGTTGTTTTCAGTGATTCAAGGTGAGTTGGTTGGTGGTCCCTTTGGGGGTGGGCACTGGCAATCAGGAAAAAGAGGAACACAGCGGATGTCTATGCTATCCTTCTTATTTCTGGAATAATGTCAAGAAGCATTGTCAAACCCACAAAGTTGCAGAACAAACATCTCCACATCCAAGTTCACATGGCATAATACGTGCATCATTCTGCACATCGCAGTCACTCGCGGCAGACGCATCCTCCGGGCCTCCTGTTTCTCCGAGGATCGAAGACCTGATGTCGCGCGTCCTGCCTCTGCCCAGCTTTTGGCTGCCCACCATGCCCATCTCCAGTCTCACCACGCGCCTGCAGCGCGCCTACCGAAGGGCGACGATGCAGACGTCCGCGGACGTCCCTGACGACGCGGCCGACGCGGCGATGGATCCGCGCAGTGCGTTGGTGGCGCTGCATGGCTCTGCGTATCCCAGCCAGTTACTTGGTTACCTTGGTGGTGGTTTCGGAGATGTGATATGTGTTTAATTCTCTTACTTGGAAAGTGGTGGACTTGTTACTTCTAATCTAATTTCAGTGTTAATTGTTCAACCCTTACTTGGGATGAACCCATATTTGCCGTTCGTGAGTTGAACGTTGAAAGCACCGTTTGCAGCTAGGCTCTGTCCCCGGAGCTGCCGGCGAGCAGAGGCCAGCGGGATTTTTGAGAACATCTTGGAGCCTGGATAGGATGGAGATAGGGAGCCTGGTGAGGTGGGAACACTTTGAAGGATTGGTGAGTGGTGCGTTGGTGGGTGTGCATTAAAACAAGGACAAGCCTCCAGTTCAATTCGGCCCCCTCAAAGGGGAAACTAGACCAAAACCCGTATACGTATCCCTATGAAATAAGGACACATTTGCACGACATAGAGGTTTCTTTGAGAGCATGAGAGCATGCGCTAAGCACCCATGTGAGCCAGTTACATGCACATTGCAAGTCCACAACGACCACACACACATCACCTGATAGATGGAAAGCAAGTTTGCATGTTTTGGCCAAGTGCTGGCCGACCCGAGGAATGCTTTCGTTGCCCTGAGCCCACCAAGAACCAGAGCGCTCTGCGAAAGATCTGCGAAGACTTCTTAGTCGACAGGCGATGACTCGGAGGGCAGGAATTTGGTCAAAGGGCTTTGGACGTCGATTGAAAGCAGAACCTGCATGTCAGTAGAGCAAATGGTTCATTGACTGCAGGATGCATGAATTCCTGCATGTATGGCAGTTACAACCGTTTCGATAGTTTGTATACTTCCAATTTGTTCAGGCATCCTTCCAGCTGTGGCATCTTTGTTTATCTCAGTCCTTGAAACTTGGGAAGTTTACAATTAACCCCCCACCATGCATCTTTGTTTACCTTCCAAGTGTAAGAACTTCAGGGACCTACTCCTACTCAGTAACTCCCTTTTAAGCATGCTTCGCTCAAATAGACCGTACCGACCCCAAACATTCCGGCCAAACACCACCGCAACCCATCATGCCCATCACGTCATGAGGCGCTTAGAGTTGGCCATCGTGGATACTGGGGGACCTGGATTGGAGGAATGGTTCGTGCTGGAAGCCTATTGCCGACGCCTGGTCGAACACGAGATGGAGATGGCATGGCCCGCATTGGGGTGGCTTCATTCGGAGATACCTTTGAAGGGATTTGGACTGGAGGACTTGCCTAGACCCTTTTTATTCCTGATGTGTAGGGATTCTTGGATTTCTTGGGTTTTTTGACATGTGGATCGCTTGAACCTTGGATGTCCAACCTCGACAGCATGACCTGTATTTCAGATCCGAGCACCCAACGCTGCGGCTGCCTCTTCGACGGGCGTCGGGCACCCGTCGTCACCCGCACCGTGAACTGACTGGCTCGCGTTTCGACGACCACGCATCACCACGCGCGCGCGCGCGCTCGTCTTCGAGGCCCACGGAGCGTCTTCGTGGTGAATACCGCCTTCGCGCTGCACGAGGGTTGGATCCTCGAACGTCTGCGGCGTTCGCGCGGCGCGCGGTGGCACGAGGCGCTGCGTGGTCAAGTGCAGTGGGGTGCCGGGTGGCCTCAGATGCTCGGAGACAGCGTGGGTTGGGTGGCGTTGGGGAGATGGTGGGGTGTTTCTTTTAGATTTTAGGGAAGGGGGAGAGTTGTTGAAAGTCAAGAGCGTGAAAAGGACCTGGTTTAGGACACTCAGTCATGGAAGACCTTGTTCATACATGTTCATACACCCATGTTCATACATAGGAATGTTGTTGGACTCAGGATTGAAGTTCTTTTTTGCATGAAGCCTATGTATATCATTTAATAAAGACAATCGTGCATTTTGGCTGACCCAGCATTGAAATGGTTTTACGAATCCACCAGAGGGGGACTCCGTACACCCCCGCGCACATGAGGATGCTGAGCTTGGTGGAAGAGACTGGCTGGAGCTACTGGGTGAACTTTGAGGAATGAGACCCGACTTGACCCGACCCTCTGACCTAGAAGGGAGAGGAGACTGAGTCTTCAGGCCGGGTTCGGGTGTGAGGCAGGGGCCTTGGTGAGACTGAGTCGAGGCCTGAGACATTCGGCCGGGTGACCCATTGGGGGTGTGAGTGAGGCAGGGGCCGTCTGGTGGTCCATGGTTTGTTTGGTTCACCTGTTTTTGTCGATTTGCTCTTGCATTGCTCTCTAATTTATCCTATAGTTTGCTGTTTTTGATGTGTGCTTGTTTTTTTGTTAAAGGGAGGTGCTGCATGGTGAGGAAACTGTGGTTCTCACCTGAAAGCGCATTCACAGGAGCTTTCAGGTTGGTAAGAGTCAATATGCCTTAATGGGTCAATAAAATCGCTTCAAGGAGATGTTTAATGAAACAATGCGGAAAACAACAAACATGTACAACCTATCAATCAAAAGCACCTTTGTCCAATGAACCTTGGGCCTGCTGGGCCTGTGCAGGGTGTTGTGATCTCCTACCCCTTCCACCCCTGCAGGTGCGGGCTCGAACGTGGCTGAGGACCTCTCAAGCGACCTGCACATCCAACTCCGGTGCCGTATGTCGCGGCGACGATGGGACCCGGACCGAAGCCGCTGGAAGCATCCCCTGTCGGCCGCTAGACTGGAGAAGCTCAAGGAACTTTAGAACTTTGGGGGTGGACATATCTCGCCGATTTGGACTGTGAGCCGGAGCTGGAACTGTGAAATTGGCATGTGGAAGCTGATGATGACATCGAAAAGTCCAAGATGGTGATGGAACCTGAAGAGAATATGGTGAAACACCTGGAAGCTGAACGACCCCCTTGGTGCTATACCTGATGCCAAGCCAAATGTATATATGAATATGGCCTTTTCCGTGTCAGGTGTCGTAGGGGACTTGTGGATAGGTTGAGGGTGCTGGGGAGTGTCGCATTTGTTGCCAGTGTCCGGGTCGTCCGGGTACAGGCTGGATTGGCATCCGACGTTAAAACTGCCATAGGGCGATAGCCCATCATACTGCATGTATACCATGACTTACGACGTACTGGCTGACTGTACAAACTCAAGCCTTCCTCAAGAGAAGCTACTCAGCTACTCTTTGCCGGAGAGCTGTACTTGTGGATCACCACAAGGATTTGCTTTTATAACCCAACTACGGTGCTTGGACCAAACTCATCGTCTCAAGTCGGGTTCCAAGCACCAGCCATGTCGCTCACGCCGCGGTGCTGGATCCGCCAATGAAAGGTCACCTGCGTGGCGTGATAAAAGTGATGCCTGCAGGGTGGTGAGAGAGCTGAGCTGCTTGAGTTGGATCACGGGATTCAACGGATTGGGTGACCACGACAGACTTGTGACGTCGGTTTTGAAGAAGCTGCTTTTCATGTATTTGTTCGAATTCGCTGTGTGACTAGAAGAGTCCCGCAAGACCTCTACAGGCAGGAGGCAATTATGCTGTTCCCTGTACCAATGATAGGTCATTGTCCCAGAAGTGCTGCCTCGTTTGCGGTTTCTGTATGGTTTCTGTAAAGGTGAACTACTCTCAGGTAGCCAACGGCTTTCCAGTTGAACCAGTTGTGACTTCGTAAACCTTACTCCCCTGAGAATTGCTGACGGACTCACGGTGGCCATGCGTCAGGACTCGCTACTAGCGGCCAAGTCGCGTCAGCACAGGCGCACGGTGCGGGGTCAAGCGTCGGTGGGAGTGGCGCAAGCGCAAGGCAGTGCCCAAGGCGAGGACGAGAGGATCAGGAATCACACAAAAGCAAGGAACTAAGGAAATAGGGGGGGTGGTTTCGGATATGTTTTAAATCACTCAACCTTTACTTGGGATGAGTGAACCCACTGAAAAAAGGAAGTATACAGCTCAAATATCTAGTTAGCTTGATTCCAGTGTTAGAAGTTCTATAGCTGGACTTAGAGCTTCAATCCCAGTGCAACAGGCCTTCCGAAGCTTTTGGTACTCGGTTCAGTGGTAGCCGTGGATCCAGTGCAGGATCACGCACAAAAGTTGCGTGCATGTGTTTGGTGCTTAAGCCAGCTGACATCATGGCCCTTCCAGTGTTGATTGAACAGCAGTTGCGGTATAAACCATGGTCAGACTGAAGAATCATCGATATAAAGAATTCAAATTTGCCTCTTATTAGTTACTGTACGTTATATGTTGCAGCTGTTCTGAACATGCAATGTTCGCCTCAACTCCAGCTTTTCGTCAGAGCACGTCCCAAAGTTGGACCCTGCGCACTTGCGACAGCAATGCTGACAGCATGGCACGCCTCTGTTGCAATGCCCTGTTGGAGGAGAACGGCATTGCGGTTCTTCTCCAGTGCTTGGCAGGTGAGTTCGCATGGCCGCGTTTGTAACACCAGAGGTGTCATTTCCAGCGGTTATTTGCATGGAAGCGGGTACAAGTTCGTTCACATTTTCCAGCAGAAGTGGAGAGTGCACCGCTTGGTCAAGATTACTTTTCATGGACTTCCCAAATCTCCAGAAGCCTGGCAAGTACATCATGTAGACGGCAATGCAGCTAACAACCGCTTAGACAATCTTGAATACGTAACACCCAGCGAAAACATGCGGTACGCATTCTCCAACCCTTCAAGGCGCAGCAATGGGCCTGCAAGGTCAAAGCCTGTTCTCTGGAGACCGATTGGGTCCACCAGCTGGACATATTGTGCGTCTGCCAAAGTGCTTGCGCAGCATCTTGGCATCCACAGAAACACGGTGGCAGGATATTGCCACAACAACTCGGCAGCAAAAGGCTATGAATTCAGGTTCCCAGATGCAAGCGGGCATACTTTGCCTGGAGAAGAATGGCGACCCATGATTCTCGATCAAAGGGGTCGCGTGTTTGGAAGGACGGTGAGTTCTTTTGGCCGCATAACATCACAAACTGGACTGATAAGCCAAGGGTCCCTTACCCGACAGGGCTACTACACAACGCGTGTGCGCATCAATTCACGTTACCAGAATATATTTGTTCATCGCCTTGTGGCATTTGCCTTTCTTGGGCCTCCGCCAACTGTGAGTCAAACCTTCGTGAACCACAAGGACCTCGACAAAGCCAACAACGCAGCAGACAATCTTGAGTGGGTCTCTCAGGCAGAAAATATGGCACATTTTTATACAACATCCACCTTTGGGCAGGGGACCACCGCAAGGCCTGTTTGGAGCCGGCCGCATGGAACGAATGACACGTGGACCTGGCATCACTCCATGACCAGTGCAGCACATGAACTTGGTCTTAACCGCAAATCTATCTCCAATTGCGCGCAGAAAAAGCAGTGGCAAACTGGCGGGTTTGAATTCCAGCTGGTCGATACCCCAGAGGCAGTCTCTTCCCTTCCTGGCGAAGAGTGGCGAGAAGTCGATGAGCTTGTTCTACAAAGAGATCGAGAAGCGTGCAAACGTGTGTTGTTCACATGACTTTTTTCCATGGATTTAGGCTGGTTTAGGCGACCCTTGCGTTACATGTCAAAGATATTCCCAGACCTGTGTCTTCAGAGGTGTTTGAGAGAGCGTGATTGCGAGACTGCTGGGCTGAACGCGGCACCTTCGTGTTTTGATTGAACATATTCAATCCAACTCCTTGACTGTGTGGTGGTGGTTTCAGATATTGTTTATTACTTTCAACTTCACTTGGGATGATGATTGACCCCGCTGACTTTCATTTTTCAAGTCAGTTGGCACCACCAACCAGTTGAGTGTGGCCTTATTTCCCTTGTTGTTTGCTCTTCCAAAGTCCCGTCGTTGCTCCTGAGTCCTCAGGGGTTCTTGCCTTCTCAAAGGGCGGAGGCTCATGCCGCCAGCCCTTGATTTGCAAAAACACACATTCCACACAGCATATTTCAGCTTGCTTAAGGAACTCTTGCCCGCGACTGCGACTGACTTGTGTTTTCTTGATCACTTGCTCATTGCTTCTATTTGGAAACTGCATTGACAAAAAGATGCTGAAGGCTCAAGGGTCACCAGCATGTCCCTCTACCTGAGCCACAGGTGTCCTTTCTGGACTTTTGGTTGTTCCTGTCAATTTGGATCACAAAGTTGGCTCCCCAAGTGCGCTAGGAATGGTGGCGTGCCAATTTGCATCGAAAACTGGCGCCCGGAAGCCGGGGTTTGAAGCATCGTCACGGGAGCTTTGTAGGATTTGCTTGGCTTTCGGTACATGTGGCGCTCATTTGTGCACCCGGCGCTTGTTGCTAATCAAACAAAGGAATCGTGGAGCACAACAAAAGGGACTTAGGTTCGGTTTGAGGCTTCCAGTGACGGTGACGGTTTTTTTTAACCCAGGACCAGGACCATCACAACATGAAAGAAATAGAAGCTTTGATGGAAGGCCCCTGTGTTGAAAGTTGCCTTTGGCTTTACACCGAAGCCACCACGATACGCTGCCTCAGATGGACATGATGGGACATGAGTTGAAGTGCTTGACAAAGTTGATAGGCGCAACATGGTACACATAGAAACTGGTCGGCGTTCACCTGTTAAGGACCAGCAGGAAGCATCCAACCATGGTGATGTGTTGAATATGTTGCTTTGTACTCCTCGAGGGTCCGGTGGTTTGGAACAGCTATATGAAAGCCCCGGGTCCTGGAAATCACAGTGACATGGGTGCGTGTTGAAATAGGGATTCCTCCCAAAGACCTCCTGGAAGAAGGGAAATGGAACACACATTTCCCCATTGGTTGGGGATCTTAAAATGCACACCCACATGTTCGCCATGTTTGGCCCCAGAGCTCCACCCTATGTTTGCCACACAGCTACACCCCATGTTTGCCACACAGCTACACCCCATGTTTGCCCCAGAGCTACACCCCATGTTTGCCCTACAGGACAAGTATGGGCCAAACATCTTCGATTTGCCGAAGCCTACCTTCATCCAGCGCCTTCTTCGCTGCCTTAGGGGCGACGAGGGATGTGTTAAACTCTCGTATGTGAAAGGTCAAGACCCGAGCTGGGTGGATCACGGTTACCGAGTTACCAACTGGCTTGGCTGGCTAAGGCTGGTGGCATAGTTGTTAGTAAGTGTTTTTGAAGGCATTATTGTCTCCATTGTATTAGAGTCCCCTGATGGAGACCCTGCCGCGCCCGGAGAACACTCCCCGAGCAGACTGCCATGGGAAGTGTGAAATCTAAGAAAATTTTGACCATCAACGACGGATCCTTCTTTCAATCGTGGCAGTGCTGAGGCTCTACCAGAAGCAGCTCATCTCACCTTTGGTGATTTTTCAGCTCTTCTCTTCTGCCCTTTGGGTCATGGATACCATGTGGCGCCCTGGCAGCGTCGTCGTAGGGGCCTGGTTCGTTCGGGGGCCTGGGCAGTGCCGGAGGTTCGTTTGGAGCTTCCTTTTCATGGCGACTAAGGGCTTTCACCGCGACTTAGGTTTTCAGAGTAGATGGGCACGTACGGCACCCCAACATGTCTTAGACAGATGGGGGTCCATATTACAATATAAACCACCGACATTGAGGATTGTGTCATCTACTCTCAATCCACTATTGGAACCAAAAAAATCCTTCCAACAAAGACTCCGGCGTTGAGACATTTCTGTTCAGTAGCTGCTAAGAGCATTTTTCAGACTAGTTGGCTGTCGTTTTTGGACCAGTGGGATGCAGATCCAACATGAACCAGCTTGACATGTTCATATCCTGAGCATGTTCACATGCAGAACAGCATTTCCCCAAAATGTGCTGCCCGGCCCTGAGCACCTGTGCCTTACTGGTAGGAGAAACCACTTCCTGAGCATGTTCACATGCAAAGCTAAGCACCTCCAAAAAATATTCTGCCCAGCTGAGCGATCGATCAGCTGTCCTTAGCAGGAGATATACCTGCTTCACCCTGGGCAGCATTTTGCTCTTCGAAGCCTCCACCGTCTTCCAGCGCCTCAAGTCTATGGCCACCTTACGGGGCATGAGCACGAAAAGCCGCTCAGCCGAGCGTTCAACTTGCGGAGTGCCCAGTTTCCGGGTGAATCCTCGGTTTCCGGGGGAAACGGTTTGGTTTTGTCATGATTTGTTCATGTACCAGGACCCCCAAGGGGCCCTTAACAGCTAAGGGACACCCCTTGGAGGGTCCTGGTATGTTCATGTCTTTCTCTCTCTAACTTTCCGGGACAACAAAGCTCCAAGTGACGTGAGCTGTGGGAGCGAAGACAGCGCGATCCCTGAGCACGCCGCGCCAGGGTGGCACCGGTGCTCGACCAAACACGGCATCGATCGAAGTCTTAATCGTAGGAATTCAGCCAACAGTGATTTTATGGGGCCTTGTTCTACTCTGTTTTACTAAGGATTTAGACTACAAAACCAGGTTTTCTAGAAACTTTGGAACAGTTGGATCCACGACATCGGATGATGAGGATGGTCAGTGTGAACATCCTGACCCAAATAACCGGTCCACCGAAGCTAGCAGCTTTACATCGAGAATTCAGAGACTCCCAACATGGATCAATATGGCATATATGTAAACACTGCATGTATAGGTTAGTTGACCGTCACCCGAACAAAACAAAAAGACACACTTTCAGTTGCATATTCATCCTATACCCACGTTGGGGTAGGCATACATTCCACATCTGAAGGCATGTCGACAGGTTAATGTCTAGGTTAGTTAGTTCACCTCAAGAGAAAGAACATGAAAGAAACACTTTCAGTCGCCCTGCCCGAACCCCCTCACCCGCTCTCAGGCTTCAATGCGTGGAGCCCCAGCCTTCGCCAGGCTTCGACCCTTCAGACCGATGGCACTGGCACACCGAGATGTCTTAGACAAACCTGTGTAACATGTTGTAACATGTGAGATCCCTAGTTTGGCTCAAGTAGTCCAACCCCGAAAAACAATAGTTTCTTAGATCCAAGCTGTTAGCTGTTAGTCTTATATATATATATATAATATATATATGGACTATTTGTTTGAGTAAGTCCTTACATACCAGAATTACATGCAACTATTACATACCAGAAAAATGAAAAATGGCTTCCAGCCAAAGCCACTGCTATGAGACATCATCCTCCAAGGTCTACGTCTTTCGCTGTGGCACCTGGGAGGATCGGCCCATCGAAGATCTTTTGCCAGGGGATTTGATCTCCCTCCACACCAAGTGCCTTGGATCCTCCATCTCCGGGCCGTGAGGAGATGGAGGTCGTTAAGAAAACCTGGACCCGGATGTGTGGCGTGCAAAGAGTTTACGGTCTCCACCGGCCCAGGCTGGTTTGCTAGCTGATGTCGAAATGGGCGAGAAAAGTGTGATCGTTGGAGGTGTTCAGGCGCAAAAAAAGAACCATCAAAGACAGATTCTCCTGAAACAACGGTTAAACACTTTGGGATGTTGTACTTCCACTTATCAATAATCCGGGCCGGACAGGTTGGTGAATCTAAGGGCGGATGAGCATCAGCCTGAGACAGAGGGAGAGAAGCCACCTGAGAAGAAGGATCGGCAGATGATTTTCGTGTCTGTGAGTCGCAGATTGGAAAGAACTGGCTCTAGGTGTGTTCTGTGCAAATTTGATGGAAGTTCAATGTCAACATCGACCGTTTTTGGAACTTTGAGCTTTCCAAGGTTTGACCTCGTTGGAACGCAAGCTGCAAGTCAACATCAACCGATATTGAATGATATTGAACTCTCATCGGCTCAATCGTAGACGGACGACGGATGCTGGCGGAATCGCAGGACACCTTGGTGCCCTGCGATTGTCTCATCATCAACGGAAGCGCCATTGTAAATGAGGCGACCCTGACAGGCCTGGCGACCCGTACAGGTTCGAGGCTTTTTGTTCGATCGAAACGGCCAGCGGGAAGACTCAGCGACTCAGCAGGGTGTTGTCCAACTTAAGAATGTCAACCTGAGAGCTTACATGGAACAGGTCAGGTTCCCTCCCTAGTCGCCATCACCAAGTACAGTACATTCAACTAACAGCCCTCCGACCCAACATTTTGTATCCTTTGGCTCCAGCCTCTTTATAGATTTTTGGATGTTATCGCACCCACCTATCTATTTGTCCAGAAAGGCTCAACTTCCACCCGGGGAGGCCACCCCCACACCAGTGTCCACCTCTGTCAGTGCAGGTGAGTCAGTGCCGCAGATGAAAGATGCCATGGGCCATGGCACTGACCCGGACTTGGTGGTGGATTGCTTTGGAACCCACAGGCGTCGTCTCTCCCACTCTCCAACGGGTAACTCTCCGACTCTCCGTGGATCTCCGTGGGATTTCTGAAATGGATGTGAATACGATGAAATAGGTGGCATGGTAGACCCACAGGCGTCTCTCCGATTTTTGGGGTGTCTCAGAACAGCAAAAAGACGTGGCGGATGAAATCGATCTCGGACATGTGTGTTTTATTGTATTTCTATGTGGGTGGTGTAGGATACCCAGAGAGATCGGCTGGCAGTTGTGGGTGGTGGATGTCGTGGGTGGTAGGTCCTGGTAGGTGGTTACCTGCTCAACTCATCTCATCGGCTCATCCAGAAGTGAGCCGTGGAGTGCTTCTTTATAGCATGCCTCATTCGCGAGTGCACCCACACATGTCTGTTGGGCATGCGCTTGCATGCGCTTGCATGCCCTGGTTCCCGGAACTCGTGCTGCACAGGATCCATGCGCTCTTCAGTGGCACATCCTTGATCCAGACCACTGCTCCCGAACGCGTGCGGAAGAGCAAGAGCGACCACTCGGATCCCACTTGTCCGCCGGACGAGGGCGCCTTTGGTTAAAGCGGAGCGGCCAAGCGGCGGCTGCGGGTGTGGCCCGTTCGTCCGAAAGGGTTTGGGAACGAGATCAACAAGGTGTAAACACTGAACCAACAACTGAAACCAACCAACACTGAATCAACAAGGTGGTTAACACTGAAAGGGTGGTTCGTCCACTGAAAGGGTTTTCTTTGAAAAAGGACTCCCTGTTAACCATGCGATCTTGCGATCTTGAGTGGGAAATCTTTGTGCCATTTGTTTGACAATGATCAGTTTGAAGGTGAATATGTTTCAGGCTTTTCTAAACACCAAAGTCAGACTGATAACCCACTCGAGGTACCATGAGGCCAGTAAGCCACGAAGCCCGGCCATACTGGAAGTCCAACGACGGCTGAGGCATCCTTTGCTTCGTGCTGCGGACTGGCTTCAACTCTTCTCAGGGCCACTTGCAGTTGATCAAATCTCGTGTTTCCCAATGCTGGTGAGTTTTAGTTGCAATTCAATATCAGTATTTTAGTACTATAGACATAATGGACTGTGAATGTGATTCACTTCCCAAACCATAAGTTTTGAGCTGACTTTCCTCGCAAGTTTGGGAAGTTCTATAAATAGGCCTGGCCTCACCCTCTCTGATGCTAACTGTTTCATCCATCTGCAGATTGATCAGCATTGCTCTCAGCATCTGCTCCCCCAAAAAGTCCCAGAGAGCCACGCCACTGTGATCCGCACCGCTTCCCCAGGCGAACTCATGCGGATGATCGAGTTCTCCACCGCGGCTTGGAGCCGGGTTGAGTGGCCGATCTGTCAGAGCTGCGGAGCAAGACGTCCTGAACAAGTGAGAATTCATGCATGGGCGTGTGCGTGTTGTTGTTGTTGTTGTTGTTGTTGTTGTTGGGGGCTAGGGCTGCTTTCAACCAATGGGGGCTTGGTCTATGTTTATTTCCCGGACCTTCCAGGGCGGTCGGAACGCCTGGGAGGTCTCCCTATTCCTGCAGAACTTGGTCCATTGGTGCATCGCTTTCGTTCTCAGGAAAGTGTGGGTGCTGATGTGGTCGAGACGGCCTTACAGTTGGCCTTCCTCTTAGTCTTCGCTTTAGTGGCGGCCGGTTACGTCATGAAGAGCCTGAGCTGTGAGCTGTGAGGGTGGCTGTAGAGGGGGACCATTGTGAGAATTGCAGGAACCTAGCTTATCCTAGCTTTATTCCTTTCTAGGATTATTCGACGTAAGAACCTTGTATCTATCAGAGGTTCCTGACTCGTAATGTTGCTTTTCAAACGATTCTGGCGGGTCGCGGGAGCGTTGGCTTTCCCACTTGGGTGGAAGATGGTGGAAGCAAGTATAGATCAACCAACCCTGCAAACAACTACTGACAAACCAGGGAGCTATTTGGAGTAGTCATCAGTTTTCTACCAACTGATGCTCAGCACCATCCAGCGTCTCAACGCCCGCAACCATGCTATTGGCGTCATATATTGGCCATTGTGACTACTATATGGCGCATGTTGTTGTGCATAAGTGTTGAATTCCCACCAGCTTCCCGCTGACTTGTGAAACCAATTGCATTGACCTTCACACCCTTCACACCCTTCGCACCGGTTCACGTCCTCCCTTCCGCCCGAGCCGAGCCAAACACCGAGGAAGGCGTCGGAGGACCCCACGCGGCCGACCTACAAGACCCTCATCCGTTGCACTCAGCGCCTTGGTCTGGCGCTCCGACCTGCGACCGACGCGACCGCTGCGGGGCGGAAGCCTGGTGCGGAGAGTGCGGTGCGGAGAGTGCCAGGGTGCGCGCGGAATCTGTGGTTGGAATCTGTGGAGTGGAGTGGAGTGGAGTATGTGGGCTTTGCGGTTCGAGGAGGGACATAGTTGTTTTGTGGAAGGTGTCTTAGTCTTTTGGGGTGCGAGGGGTGAACTTGGATTGGGCCCACCATTGCGGAGGATTGCATAATTGAATGTCATGAATCGACCTGGGCTGTGAGCACCACCCCAAAGCCATGTTATGTTCATCAGCCCAAAGCAGGTTGAGAGGCCATTGATAGCCTTTCGATGCCTTTCGTCATGTTCATCGACCAAAGCCTATCATGAGGCTCTTCAGCCCAAAACGCTGTTTCTTTCCCGAACTGGTTCATATCCCCATACCTGGTGAATCTCCCCATCCCGAACTGGTGAATCTCCCCATCCCTATGGGTTCCTGGACCCGTTTTTCCTCCGTTTTCCATCGCTGTCACTCCAGGATTATTACTTCCGTGGTGCCGCCCTCCTTGCCCATGCAGATGGCCTTCGCCGTGAATACCGCGCTGATGAGCCTGCTGAAGCCGGGGCGTCCTTTCTTTTTCGTCGCGAGCGCGTGGCGAGCGATTGAATTGGGGTGGTATACGATGGGTATATAGTTGGACAGACCATCTCGCAGCAGTTGTGAAGACATGGAGTCAGACCAGGTCATGACACTATATGGTTTGTTTGGACTGGCTACAAGTAGACCTCCACTTCGTGTGAGAGTAGAGCTCGACACCAAACATTGCAGAATGCAGCGCCAGACAGAGTTCTTTGCAGCAGTGCTTGAGCCGTTTCCCGCATCATTCCGCCAGGGGTGGCATCTATTGCACCGAGCCATTTCGCGTGCCCTACGCTGGACGTGTGTCGCATTGCTTCTTCGACAAGCTTCTGGGCAGCGATCGTGGACAAAGCACATCGCTTACACAGGGGGGTTGGTCCAAGGGATGGTAGGTGGGATGGTAGGTGGGTTTTGACCCGTGGGATCCTGGACCACCAAAACTGAACCGATTTCCATGAATTAAAGGATGTCAACCTTCCATGATCTGGTGGAGGAGGCTTTAACTTTGACACTCAAAGAGCCCCGGTCGTTTGGTCCCACTGAGGACTGGCACTTTGACTTCAGATCAAATGGTGGCCGTGGGCATCATCAATGCAGGCAGCGACGCAGTGGGTCACCCCTTGTGGGCGAATCCTACCGTTTAACTTCGCAACAACCCGGGCTTGGTGGACAAACTGCTTCTCCAAGCCCTAATGTTGCAAATTGGGAGGCTGCTTTGTGACGGCGTTTGCTATGAACAAGGTGTTTGGGTTCAGGGTTGTGGATTTAGATGTAGATGAAGTTGCTTCGGCCTCAAGACCGTTATAGCTTCATGCAGAATAGCTTGGTGCGGGGTGGTTATCGTTTCTTTACAGCTCCAAGTAGCTTCTGAGAAGGTGTTTGGGGTGGATGCCAGGAGGGTCCAAATCCCTTCTGAGGAGGTACTTGGAGCCCTAGGGTTAAAAATGGTTTGCGATGTCATTGATTCGTTCGCCAAACGTAGCGACGTAGGATGCAGTAAGGCGACAACAAACATCCACCCAGGCGGTCTCAATGAACCTCAAGAGAACTCTAGTCTAAGCTCTGCCTAAGCGTAGATAACTTTGTTTGGAACCCGAGCCCATAGACTTTCAAGCAGAAAAAAATAGAACTGTAGGGATCTCCACTGCACACCTAAGACCGAAGATGGTCAGCAAATCTTTCATTTTCCTTTTTGGCCACTCCGTCCAAAGCCCCAAGTGCATACACTTAGATTGAAAGCTCTCCGCACGGGCTCTAGTAGTACACCCTGCGCGCGAGTATACTCTGCTGCCCTGGTCCTGCTGCCCGGTTTCAGGCGGCTCCAGTGGCAGCTCTGCGCCCAAGGTGGCACAGGTCGGCTTGTTCCGCGCCAAAAAAAGACAAATGGGACACTGCCAACAGAGGTTGCATGACCCGAACTAGACATCTAATAGACTATCCCAGTTGGGTACTATGTCATGTCAGTGACGGTAGACTGGGAACCAGTGACCGGTACTCCGGGTCCGGTCGGCGACCTCTCGGGCGATGGGTCCGTCCATTGGCCGCGTGGCCGGGACGGTGCTCGGGGACGGACCTCGCAGGACATGGGATGAGAGGTCTTTTTTACCCATAGACTCCATGGGACTGTCATAGGACTGCCCATCAGGCCAGGGGTCGTTTTGGGGGTCAATGGATCGGCATATATGGCAGTCCCATGGAGTGTCTGGGTTAGTACCCAGACTGACTGACCTAATATAGTAGTCTCACTGGATGAAAGCATGTGAGGGGGTCGTTTTCGTGCATTTCGACTTCAAAACCATGAGTGATCATTGAGTGTATGTCCTTTTTTGAACCTCCTCCCACTGATGTTGACAACTAAAGCATAGATACTCCATGCATTGCAATATTGACAGGCATGGGTTACTTGGGAAAGGCATGGAAGATCTATTGACTGTTGCTTGCATGAATTCCCTTTTTCGCACCCATCTTCTTCAGCCAATGCACCTGCAACAACCTGCAAAACTGTTTACGGAGGCCATGTGCAATTGAATCTGCAGGCATTGGGCATGCTTTTAGTTTTCTGCATGAATGAAAGGATAAGGTATCAGAAGGAAGCACAACACGACCCCGGACAGGTGAAAGATGCCAATCCGATGGCCTGTGTGGTCATTGCTGGCTGCCATTCCCTGTACCTTGAATGAGCTCAGAGTGAGCAATCCTCCGTCGTGAACAGTTTGTTTTGCTGTTGTTGTTGTTGTTGCGGTGGTGGGATACTCTATCGACATCCATTCCTTTTTTCGACAAGAGATGACAAAAGGATACACAACCCTAGGGCTACAAGTGCCTCCTCAGAAGGTATTTGGACCCTCTAAACCCACCCCAAGCACCTTCTCAGAAGGCGCGACTGGAGCCCAAATGGGAAAAGGCCAATTCACGGGATGGGGAGGTTGCATGGATCGGCAACAGTCAAGTACACGTAGGCGTGACTGGAACTACCATGAACTACATGTATAAGTAGACTGTTGATTCAGAGATCCCCCCACATGAAATCATATGAAGAGGTCTCGCAATCCATGTTTGGGAGGGGTTTTATTCCTGGACCCTCCAAAGTAACTTAGAAAATGGGACGTGACCCTATAAAAAACAGGTACTGGTACACATTTTCTGAAGTACTTTGAGACTGCAGGCAGGTCCAGAGTCTACATGCGCATTTCCATTCCATCAAGTCAACATCCCGCCTCAGTGAAGCCAACCGGCGCCACTTCCAGCAAACTGGCAGTATTGCTCCCAGGATCGAGGTGGAGAACAAGCTCCTGGGAGATCCCATCGAAGTTGCGGCCCTGCGACGCTTGGCGTTTTCTCGTTGTTTTGGAATCACCTAAAGGCCTAAGCCTAGAGGCTTGAACACTAGCTGGTGCTCAGGAGGGAGCGACAGGAGTGGGGAGCATCCATATTCACCATGAAACAGGGAGCCAAGGAGCTACAAGGAGTTCCTCGACCCCGACAGCTAGTTTACTCCACTTTTTGTTTGCTTGCATTTGGTGTTTGTGTCATGTGTAGTCTTGTATGTCAAGGCCTAGGGGGAGAAAAAACAAAAAAAACATGTTTGGTGTGCATCTGCATATGTTTTACAACTATACATGATATAGGTTTCTGGTCTAAGGTCTATGTCTATTTTCCACCCCTTCCATGGGGTTGTCGTTTGGGAGATTACCTATTTGATCCGATTTGAGCTCATAGAATGAGGCAAGTTTGCTTGTGCTCATCGATTCTAGTACCTCCCCCCCCACAGTGGGAAGGATCATGGTCACCGTGGATCACCCATTCTTGCTTCGATCTGTTGGGGTCGTTCTTTAAGAACGCAGCCCATGTTCTTAACTTACCCAAAGGAACATGGGCTGCGTTCTTAAAACCAGGACATGTTCGTTTACCCATGTAACAATTCCTGAAAACATGGCATTTTGCGCTTTCTCCGAGAACCCTTTGCCCTGGATGTTGAGTCAGAGATAAACCTAGCGTGGCAACTGGCGTGGCTAGGGGCTCATGGGGTGATTTCATGTAGTTCAGGTATTCAGTTTCTCAAGTTCTCAATTTCTAGCCACCTTCCTCACATTCCAGCCCATCCGGTTCATTGGGGCAAACAAGATATCGCAATTGTAGATCGCCCACATATACCTGACTTAGCTTCTTCAATGTCTCCCAGATCGTTTAGCAAAAACCCTATCATCGCTCTCAGGAAGTATCTCTTGGAGCTACCAGCCCAGTAGCAGCACCGCTTCTCCAACCAATTGGAGGGCGAAGGACGAGTGACATGGGCAGGACGAGGTTGAAGAACCCCAGGCCACGAGCATCCAATCAGTAGGTCTATGGGGTTGAAGGTCACTAACCCCTATATATAACGTCCCCCAGTAGGGTTGAAGGTCTCTTAACCTCTCAAACCCTTTGGGCGTGTGGCCACGTGGGGGCACCAATCTTCGCGTTGGTTGATGTATTTTTTGTCCGCGGTGTTCTTCGCACTCGTCCAGCGAGATTTGAGGCAGCGTTCGTCCAGCGATCGCTTCTTTGACTGGTTAGCTTTCCTTGACCTGCCATCTCTCGCCTCATGCTTTGGTTGATCATGGACATGTCGCATGAATCAGTTTCAGCCCAGGCCCTGGAAATTCCCTCCCCTTGTTCGATGGATTTGATGAGTATGACGATGTGTTGACACTGACTCCTTTGCCCTTGATCACATCGTATAGGGTTCCTGTCTCACATCCTAAAAGAGGGTGGTTGGGGTGGGTGACAGGGGAGGTCTAACTACTTTCCGAGAATGTGGGACAGGAGCCCTAGGGAAAGATGTACAAGTTAACCTCATGGTCCCCAAAGAGAGAACTCCATTGGCACTAAGACCCTGAAATGGAAGGCCCTGTGGTTTCGACACGTTTCGACCATGATTCCCCTACAAAAAGCCAGTGGTTTCTATGGAGTGCAGGGTAGTAACAGTTCTGAGACGGCACTCTCCAGAGGGGTCTCGAGCCCACCACAGCGGCCACTGTGGTAGGAGATCACCATTGCTCGGCAAAAGACCTACATGGCTGGATTGAAAGATGATATTGAGTCAGACAAGAAGGAGAAGGAAGAGGCTGCTTGGCGATGTTTGGCTATGCCCTATAGGGCTGCAATCCATCGGTTGCGAGTCGGATCTGGACCCTCCAAAGTACCCTGGAAAAGGGTACATGACCCTCTAAAAGACAGGTACGACTGTACCATCTTGTAGCCATTTTCCGAGGCAGGGGAAGCCTGGCCCATTTGTAGAAACGAACTAGGGTATCGATATCCCTGCTGCAATGTAGGAGTGTGTAGAGTGTTGTAGTGCTTGGCACATTTGGGTCACTGAGCGTAGCAAATGGCATCTATGTCTATATATAATATATATATATATGACTGATCGTCCAGCCCCTTACTCATTGTTTCGCAACATAGGGCAACCTTGGGCTCGTCCTCAGGACGCAATGCCCTTGTAGGTCAACCATCGGTCCCGGCCACACCCAAGTCCCTTCGCAAGGTCCGTGTGTTCGCGTCGCTCGAGCTCAAGGGCGTTTCTGCCCTTCTCGCCTTCAGACGCACGATTTGGGCTTCGATTTTTCGGGTTGTTCAGGGCTTCGGCATCCGGACTGGAATATGATCCCTACCCCCGTTAGGTACCCACATTGTAACTTACACTTCCATACATTTGTTTAGGTCCCCCTTATATAATAGGTAGGAATGGAAGATTGGTTGATGCCAAGGGGTGATGTGGAGATGTGGGTGTAGGGCTTCAATGGGACCGTAAATGTTCTCTAGTCCCGTTTTGAAGAGACAGTTTCCAGAGAAGACGTCGACCTTTGCTGGTGTATCCTGGAGTGTAACGCATCCCGTGCCAACCTGATCTATTCCATTCTATTCCACATCTTCAGCATGGCGTCAGGTCACGAAGAAGCTTCAAGAGCTTGAGAAGAGCTGCTGGACTGCGCTTGGAATTCACTTGTTTCGGTTGCTGCAAGATGATGCTTTGTTCACCCCACCTGCTAGGCTGTGTTAGGACTCCAGGCCCATATCAGGGGCTAGTCACTAGTCACGCCCAGACATACCCAGACCATCCATTCAACTGGAGACTAAACAATTGACCCTCAAGGCATCTGAACAAAGCACCCTGGCCGGCCCTGGCCAATCAACTCCAGCTCCCATGGATTCTGGGCGAAAAAAACTCCAGACACGATTCAGCTGAGGCTTGAAGCAAGACCGCACGGAAGCATCCAAGCTCACGGTGCAGATCAAGCATCGCCGCTTGCTGTATGTTTTTTGTACCTGGACCCTCCAAAGTACTTTAGAAAATGGGACATGACCCTATTGAAAAAAAACAACAGGTACTTGTACCCATTTTCTGAAGTACTTTGAGACTCCAGATATGCGTATGTTCTATCTTTTGAGATCCAGGTGTGTTATCTAGATACTTGAATTGACTATGGTTAGTTCAGCAGCAGACAGACATGGAGGTTGTAGCATAATGAAAAGTATACGTGAGATGGAGCCATGCAGAGAGAGCGCCACCTCAGTGGCGAAGAACTGCATGGAGGGTGTTGGAAGGTTGGTCTTCTTTGAGTGAGTGATAGTAAGCAGGGCCATGGGCGGAAATGAGGAAGATGTGGGAATCCTACCCAAGAACCTCGGGCATTGGCTTACCCAAGGCATGCCCAACTGCAAAAGATGGAACCATATTCCTGAAACGATGCATTGTTGGCCGGTTTTGTTGCTACTTGCGATGCTTTTTGGATCAAAGCTGGTGTGTTCGACCGTGGGCAGGGCGACTGAAGCGACCGCAGGTTATCATTTCTCTTCTGACTTGCAGAGGAGCCGGGCATTTGAGAGGGAGGCTCACATGAGCTCGTGTAGTGGGCTCAGATGCTTCGGCGTAGGGAAGCTGAAGACGGATAGTCGCGGGCGGTTTAGCAGACCAATCCAGACATGGGCTCAGCGGAGATGGGCCTGGAGCTACTTCGCATGGGGAACCATCTTCGTAGGTGAAAAATCACTCAGCCCAGGTATTTTAGCAAAGGGCCCAGGAAGTGGTCACCAGGAATGTCTGGGGTTTAGAATCATTAGACAGACGTGGGCGCCAGCGGCATTGTACTGCGAGCCCTTGGCAGGATGAGCACGATTTGCAAAGTCGCTTCTTCAACTGAGAAGTGCCAAAGCGGTGTGCCCAGGCTGCAGACGATTGAACATATTTGGAGGATTTTGGAGGGATGCCGCACTCCAGGCTCTTTTGGGCTCTTCAGGGTCTAGCTTTGGGCGTTTGGAGTTTGGAGGGTGCAGGTGTATCATTCAGTTCTACCAATCTGGAGCTTTGAAGGGAGCAACTTGCTCGGTCTTCGTGCTGCGGCTCGGATTTGGCTTCTTGGACTTGAGGCGACCATCCCTGACACCCAAAGAAGTTCACGGCCATAGAGCTGGAACCAGTGGGCATATGTCATTTGTTTGTTTTCATGCATAAAGATGTCACTTTTATCAGGTCAAGGTCGAATGTTACCACTATCACCAGTGACTATTTCTTCGAGTCACTTGCCTATCAAGGCACGCCCGTGGATTCTGGCCGCTTCATGCACCACGCAGTCCCACCGTCCACCCCACACCACCCCCCCGAGGGCCACCTCACCGGTGCATCACGCCGGGTGGACTGGCTCTCCGAGGTCTATAGCTTGGTCAAAGGCTCCCCCGAGGCGATCGCCAAGCTCTTGGTGCAGCTACTTGGGCGTTGTTGTTGGCCGAAGTGGTTAGGTGGATGGATCCTCTACGGATGTCCATATAAATGGTGATACAGTTTGGATCAGTTTGGAGCATGTCTGAAAACCAAGAGTGTTGCAGGTTGGGATGTTCATCTAAGTGACTTCAGTGCAGCTCCTGAGTTTCAATGAATTGAACGTTCGAACGGTCAGAACCCGTGACGAAATCGCTTCCAGCCGGTCCCCGCGGAGCGGCGGAGCCGTGGAACTCGCTCGCTCGCGTGAGGAAACCGTCTTGGTACGAGAGCTCCTACAAGTCCATGGCGGAGCAGGGCCAGCGAGTGTTGGCCTTGGGCTATGCACGTTTAGGCACGCACCATTGGGGTGGGCCTAAGAGGGAAGTGATATGAGGGAGAGGAACCAACCTCTTTGGGCGGATGTTCTTTGGAGGAGCATTGCTTGTTTGACTTGAACATGCTTGTTTAGGTCTTGCTTGGGAGCATTGGCGATACAACTAGACCAGCTGAGCAGAAGGACCATGTTGCTCAAAAGATGTCCCCTCCCAAAGTTCAATAGGCCGTCTTGCCCAGACGTTTCTTTCAATCACATCACTCAGATATTGTTTGTTGTTGTTGTTTTTTCTCCAGCCTGGGTGGACTAAATCACTTATGAGACTTATGGAGCTAGTACTAGTGTGGCCCTGTGCAACTGGGGGTCGTGGCATGTCATGGTCCGGCAAGCGTCCCGCGCACTTTTCCCAGACACAGGTCAATGACCTCATTGTACTTGAGTTGGTCATACAAAACAAATACTCGAGGAGGTACAAGACCAGCTTTTGCCACAAAAGATACTTGGATTTGCAAAAGGAACCGGGAAGACGACATGTCCCAGGTATGGGGATTCACCCAAACAGACCCAAACCATAGGGAATAAAAAAGAAAGTCACCTCAAATCCGCCCAGAACTACCATCAAGGACTCAACCAGAAGTCCTCCCCATGACATCCAGACATCCGCACGAAGACGCCACTTACTCACGCCTTTCAACCCACCTGCGGCCTGCGGCCGACGCGCAGTGGATGCCACCGACCTGGCGAACAAGCCGAGGGAGGAGGTGGAGAAGTCCTTGACCTTTGCGGGATTCATTGCCTTCAAGTGCCGCCTGGACCGCGGTTTCGGTACTGCCGTACTGTACTACTGCCACAGCTTGGTATCGTGCGTGGTCGGACCGTGCATGGCCTTCCTCACCGAATCCCTCGTTCTCTGAGGTGAGACGCGGAAGGATAGCATGTTGGTGATCCGTTCCCTACAGGCGATGCAACTGGTGGGGCCACCGGATGGGATGGAACATGGGCGGATGGGGCGAAAAAAGAACGGGTGGTACTGTGGTACCGACGTTTTTTCTTCCACGATTGATTGCTACAATTTTGTATAGGGTGTTTTTTTCTAGATATTCAATCCTAGATAATGTTTTGGGAGGCATCACCAATTGTGTATAGAGGATTTCATCCTATATTATTGATGTTTTTTCACTTCACGAATTTGAACAAAAACACGTTTCAATAAAGTCATGTTTCTCCACCCAAAAACGTGCCACGTTGTTTTGTTTTGTGGCAACCTGGCCGACAGTGCCGACAGTGCCGGATGAATTCACAGAGCGCTTTTCAGGACTCCAGCCACACTTGCGTGATGCTCACGGGCGATGCTCCCCTGACCGCTCTCAGCGTGGCGGTGGAGGCGATGATTTGGGGTCAAAAAATGTCCAGCTGGAGTGGATGTAGGCGAACGTGTGTGGATGAAGGAACTGAGAAGAAGATAGAGACTTGATGAGATGATGACTGTGTTGTGAGCGTTTGGATACTGAGGAGTGGATATTTTTGTCTAGCTCAATGTTGAATGAACATCACTTGGGATGAGGACCGAGGAGCCAAATCAGAACCCAAATCACTTGGTGAATCCCAATCTCTGTAGCAGTTCACAACCAGCTGCCTCCATGATGGTGCCAAGATGTCCTTGTTGTTATGCATCCCAAAATCACCAGGCCCATCTACAGGTCATGGGCCATATTTGCAGTCCGGTCTGGGAATGTGATGATATCAATGTAGGTATTTTCCCATTTTTCTCGCATCTCACTGGATGTTTCACTTGGAGTGGCCACTGTTTCGCCGCGATCACCGCTTTCTATCCCTCAGGTGGGCATCGCGACCTTTGATCCACAGAAGGCCCTGGTGCTGGCGGAGTGTGGCGAGTCTGTGGAGTGGAGCTTAGTGTTGCGGGGACAGTCCAAGGACTGGGTGTCCTTTACATTAGCAGATGTTCATAGATGTTCTATTTGCAAACTCGTGCGTCCTAGGCCACAGATGCGAGTTGTGAAGTTGCATCACATTGTCTCTCTCTCTCTCTCATTCCCCCTCTCCCTCTCCCTCTCTCTATATCGTAGATTGTAAACCATCCACATATACACATGCAAAAAAACGTGTGCATCTACCGTATACAGTTTTAATAGCTGCTGATGTGTGTTTTTTGCCTTTGGTTCGATCCTGCTTCCTAAGGAGTGGCGACCCGCCATCACTTCGGCCAACAGCAAGGCACCGGGGGAGAAGCTCCGTGCGTTTGTTCGCTCAGTGCGCGAGCTGCTCAGTGGGGGTCTTGAAGGGTTGGGACTTCTTATTTTGGAAACCACTGTGGATTTCTTTTGCAGGTCATGAAGGCTTCTTCCCAAGCACAGTGGAGTTCTGGCAGAAGGTTTTGGGATTGGAGGCATGAACCTGTGAAGTGGAAGTGTGAAAGAGTGGGGGGTAACTGTGTGCTTTTTTTAAGTCAAAGAGTGGGGATAACTGGTTATGTTTATGTTGAAGTAACTCAGATTCTTTGATTTGTTGGATTTGATTTGAACCTGAAATGGCTTCCCATGCCGTCTACGGCTGAGGGAAGGCCCGGACGTTGTGGTGTGAGACTGTGCTTCGCCAATCACCCTGTGCTTGGCTTCCCATAACTCACAGGAGCGATCCCAAACCATCCCAGAACGATGATACCGTGTGGACATATATTTATACCATCCACCTGGACCGTCCAAAGTACTGTCGACAATTGCACATGAACACAGGGAAAAAAAACAGGTAGATTTGTACTCATTTTCTGAGGTGCGTGCTGAGGCTCCAGGTGTATTCAGTGTTCCTTCTTCTGAGCCACCAACCACTGATACCACCAACCCATCATGTGAATCTCCCGCTGAAGTTCGAGGCAGAGCCCGTGAAGTTCGAGGCATCAGGCCATGGAGAGAGAGAACTGCCAGGTTTCTCCAAGTAGAAGCCAGATACCCTCAGCTACTAGGGTCTAGAATGGGAGACCACCAAGTAATTGAGGGTATCCAGCCAGGACATGTGGGTGTCAGAAGTGGCTCAATGACCGGTAATGACCGGAGATCTATCTAGGCCCTTTGGGTTTGGCATGTCTACACTCACTCAGCCCCTTTGCGTTAGTGAGTGGGAGGATATTTGTTGTGTTCGTGGGTTAAAGAAGGACATCTGCTTCAAGAAGCGGGTGCCTTGTACTAAGTACAGGTGAGTGGGTCCTGATTGTTCATGAAGCTCGTTCTGGAGGATCACGATGGAGTCACACAACAGACCATTTATTATATAAATTCAAAAAACAATGTATTTAAATACTGGTTTGTCTTAGCTAGGGTGAATTATAATATGTTGCCAATTGGTGAATCCTCTTCTGCATGGGGGAATATTATGTTTTGTTCCAAGTTCCTCATACAAATCAAAATTATTAAGCATGAGTGCTCATATTTAGAGTCACAGCCGTGGCAGACAAAGCTGGTCTATTCATCCGAGCACAGCCGCGCTCTTTCTACCGGTGGCTTTCGCCTTTGGACGCGCCAGGGATCCAGAAGCTCAGTGAGAGCTGCGATTTGATCATCACCGGCGCGCCCCTGGAGCGTGCCTGGCAGATGGAGGACAGTGCAGTGATGCAGGCAACCGATGGGAAAACCACGACGCGCGTTCGCACGGTGATGAAGCGTGCGTCCTTTGTCTTCTTTGCGTCGTTTTCAGCGCATTTCGTCTACCGGCCTCGGGTAGTATGCGGTCTTGGCAAGATGCGGAACCGAAACATTGAAGGAACCGTGGAAGATGGGTTTTCGGATAGTTTTAGAGCTTGCAGACGTCCTCATGAATTTTGAGACTGCTGGTTTTGACTCTTTGTGAGGGAGGATGCAGTTCTTTGAGGGAGTAGAGATTGTTATCACTGATTCCGCAGAAGCTCCAGCTGCTCCAATCCTGCGAGGCACAGCTCAGTAGCGTGAAGATCTTTGCGCGGCTGTCGCCCTTCCAAAAGGAGCAGATCATCCAGGCTGGTGTTACACTTCGACGAACTTGTGGAAGTTGGAAAAGCCCCTGAGTGGTCTTCTAGGGACCCATGCCATGTTAGTGAGTCAGAGTGTAGGCTGTCGAATCTTTTGACGATTCCGAACAATCCCGAAGCCAACAGTAGTCAGTAGACCACTTGTTCGAACGAGCGTGGACCAATCTTCCGAACAATCCCCAATCAGTTGGCTCTTGGCATTTCCCCCACCTGTGCAGCACTTCCCCCACCCTCCTTTTCCATCTACGTGCTGCGCGACGCCCGCGCGAGCACGCGTCTGGTCAGGCAGTGAGGAGGAGCGAAAAGAGCTACTCCTTTATGTGCGGGGATGGTGGCAACGATGTGGGCGCCCTAAAGGAGGCTGGCCGTTTGAAGGTGGTTTTCTTTGTCCTGGGTGGGGACCCCTCCCCCAGACTAATTGGTGGGTAATTGGCGAAGTATGTGATAAATACAGGGTGCAGATTTATGATTTGGACCTGTAACTCCACAACTTTTGGGCGAACAATTTCAGAAGACCATCTTACCAGGAGCCTTGTTTGGAGTAGAGAGATGTTATTAATGTACAGTACTAGGAGTGATCATTTTTGGAGGTTGACCGAAGCAGCTTTGTTGGGGAGCATGATGAACGCATCATGCGGGCTCCTGGGTATGGCTAAAGCTGTTTGTTTAGATTTCATGAACTCTTGCCATGACTCACCAAGAAAAGCAGGAGTCTCCTCCTCACGGGTTAAACACGGCCCAGAAATTCAACGTATGAGTCGACTGTTGGTCGATCCTTCTTGCCGCATATCCTTTCATGCGTCGTCGCGACCCTAAGAAGCGAGAAGCGAGACTCGCGCGATCGCAGGCGGATGTGGGCTTAGCCTTGCTGAGCGGCTTCGGCAATGCCAACGTGGACGCGAAGGGCGAGGCGTCAAGCGTCGCAAGAGTCGGCGACCTTCGACCGGACTGGCAGTCCTGAGTCCCGGGGCTGTTGGGCCGGAGTCTCCTTTAACTTGGCGGCGGTCCTGGTCTGGTGGTAACAGGAGGGTTTTGGAGTTCCCTGTGTTTTTGTTCAGGTTCTGAGGCCGAAATGCTTCCATCTTTCCCCAAGCTGGCCAGCAGCGCACCAGGAGGGGGACAAGAAGGAGGCCACAGACGGGAAGGCGGAAGACGCGCTGGAAGCGGTTCGAAAAGAGAACCAGCAGAAGGCGCAGGAGATCATGCAGCCGCCTGGCAGATCAGCTCTACACTCCCTGGAAGACCACAGGGTGGAAGTGGAGAATGGCCCCAAGTTCGGAAGACCGTTTTCCACGACAAACAGGTGGTTTTCCACTTCCATGTTAGTTCCAGGGAGTGTAAACCTTCCCGGTAGCGCAGGAGAGGGATGAAACGGAGTGCGAGCCGGTGAGGGATGAGGGATGATAGCGAGAGATCGAGCGGGAGTTCCCCAAACCCCCAACCCAGCTAGGAAAATCCACCTTTTTGGATCAGGCCAGCTAACCCATACACTCCATGTATGCCATATATGCCTACATTGACCCCCCAAACCACCCCAATGTAGGCATATATGGCATACATGGAGTGTATGGGTAATATCCCTTCGGATGTTGAAGAGGTTCGGCCAGCTGAGCGAACTGGCGATCGGGGCAATCGTGTGGTGGGCTTGTCCGGGTCGGCAGACCTCACTCCATGTCCCAAGTAAGCCGACTCCCATGCAAACCGGACACGTGTCGCTCCATCAGGGCGCCGGGGACAAACCTCTTTCGTGCACCCAGTCAGGGCTCCAGTCGCACCTCCGAAGCGGTGACTGGGGCTGGCACCCGGACCCCCAGTCGCACCATTCTGATGTTTTCGGGGTCAATGCAAATGTTCCAGTCCCATGCAGGAGTGTTTGGGCATGGTCTGTTTATGTTTGTTGTTCTTTATCTTTTGTTTTCTCCCATGGTCTGGGATCGCCTCTTGAGGTGTACAACAAAATACTCGTCTAAGTTTAGCCCAAGTTGAAGGACCCTACAGACATCCATAGACCTACCCTCCCTCCAACCAACTCGGAGAGCCGCATCACTTCAGGAAGTCGAAGGTGGAGATGGAACGGAAGCGAAAGGACCTCGGCTCGTCCCGAGCGGGACCGTTCCGGGCGCAACTCCAAGGCTGATCAGGGAGTTGCCCGTCCTTGACAGATTGGGGTCCTTATGAACCACTGACATTGGGGTGTGTGCCTTCTATACTCTCAATCCACTATGATGGATGTTCCAGTGATGTTGAGACTTTTCACAGCAACTAGTGCGGTCGTTTTCCTATTGTTCGACCTCCAGGGTCCGAAAGAGGATCGGAGCCGCGTGCAAAGATTGATTGAAGGGCCACCCTTCTGTGGCGGTAAAGGCTCTCCACTGCACTGGGGGATTTCTTTTGTTCTGTCCATGCAGGGGATATGTGTGAATCAGGACTCTTCAGGACTTGCTTCGAAGGGATTTGGACTCCAAGGGGCATCCTCCAAGGGGTTTACTACTTCACTGCTTGTGATCTGAGATATCTGAGGAAGTTTTTCTCTTTCCATGTCTGACTCTGTCAGGATTTGGTCTCCAAGCAGCAGGAATGGATCCAGGACGGCCACGTCGTGAGTTCCGCGTTTCCGCTGCGTCGCGGCGCCGCGGCCTCGGTGCGCTCGGACGCTGCGAGGGTGGCCGTGTGGACCCTCCACCCCCAACTCTGGAGATCAAAAGCCGGCTATCTGAAGGTATCATATATGGAATGCTATTCTCACTTATGGTTTACATATGGACCCTTTTCACTCACCCCAACTGATCGGTGAATATTGTCAGTCCTGACGGGAGTCTTTTGGCTTTATTTGGTTGGCTGCTCCGAAGAGCTTTTGTCCAATGTTTAGGCTTGAGACATTGCCTTAATGACACATGTTTTGGGTTGGTTGAGGGTTGAATGTCGAAGGCCAAGAAGTGAAGGAAGAAAGAATGAATGAACGAAAGAAAGAAAGATCCCCCCGTCCCCACTAATCATTTCACCAATGAGTCTCGGCTTTGCTTCGTCACGGTTTTCACCGTGACCGGTCGCTCCCAGGAGGAGTTGGAAGCGCGCAAGGCGCGCGGCGAGGACGTGGGCGTCATGGCGCAGTTCGGTGCCATGAAGGCCGTGATGGGCCGACTGCAGACGGAGATGAAGAAGGACCGGCACATGATGCGCGATGCGGGAGCCAAGCTCGCGGGGGTCCGAAGGCGATCCGGAAGGCGAGCTGAAGAGAGCTGTGGAAACTTGGGCAACTAGAGTTGGGCGACTCTGTTTGGGCGACGGAGGGATGGAGTCAGGAGGCCTGTTTTGGTTGGGGTGGTGTTCCGAGTGTCTAATATTGTGTATTTTTTAAAAACATGGTGGCGCAAGATTCAAGAGGTGCAAGCAGAAGACCGCTAAAGGACCAACATGTTTGGAATTCCTTCATGGTCTGAATGGGCATGGTGGATGCTTTGGATTGTGCTTTCCATGGCAAGGAGCAGGAGATGCAGCAGAAGAAGCATGGCAACGCCTTTGCTGCTGGAGCAGCCAAATGGGCTGAAGGCAGGGAGTGGCGGGAAATGTCTATGCATGGCTGTGCAATGGGTGAGGCCAGCATAGTATAGCTAGTTCCAGACACTCCGCAGTAGAGAGGAATAGGCTAGGCTACATGTAGGTGGTTGCAGTGATTTGTACCTTGGATTGGAACTTGCGGGCTGTTTGATGGATTTCCTGCAAAAAGATCAGATCGTTTGAATTGAGCTGTCATCACAGCATATATACCTGGACCCTCCAAAGTACCTTAGAAAATGTGACATGACCCTATACAAGCAGGTACTTGTACCCATTTTCTGAGGTACAAACTGAGATTCCAGGTGACAGTCCATCAAGCCCTCCAACTGACACCTTGCCTCCTTCGTGACAGTTCGTTCCATCCTATCAGAGGCAGCATCACCAGTTAGAACGCTTGTTGGACAAACTGGTCACACTGGAACTTACATTCACTAACAATCCATGTATGTATGTATATATACCCTAGACTTCCGAGGCCATTAAAACATGGTTGACCTGTTTTTTTGTAGTATAAAATCCTTATATTAGTTATTTCGTAAAGCCTATTAAATTAATGGTGGTTGGAAGCCTAGGGTATATACGGAATATGTTTCTATTTCTACCTATGTTGACTCCTTAAATTCATTTCAAAATCACCCCAACAGATCGGCAAATATTCCAGTCCCATGAGGATGGTTAGTCAGATTGAACTTGTGATTCCAAAGAACTGCTCCCTGAGACCCTGGCCTGGGCTCATCTGAATGGACTTGTTCACCTCACCCAGCAGCATCCAGCAGCTTTAGAACGGTGTTTTCTACCTCACTTGGCCTCCCCAAACCACCGAACCCTCCCACCGTTTCCGCCGAGAAGGACGTCAGTTCCACCGTTTGTGTGGTCTTCCGTTTGTTAGGACTGGATTCCATGGAGGACACGCCCATGGTGCAGCTTGGGGACGCCAGCACCGCGGCGCCCTTTACCACGCGCACGCCCTCCATCAGCTCCGTCCCTTTGGGAGGAGTGGGGGGAGGAGGCGACCGGCGGTTGGGAGGTGGAGATCCAGCGGTTGGGAGGTGGTACACAGAGGAGGGGGGTACATATAGTGGTCCTTTAGACAATTACACCAACCCATCCGGACCTTAAAACCGGGATTCTGGACCTTCTCCAGATGGAAGTGGGTGGAACATGGATGGACCTCCGAGGTTAACGGATTTTGGAGTTGATTCGGGTGGAGAAGAAGCCTTTTGGGTCCATCTGTCTGGGCCACCGACCACATTCACTGAAAGGTTTAGGACGCTACTTGCATTGATGTCGGTATGAATTGAAGATGTATGGTATGGATTGGATGGTTGAGTGCTGGGTATGGAAGGTTCCCACTATTCCCACATGTCTGGTTCCATCAGTTGTTCCATCTCATGGATGGTCTGGGATGATCGTCAGCTTTTAATCCTCACACATCCGCCGTGCTGTCCTAGGTCGTTGACATCATCCGCCAGGGCCGCTGTACCTTGCTGTCGGCAGTGCAGCAGACTCTCAGCTCAACCGCTTGAGAAAGAACACTACCCCTAAACCGCTCCAAGCATCTCCGTTTCGAAGGTGTTTGGGGCGAGTGGCGGGCCTCTAGCTAGGGATGTACATGGAACCCCATCTCAAAAGAGCTGGACACACCAGGTTGTGACCCTGGCGCGGGAGTTCTTCTCCAAACACTCCATGGATGGAAGATATGCCAGGTGATTTTCAGGGGCCAATGTAGTATTCCATACATCAAGTGCTTGGTTCTATCAACAGTAGTATCGTAAATGATCGGTTCCTTAGGGTTGACCCTCCAGGCAGCTGGTTTAGTGGCTATGTATTTGTTGGATTCAAGAGCCTGTAGCTCAGTAGCTCACTGATGGCGAGGGGAAGAGTTGTTTTGATTCTGGAGAATTAAAAACAATCCGCAGAAATCCGTGTGTGCATTTTGTATAGATCTTTGATCCAGGAGAACTCTGCCCTGTGTTGTATCAAAATAATGACAGAACTCCGAAATCTTACCATGTAAAACCCCATTTTATGGAGGATGACGTTGACGTCATCTGGACATTCCCAGCGGGCTGGTCGTGGACCTCTCTGAGGGTTCTTCCACCAGCTAGGATGCAGATGATGATGCTGGAGTCCATGATTGCAGCCTACACCATGTCCACCATGTCCGTGGATGGTACTCGACCCTCAGAGCCGCACCTCGCTCCAATTGAGGAACGCCCCAATGGCCCGTTCTCCATCTATGAGCTTTTTGGTGCTTTATGAGCCAGAGTTATATAACATCCACCAGCTTCTTCCATAACTGAAGAAGGTTCCACAACTGAAGAAGGTTCCCTAGGGATCCAGTCGTACCTGCTCAGAAGGCACGACTGGGCCCTCCAAAGCCATCCCAAACACCTTCTGAGAAGGTACTTGGATCCCGGGTTTTATAACAAGCTGGGCTCCATCAGCTTCTTCCAGCCGGAGACCCAACTTCGAGGGATCTCAGTGTTGCGGATCTGGGAACCTATGAAGTCTACATCCGCTCTTCGAGACACACATGGAACCGGGTCACATGGACCAGACTGGAAGACGATGGTTTTCCTCTACAGTGACACAGTGGCTTTCCGGGTTCCATGTGGGTGCGTCAAGTGGTGTCCTTAGAACCAGGCCAGTCAGGTGAGGAACCCATTGTTCCCCGACTTCTCTTCGGTGAGGAACCCCCCGCCCTCGGAGTGTCGGAGCGGGGTCCGAGGCAGATGATGGCCAGCGGTGTCTTCGTGGGAATCGCCTCCTTGGCCTTCTCCTTCGCCAGGCGCGGACGAACAGATCGAAAGTGCTCGGGGCGAACGAAGACGGTGTGGGCTAGCGGATGACATGGGCAGAGGCGAGGACTGCGAAGACATGTTTTGGTATGTTTTTGGTATTCCTGGTTTTTGTTTAAGTCTATTTGGGTTTGTATTTTTTTGGCGTGTACTTCCTGATGTAGTGGTTGGAAGTTCGACTTGAGCGATTCATACCCTCGAATCACACCCCCGAATCATACCCCCGAATCATACCCCTCAAAACGTTACACGTAAGAACCAGGTGTTAAGGTGAAGTTTTTGGTTGGTCTTTGTGCCTTGTAGATGTCCACGAGCCAATGGTGCATGACGTTTGCAATTGTGTGATCCATGGGCACTCAATTTGGCCAAAATTGTTTGTGTCTTCTTGTGGGACGAGCAAAGGCTCACATCGCAGGGGTACTCATAATGTTCCCATGTGCTCTCCCTTGAGAAGAAGAGCCAAAGGACCGCCTTCTTTTGCAGAATCTAATGGCCATACGAATCACACCCGATTCATGCCCGATTCATACCCGAATCACGCACCTCCACACAGTCTCCCACCCATCCCACATCCTGGTTGCTTTGGTGGGGCCTGCAAAGGGCCACTGGAGTCTTTGGTGGAAGAGTGCATTTGCCTAGTCTGCCCAGCATCCAACAGATGCTGCTTGCCTACTGCCTCGGCGCAGAGTGGGCCCACTGCTGGAAGTCCAGCTAATCCAACAATACAACTTCAAAGCTGCGAATCATCTGCGAATCATACCCTCGAATCATACCCCCGAATCATACCCCGAATCATACCCTCGAATCATACCACCTATTCAAACTTCCCGGCCCGACTACGGTAAAAAAATATACACCCATTTGCTTCCCCATGGGTAAATCCACTAACCCGGGAAAACAGATTTTGCTGGTTCCTCAAGCAATATCCAAGTAATTATTCTGAGTGACCGTCATTCAGTCACACAAAGCAAGGACCCCTTTGCATGGCATGTCAATGCACATGAATTTCCCCTTATTGGTTGACATGCAGGGGTGACAGGGCCCATTGACACTTGACTGTATAGGTTGAGCTGTACTAGGTCCATTTGCTCTGTTCATTGTTCGCTTGGACCAAAACACCCGAGGACCTCCCGGTGCCACGCTACCTGGCTATCGACCTCCCTCCCGGCTCGGTCCGGCCAGGCCGCTCGACCGGATGCATCCGGTGCGGCCGCTCTCCTCGGTGTTCCATCCGGCCAACCTCTTCAGTGCCGCGACCGAGAAACGACGCCTCGGACACGTCGACGCGTCGAGGGGCGGGCGGCGGTGGAGGGACCGACCCTAAACTGAAGGCCAGGCGGGGCCTCCTTGCCGGAGGCGATGGTTCGGTCGCGAAACCACAGGGTCGCAAGTTCTGGGGGCCGAACCCTGAGGTAGAAGGGATTTGGGTTTCAGGGTTTCGAAGCCAACGCTGGCTTTTTCACAAGACATGGACCACTCGCTGCGTACCAAGTGTAAAAAGATGTAAAAGATGTAAAAAGTGTAGTTGTTGTTCCAATGGTTCAGGTGATTGACAGATGTCTAAACAAAGGAGATCCCCTTTGCAACTCTGCACCTTTTTGATGTTTGGAGTGAAGAATTTGTGGGCGCTGAGGACCTGAAGACCTGATCACTTCAGCCGCAATCAAGAACCTAGGAGCCAAAAGCCCTAGGGCTCCAAGTACCTCCTGAGAAGGTGGTTAGGGTGGGTTTGGGGGGTCTAACAATCTTCTGAGGATATGGTCATGGTTGGAGCCCTAGGGAAGTAAGAATTATATAGATCTGAACCCATCACCGCATCACCTTAGATGCTCAAGTTTTACTGCTGTCCGACGGGTTTGGGGAGCTTCTAATTTGACTTCAGGTAATTTCAGGTGGGTTCAGTATGGTACAATAGTTAGTGAAATCATCGGCTTCTTAAGGGATACGCGTCCTCAGAACTCTGTCCCAAATCCCCAAGGGCTGTTTATGGCATATCCATCTACAAATCATCACTTGGGAAGACTGAGCCAAGAGTCTTGACGGGGGTATATCATGCATAAGGAGGAAGTTCACATACTCTCCCCCCTCCTAGCAGGAAAAGAGCGGTCAATGTGATGGAATCATTTTGAGTGGATCCATGGTTGGGTGTCTCAATGATGGTTCTTGGCACTGTCATCGTCAGGGTGTGAGTTTGAGTTTCACATACGCAGTGGAAACTAATAGGTCTCCCGCAAGCAAGCGAGCAAGCAGTGATGCGAATCCACTGTTCGATTGATTTGCCGCTCCCATGCGTTCGATACTGTTCCTATCTTCAAGTCTGACCAAGTCATAGACAATGGCTCGTACCTTGCTTCGGTTTGTGGATGTTTTTTGGGTCTTTGGGCTGAAAAAAGACTAAGGGAACAGATCCTTACGGATGGACATCAGCGAGTTTCTACACTGAGGTATGCTGGGGCAGCTGGCGATTCACCTCTTCTGCATGGTGTACATTGCCAACCTAGCAAAGGCCTGGAAAGCTTACAGGGGGGTCTTTTCATTGCTTGAGTAGGGCATTTAGACAGTCCGGATGTTTGCTCGGATGTCTTCGAGCGCTGAGCCAAGGGCCGACACCGCACCACCCAAAAGGTTGGGCTGAACTTCCGATCCAAACAGCCAGGTTGAAGTCACACCCGACGCACCACGCGCCTCTCGCACCACGTGCCTCTCGCACAACGCGCCGTCAGGAAGTGATGGGTGAAGAGGCCGTGCGAGACATCATCGAGTTCGAAAAGGCTCCAACGAACCGAGTTTTCGGTGTTTTTTTCGGTGCAGAGAGGTGCAGAGTACCGGAGATCGAATCTTAATGCCATTTGAATGCCCTCCTGCACTCGCACAATGGACCTTGAAAACCCCCCTTTGGGCCGTGGTATAATGAGAAATGATGAGACGTGGACTCACCAGGGGTCCAGGGGTTCTCACGGCTTCTTAAGGTTCGTCGAAGCAGGGGGCAATTATAATTACATGTTTGAGGGACGGGGTCTTCGCGGGTGGAAAACGGCTAACCTCAAACTAAGGGAATTTCACTCCATTTCATATGTTAGAAACCCAATGCATACATCACTGTATGTGTGTTTTTCTTTGAGGCTGCGGAACGGCGGAACGTGGAGGTTTCATACCGATGTCTACCGCTTGTTTCCTCTTCGAGAAAACGGCGGAGGAGCGGAACAAGAGGATTGAGGCAATGACGGAGGAAGAGATGAGCGAATGGAACTGGTTCCTCGATGGCACTGCAACACTGTTTGGTTGGCGATTTATCGGAGCTGGGAAGAGGTGCGCCATGGATCCAGCACGTGGGTTCTAACGATGGGTAAAGATGGGTGAAGCACTTACTTGGAGACTAAATGCCAACCCGTTTGAAAGGAACTATATAACTCCTGGTGGGTACCGGGTGTGTTTTCAGCTCGAACCGAGTGCCGCGAAGCGCGTTTGGGTCACGAACAGCGCCAGCAAAGCCTCTGCTACGACCCGTGTCTCGGTCGAGGGCAGGAGCAAACCCAGGAGCGGTATATATAGTGGGTCATCAAAACGGGTCAATCTAGGTCCTAGGTACCCATTATATACCAGCACTCAGGTACAAAACTAAAAACATTATCTAACATGTATTTTTTGGAGGGGGGACTATGTTTTAGTCTCTGGCGGGTAGGTATCAAGAACCTGCTGGAGGTTTTTGGATTTCATCTATGTCCCAAGAAGACCCCCATGGGACTGGAAGATTTGGTCCATCAGGCCAGGGATCTTTCCAGTGCCAGTCCCATGGAAGCTCGCGGATTTATGATCCGTTTTAGATCGTTGAGTCCACTGACCTTCCAACCTGAAGCTCTCCAAAGCTTCACAAGCTGATTGGTCCTCAGAGACTTCCAGGTGTTTGGCATGCAAAAGACTGCCGCATGAGACTCACTCTTTTCGGTTGGTTTTTTCGGTCGAGGTTTAGCTCGGTGCCCTTCAAGCCACTTGGCTGCACATCCTTTGATAGGGCTCCTAGTACCTTCTGAGAAGGAAGTTGGGGTGACTTTGGAGGGTCAAAATCATCGGTTTTGGCCGTCGACTGCTGTTGGATGTGCTACTTCATTAGACGGGCTGTGGAGTTATCATTTGATTCGGAATCCTGTTCTTGCTGAAAGTTGCTTCCTTAGATCCATTCTTGATACTACGTTGCTTTCTTTTCTTGGCTTTTCCGCTACGAAGGGGTTACCTAAACTTTGGACCCAGGTACCTCCGTACTTCGGATGGTCTTGGAGGTGAAAGTATATCTACTATCCAGAGAATGGTCGAACTGGGGCCAATCCTGGACCCTCAATTAGACTATGGAACCACATCTTAGGGCCCAACCAGGCATGATGTTGCGGACTTCTGGATCGCCCAACAAGGAGCAATCTCCTGAACACCTGCTGCTGGTTGGTCGAAACGGCGCAGCAGGCCCTGGCGTTTTCGCGTCGTGGTTTCATGACTTTGCAAAGTGCTCCAGTGATACATTCCCATGGCTTAACTATTGTATTACAGGGGGGGTGTACACCTGCAACATTACTATACACAATTACTGTACAGTATTATATAGCTGTTCAAAGTGTTTTGTTATGTTTTGTAGGTTTGGTTGGCTCAACATCAATGCGTCAAATGTAGTTCATCGTTTGTTTGTTCTTAAAACGTGGGTGATGGGTATTTTTCCCGGCGGAGACTCTATATGATCTGTGAGGCAAATCAACTCGATGTTTCCCCAATGCATCGGAGAAAGCTCCGAGAAAGCCGAGTCTGCAGCCAGGTCTCAGTGATCTTTGTGAACTACAAGGGTGCCTTGGCAAATTCCTGTCTTTTCTTCAAACAAGCACGGCTGGTTTGACCAGCTCATAAACGTTGTTTAGCTGTGAAACATGGCGACATTGTTCTATAGAGTCCAGGCTCGAGGCATCGAGGTCAAAGGCAGCTACACCACTCTTTGGAACCAACGCAACCAACCAGTCGATCGCGGCTGGCGCGTGGAACGCAAGACTCGAGGAACTCGACGTTCATCTCAGGACGACCCTGGATGAAAGGCCTCCTGGAAAACCAGCCGTGCCCTGGCGGAAAGATTCACGTACTCAGGGACTATCAACATGCACAAGTCAAGTTCTTCAAATGTTTCATGGCTGCTTCGTTTTGATGAAGATGAGGTCTTGAAGTCATTTGAGAATTGGTTTCACGGATTCCCATTACTATGGACCTCATGTTCATTTCATTTCTTGCTAATTACTGGGCCCTGACCGGACCAACTTGCTTCTATGGAGCTATGACGCTCCTCAAGATCCAAGGTCTTCAAATCCCCACACGTGGGCCAAATCGCGGCGCGAGAACAGATCCGAGGCTTTTCCTCTCCCTCTTCGTGTGCATCGGCATGGTGCCTTGACAAAGATGTCCCCAGCGAGATTCCTGAGCTGGTCGCAAGTGCCTCACTATAGCCACCTTTTTTAGCTAGGAGCCCTGAAGAACACCGGAGCTTCAAAAGATGAACTAAGTTGGAAACGAAGTTGCAAGGATATCAGCAAGAAACTCTACCGATGTCATCAGGACCAGCCAATCATTAATATACCAGCATCCGGCGCAGACCAGGTCTTCGGTGGCTTGGCAGGTGGCTCAACCTGTTGGATGGTGCTGGTATATGAAGCCTGAAGCTTGAGCTCTCTACCAAGAGGGGTTCAGCGACCCTATGGGACCCGTAACCTGGGGTACCTATGGGATGGTCTATATCAGGGTCCTTCAACCTCTGTTGGTACGCTCAGGTCGCTGTTTGCGCGTGGGGCGTGATACCCTTCTTGAGCCATGGCTGCAGACGCAGATCGCTTGGCTAAAGATGCCGATCGCTTGGATGCGATGGTTTCCCAGTCCAAGCATTTGTTGATGACAGGACCCTCCTGTCGGGGTGCCCTGTCTGGAAGCCGAACGGCCGGTAGTGTGGGGTAGTCCAGCCAGGACAGTCCCATGTGTCGTGTCTGGGACAGCTGGTTGGTTTCCTCTCAGGAACTCGACTCTGAACCTCGAGGTCGTCCCCGAGGAGCTACGGATGAAGGCCGGGAGCTACGGAGTGGTGGAGGACGGTCAACTGGAGACATGTCCAGCCCCCCTCGGATTGAAGAGCCTTGAAACATCGTTAAAATCACCCAAAAGGGATCCAGTCGTATCGATTGGAGACACTGTGTAGCTTTGAAGGTTCCAGTCAGTATCTGAGGTTCTCCGGTTCGGTACGACTGGATCCCCGGTTCGGGTAGAGTCAGCAGGGTTCCCATGGGTTTGGTGCAGGGAACGAACGGTCCGGGTGGCCCGAGGTTGATCCGGCGACCCGAAAAAGGGAGTCCCCAACGAGCTCCCCGAGGAAAGCAGCTGAGCTTGAGAGGTCAAATGAAGACATTCTAAGGAATTTAGTGTGACTTTGGGGTGTGATTTGGTCCCATCTTCGGTGGCAGGTCAATGGGCAAGAGGACGCCTCTCCTTCAAAGATGACTATTTTTAAAGACCATTTCCAAGTTGACGCGTTACCATGCTTCAGTCTATTTGCTGCTTGGCGAGTTCGTACAGGAGAACCTCCCTTCAGGGTCGAGACCAAGTCACTGAGTCAACTGATTGATGGCCATGAGGAGAACCTGTGCTCCTGTGTTTTGGCTGTCCTTTTTGGATTTACACTTGTATTTGTGGCTGGAGTGGTGCATGTGTGGATGGCTGGAGTGGTGCATATGTGTGGGGGACCTGGAGGAGACACCTCAACCACCTGAAGGTTTGAGAGGGTCAACCTCCGCATCAGTAGCAGGTCCAAACCACCCAACCCCCTGAGGCCTTTTTCATCCTACCTGGGTTGGAGGGAACCAGACAGTGACCTGTCCACGCAAATCTTTCTGTGCAGGTTATCTGGACCTTGCTCGCCTCCTTAGTGGGCACCTTCATTTGGGATCGCCTTATGGCCTGGCGCCCTGCGGGCTCTGCGGGCCCTGCGGGTGGGCCGTGGGCTGCGGGGAACACGGGTTGGAGATGGGCGGTCTTTGGGGCGGTTGAAGTGAAGATGTGCTCGTTGGATGTGTCAAAACCCCACATGAACTGGTAAATGCCCAGAGCGGCTTGCCATACACTCCAACTAAAATCAAAAGACAGTGAGTCTAGACTCAACAGATCACTCAAAAACTGCTTGTTTGGGGATCGTCCCACATGTTCAGGTACCAGATGGGCACACAACCTTAACCACTGCGCACTGGCCAAAAAGGAACAACCACAAACGCTTTGAACCCTGCCCTGCAGATCAGCAGACATCACTAGACTCATTCCGGAGGCTTCAAAATACTCAAGCCCCAGCATACTGAGTACATGAAACACCGAGGATTCTAAGCTGTATGTATTCAAGGTGGTGAAGATATATTTAATCTCAGCACTCACCTCCACTTTGCCCTTTGCCGAACGCACCTGCCTCGCGGGCCGCTCCCAGAATCAAGCCGCTGCCGCGCAAGAGGCGCGGCGCGGCCACGTGCCCGTCGGGCCGACTTAGTCGCTTCCGGCTGGGCATGTCGAAACAGGACTTCAACGGGACGGTCGATCGCGGACTTGGTGGGGCTGAGGATCCAAACCATGGGTGAGCTGGCGCTTGCGCACCAAAGAAAAGGGTGTTTGAAGAACATGGCAGTACATGAGTTGATTGTGACCTGGGTGGATGTGTTTCGGTGGAATGCTGAGCCGCTGCTGCTTGAGCAGCCTGAGATGTGCAAGGTGCCCTAGGTTCCTAAAACCGTGGCGCGTCAGAGGACGTCAACAAAAGCGCCAACAGGCCAACAGAAGTGTGGGCAATAGTTGTCCAACAGTTGATGCCCCAAACACACTTCTGGATACTTCTGGGTTGTGGGTAAACCCGGTAAACCTTGGGTTTTACCTACCACCCACAAACTTGTGCAGTATTGCAATCCTAATCAAAGGGATTGTCCGGGCAAAATTTCAATCGTTGTTCCGAAACGAAGCTCCTTCGCCGCAGTGATCGGTGCACCCGGTCTCCGGCCGTCCAAGTGCCCGGGGCCTCGGCGCTCCGCGCGCGCAGGACGTCTCGGTCGTCTCGCTGCAAGAATTTCAGAGCCTTGGTGATTTGGGGAGGTGTTGACACACACACACACACCAACAGAGGTTAAGTGACCTTATAGGACCCTGCAGGGGTTTCTATAAGATAGTCTATAGGATTCTTCAACCTCTGCCGGCAGGCTCAGGCTTGCTGCTTCGGAGGGTTTGCTCAAACCACCGTCCCCAGTGATTTCATGTGGCTTGCTGCTGTCTCCACGCGGCGACCCACCGGGGAGCCACCCGGTCGGACCCGGCCCGGAGTGACGCACCTGGAGCCCTAGACTCGTACCTCAGTATGAGAAGTGGGCACGTTAGCCCAGGACGTCCCTGGATGATGAAACAAGTTACAATACACGCAGGAAATCCAAATTTTTCTGCGAAGTTGGGTTGACACTTAAGAACTTCCCTGCAAATTCCACATCGAAACCTGCTGGTAGAGCTACCTCCTGGTGGAGGAAGTCACTGAGGAAGTCCTGTTTCACACAGCAAGATGGAGTTCTGCAACAATTGTGGTATGTATTGGCCGAATCAGCTTGGGTCTGATTTCAATCTATGGATGTTTTTCAGGGTCCATGAGTGAATCTTCTTCCTCTTGTGATTGTTTTTGTCCCCAAGACCCTTGAGCCTAATTGCCTTCGAAGGACCAGCTCCAGTGGTTTCAGAGGTTCCAAGATGCCTTTGTATAGGGGTCGATACAAACCGGGGAATTTGGCCATCTAGATGGTGGAACCATCAAAGTACCTTAGAAAATGGGACATGACTCCATGACCCTATAGAAAACTGGTACAAAGGTAGACATTTTCTGAAGTGCGAACTGAGACTCCAGGTAGATCTGAAACCATTGTTTGTTTTAAAGAACGGCCAGCACCCGACTTTGTTCTTCGTCTTCTCTGGTGGCTTTTGGTGAAAAAGTGGTGCTAGTGGGTGACTTGGCAGTGAAGGTGCTAGTGGTTGACCTGGTTTGGTGTAAAATCCTTAAGTACAACCATGCCCTAGGGATCCTGTCGTACCTTCTCAGGTACGGTGTTTGGAGACACTGTGATGTAGGTGCCAGGAGGCTCCAGTCGTACCGAACCTGAGGTTCGGTACGACTGGATCCCTAGGGATAGTATTTCGCCAATTAACTCACGTGGCGCTTCGAGTTGGGTAAATGGATGTGACACATGGGAAAGCAAGCACGGCCCCTACATTGACCCCTCCAAGTTTCGTGACAAGGAGCCGTTCGAGCCCCGTTCTTGGCGCGCCGGGATCAAGGAGAGCCACCTCTGAGATCTCGCATTTGGATCGAAACCATGTGAATGCACCCAGTGACCTGGCGCTCGAAGGGCTGGAAAATAGATTGGGTGGAATGTTCCATAGAGCTTCCACTTGTGCAAACATGTTTGCCGACCTAAGCTGATCGGTCAAAAGGCCGATAGTTGGAAGATCCAGGTATAGTTTTGTAACTCTGAAGCGGAGTTCGGGGTTTGGGGGAAGTCCGTGTCTTGAAGATTGGGATGTGATAGGGGTTAGGGGGTGATGTAGTGTACCCTGCAGGTCAAGGACCTATATATAACTGGAGTTGGTCATGCACAAGCACTACGGGACTTGTAGGGGTAGTGTTTGGTTCTTTGCTGACGGGTTTCTCAAGAACTACCTGGTTACCTGGCGCCCTGTTGTGCCATCAAAGCAACCTGGTGGGGAAATTTTGAAGGGTGGTTCAAGGTACACTCCCTTCCTTCACCAATCATGGAAGTGGAAAATATTGGAAAATGATGGAAAATGGCCCGTCGGAGACACTTGTCCTCTACAAACAGGTGGTTTGCCACTTCCATGTTAGTGTTTTGGAGTGTAGCGGCTACAGTTCCTCCTCTCTTGGGACCTCTCTGACCTCCCTTGTGACCTTGTAACCCCCCCTAGGCTCCCTCTGGACTTGACTCCCTGGAGCCGCTGGTTGGCTTCAAACCACAGACAGTCCAGCACACCCCTAAGTGTAGCCCACAACATTTGGAGGAAATCGGGTCCAGCATCAGTCTGCTCACAGGGGAATTGGAAACCCGAGGCGAAAGAGTTCCATTTCATATGTGGGTGGTTTCAGGGAGATTTAGATGCAGTTCTTTCATATAGATGGAGCACATGGCAACAAATTCATATTTCCAAACCACCCTAGCAGTTTCCTCAGGGTATGCGTTTCAGTTAAGTTGAAGGTATTAAAACACAAAGGGCAACCCACCAAACGCTCAGTTGAAACAGCCTAGCCACCCGCAACCCTGAAGTGAAACCATCATGCAGACCTACTATATATTGGTGTGTGAAAAGACTGAGACCGCCCTCCCTCGACCCCCCTAGACTGGTCGGTTCGGAACATAGACCAGTCTACCCAGTCAGGGCCTTGTGCCTCACATCGGTCCGAGTGTGACAACAGGGGACCCTGCTTGACCAGTGGCGAGCGGAGCGGAGGTCAACAGAGGAGTGCAGAGAGGTGCTCCGTGTGCTACCAATGCCCACACCTTGGTGTGGGGAGAGTGTCAGTGAGCAATCACCTGATACCCAATGACCCAAGACTATGAAAAGCTCCGAGGCGATGAAAAGCCGGCCGGCCTTGCTGCAGCGCCCAGCTTCATTGATCAGCAGGAGATTGGTGTCATCAACCAGTCCCAGCACCTTGGCTAGCATGGATGGGCACAACTTTAACCAGTTATATACTTTACTTTGAGTGATCCCCACCCTGAAAGACGATTTGGAAGAAGGGAGGTCCCGGCACATGTATTGACAGACTAGCCTGACAAAGGTGGACATGTTGGATGGGAACCAAAAACAACCAACCTGCAGTGTCAGATATATATACTGGGTGTGAACGCTATGTTTATGCAATATATACGCTTGTGATATATGATATAATGGATTCAAGAGACCTACTGCATTACCATTGATGGACAAGGGGCTCAAAGCATTCAACAAGTGCACGCTTGTGAGTAACACGGCATGAAAAGAGCATGTTTATAAATATATATATATATATAATTATATATATATATACACCTGCCAGGTCCCTCCAACAGGCCACAGGTGATCTTTTGTCCCTGACATGGTGTTTTTTTGGCACCTGTTTTCGGAAAACCGTGTTGGATGGAACAGGTGGGGTGCGCATGGCGCCCTGTTTTCAGTGCTGAAAGGGGTGAATCGGCTTGAGCCAACTCGAACCTCAAACGCCAGGATTGCGCAGGGTCTTCACCAAGTTGTGAGAGCGTTCTTTTCTTAGCCTGTCCAACCACCTCTCCGACCAGTTGCTCAACCTAAACACATTGGTCATCGCCTGCCTCCTTTTCAAGACATGGAAGCAAAGGACATGTATCATCCTTCTGTTTATTTTTAGTGGTGGCACGTGTATGGTGCATGTGTCGAAGATTGTGCTCTTGGACTTTGAGTTTGCCCATGGGCGTCGAGTTGAAGACCAAATTTTGACTGCTGGTTGCCCACTGCATGCTTCCAACCTTTGATACTTTTCCTCTCCTCCTGAGGAATCAACAGCTGAACTTGGACCCACCCTTATCAACACCCACTGGCAACTCTTCTCCAAGTGCCCTTGCGACGGCAAGAATTCCTCCACCTTGCACATGGCCTCAAATCAGAGCTGAGGGCGTCCTCGCGGTTTCCCCAAGAATGGTCCTGCATGCGACGCTTCTGCGCGCGCATCGCTACCAACGTCTACTTCGACATCACGATAGGCATCCTGGCAGAATTGTGGAGGGAAGGCAACAGAGGTTGAATGACCCTATATCCCATAGGTACCCCAGTAGGGTCCTATAAGGTCACTTAACTTCTCTTGGAGGGCCAGTGTTGGAGCACCATCAGATCTGGCGCTTGACAATAGCTAGAGCTCGGCTCTCTTAGACACATTGGATGGGCGGAGGATGCAGGAGGCTTCCGAAAGGCAACAAGAGGGTGAAAAAGCATAGACGCATGAGGATGTAGGATGATGTAGATCCAGACGACACGCCTTTCCTGCCCTCGCGCCGCGCTGTTTGGGTCGGTCGGACTGACCACCAGCAGTTTGGCCTGTGAGGCGTGCTGGTCTTAGCGAACATTGGCTTGATCGTCCACCAGAGCAACCTCACTGGCTGGCAAGTCGAGGTGCCTGAGGAGATTGGCGCCTCAGACTCCATGTTGGTGGGGGACTGTGCAGTTGGCAAGCTCTCAGGGGGACTCAGAAGGCAAGGGGTGCTGTGGCACCCCCTAGTCTCCCTTGATTACCTAGAGCCCAGAAATGCTGTTGTGATAGGAAAGTTGGACCCTATTCTTTGCGTCAGCGATCCAAAATAGAGGTCCCTCAGGCTTCCTCTTGTAGCTTCTTGTTACTATAGTAGTCATGGCCTCCAACCTAGCAGCTTCTTGTTACTAGCTTTCAAAGATGTTACTCAGATGTTCATTGTGGAAAGGTGTAGGACCCACAGGGTGTAGGACCCACCTACTGCGACGCAGTGATCCACGGAACCGCTCGCGTTCGGCTCTATTCACCCAACCGCTCGCGGACGGAAAAGCGCTGGGGGGTTCGCACCAAATCCTTACCCTAGGGATCCAGTCGTACCATGTCAGAAGGCACTGTTGTGTAGGTGCCAGGAGGGTTCAGTCGTAGCGAACCTGAGGTTTGGCACGAAAACGGGTCCCTCGGGTAAGGTTTTGAGGGAAAAAATATACTGTGAACCGGGTGTTTGGGCAGGACATGTAGAAATGCTGCTCCCATCTATTCCCTGCTTCAGCTTGTGGGCCCTTTCACAGCACCAATATCCACCAGGATCATGCTGAAACCATGGAGTGGAAGAGCTTCACGCGAACAAATCCGATGCCGACCTCCCAAAAACATCTCGACCAGACCTGAAAATAGACCTCCGAGTTTTGCTAGAAAAAACCTCTGAGGTTTTCAGGCTACGAACACATGGACGTGGGGACGTTCGGAGTTCGCCCTTTGCTCCTATAGAGCGAAGGGGGCCTCTCCCTTCATCAGAGAGTAGGGGGTCAACCGAGTCTCTTTGATCGAAGGGTCTCTCTGACATCACGCACCGTCCCAAGGTGTTCTGAACCAAGTGTTTCTTTGGGCCTCTTGGCTCGCGCTTCGCGCTTGGTTTGGGACCTTGCGACGGGAGCGGATGCTCGATGTCTCCCAAATGTGGACGGATGAGTTAAGGTTGGAGAGAAGCTTTCAGAATCGCTGGATGATCTGAGCAGGCAATCTTTTGGGGTGTATTGCTTTAAGATGTGGACTGGGTGATGTGTTCAGATTCCGACTTTACTATGGAATGGATGACAGGTATGACCGACTTTCTTTGGGGAGGCCAACTGTTCCCTTCCCCCTTAGAACCTTCCTGGAAGACAGCATGTTTGTGAAGGATGAAGGTCTCACCAAAAAATCCAGAAACAAGATACCAGCAAATAGAAGCATCACCCTGTGCAGCAACTGGTTGTTCTATAGCTGAAATGCGTGAAACACACTATGCCACTATGCCTGTGAAGCCCATTGTTTCCTATCACACTACCTGCTGCCACCTGGTGACTACCTGTTGCCACCTGGTGACACTAATCATTGTCCAACTTGAGAATGAGCTCTCTTTTGCTCCATGGTCGGGTGAAAGAACGAGCTACTCAGTTGTAGCAGGTATAGCTTGCTGAAGCTGAAACATTCAGTCCACGACTTAAGGTTCCAACTCCCAAGATCACCTGAGCAAGCTCCGGTGAACTGGGACAGTCAACTGGAGAAGCTCAGCAAAGTCGATCAAGTTACGACAGATGTCCTAAGGATTAGATGCCCTAGAGGATCCGGCCATACCTTCTCAGGTTCGGTACGAGTGATTTCGCTCCTGGTCGTAGCACCCAACCCTGGCCAGGCACCTTCAGTCACCCATACCTGGCACCTTCAGAAAGTCGGGAGGCACCATCCAACAGAAAAAAAAACAGTGACCGCCACCAGGTCGGACCCGGAAGACCTGGGGTACCCAACTCCTGGGATAGTCGAACGTGACCGGGTCATGAAAACCTCTGGATGGTGGCACCCAACTATGGCATACTATGGCACCTTCTGCCTACTCTAGGTTTACACCTTGGAAGCCATCCTCAGACTCTTCGCCTTCCGAGCCTCGAACGTGCGCTTTCGCGCGGGTGGGTGGAAGAGTTGAGGATCGAACTGCGGGGGGACCGAAGGGGACGAGAGATGATGGAAATGCTCGATGTGTTGTTCTACTACCTCCCAGACGCGACCCTGGGCCCGAATCCTCTGGAGGGGTCGGGCCCGAATCCTCTGGAGAGGTCTGGGGTCTCAATCCACTAGGTTCTGAGGGACCCAGGGCTGTGAACGGAGCGTCTGGGCTGGACCCGACTTAGTTCATTCGTCCCCGACCCGAAGGTGGGAGGACCTGAAGCTTACATTGGAGTGGTCAAAAGAGGTCAATATAGGCAATTCCATGGAGTGTTTCGGTCTTCAGTGATTGGTTTCAGTTCATCGACGCCGTACCTCACATCACCTCGCACCCCGCAATGCTGCAGGTTTCATGCGAAGGCTCACACCATCTCACCAGTCTCAAGTCACCCATTTCCGCACGTGGACCACGACCTGATTTTGCTTTTTTAGTTGTTTTTTTAATGAATAGTATTTGCCCTATGGGTAAGCCCCCTTTGGGGAACAATATGATGTTCTCGGCTCCTCAAGCAAATCCAAGACAAAGAGGGACCAGTGGAGGAGGAGAGGATGGCCCCTGAAAGGCAGGCAAAAGTATGTTTTTTTGAAAAGAACGAGTGGTGCAAGGGTTCTAAGATCTTCTGTAGGTTTTCTTGCTGACTGGTATGCTACTGATACTGGCCATAGATGGCACCACATGAAGCGTAAAGACATTCTTGTTAAATTCTTGCTCACGGCTATGTTTGAGGATGCGCCTATTTCTTGTCCAAGTGGAATATACTGGACTTTGTGGTCTTGTCCATCGATTGGGTGCTCGTGCTGGTGGCACTGGCACTAGCTGGCACGAACTTCAACTCGGACATCTTCAGAGTGCCTGGGATGAGATCTGATTTGAGCGATTTCATCGAGCTTGGAGAGCTTGGGGTCGGTTCCACAGGATCTACAGGATGGAGAGCTTGGGTGTCTAATCGAATCCCGTCCTTGGGCTCCTGTCCCATATCCTCAGGTTCGGTGGGCACAGACCCCTCAAAACCACCCAAGCATCTTCGAAACGGAGGGGGGCGGCCAGCCCTAGGGAATAGTCGCTTCAATTGGGAATGATCACTTCGACCTCCCAAGGGGCAGGATGGCTTGATACTGAAAAGGGCCGCATTCCATTTTCCTTGCACGCAAAGAGCTTGAGCTTTCTTCATCCCTCCGGTCGCGTGCAGATCACTGAGGGGTCGCGTGTTCATCGGCCGAGTGTCCCTGTGGACTGCTGATAGACAGCGAGACGAGAACGAGAGAGGGTCTCATGAAACACCCCGCTGCTGTTCTTGCGAGGCCACCGAACGCCCCACCTGGCCCTGGGTCCGACCCTCACCTCACCCAGGTCTTGCGGGTGATCCGCGCTTTGCGGGTGCTCCGGTCCATCCGGACGCTGCCACTCTTCCGGGAGCTTTATATCATGTGCCTCGGAGGGCCGACGGACGGGCCGGTCAGCAGAGGTCGAAGAACCCGGAACGGTTCACCCTGGTTTTCCGGGTCCGACCTGGTCCCGGGAGACCTGGCTACCTCTGGTTGGGGGGGGCCCGTTCTTTTTGTGTTTTGGATGATGATGCCTCAGAAGATGGGTCGACATGTTGTTTGGTTGGGATCAGCGGGAAATGGCCTCGGAGTGGTGTTTATTTTTTTCTGCCCAGGCTTTCTGAACCAACGAATCCAAGACAAGAACAGTTTGGCTGCTTTTGTTGGGGCCTTTGGCTTATTGGCTCAGGCGGTTCAGGAGAAACAGCAATCCATAGATTTTGAAGGCTGTCAGTCACAGTCAGCTCGTGCTTTTTCCCTACACTGTTTTGGTCTCATGCGACGAAGCAAAACCGGACGATCCGCTCCAGGCTTTATGGATTCATTTCTTCGGCGAAGGCGATCGCTTGGGCAGCAGTCTCCTGGCCGATGGGATGTTGGCATGATGTGATGTATGATGTATGCATGATCAAAGACGCCATAAAGGATATGACAAGGCGGCAAATGAGTTTAAAACATGGTGAAACCATAGTCACCACCACCGCCGCCACCTGAAAGCACCCTAAGGTCTTGCTGCTCTTGATCCTCATGATCATGGGCACCCTAAACTGCACAAGCCGTGTGAACTTGGATTTGTGGTGTTCAAGAGTTGCAGGAGGTGCATTGGTTCGGGGTTCAGTTAGATGACTTTTCATACATAGGTGGGAGTCAGTGGGGGGTGGAGCATGTTTTTGGCATGCAAAGTCAGGGGGCTCCAAGTCAGCAGAACATTCCATGAATCCATGTGAATCATCCATGCGCATTCCATGTGCATTCCATGTGCATCCCAGCACCCCAGAAGATCCTAGAGTGAGGCGTTGTGATCCCCTCGCCTGGTCATCCCATGGCGGGTTCTACGTCCGTGGCCCGTCCCCGCCGGACGTCGTCCTCGGTTGGTGAAAAACCTGGTTCCCTGGGAGTCAAAGACCATTTAAAGAATTGGTTGACCTGGTTTTTGTATTGTAAAATCCTTAGTTGATTGGGTAAAGCCTATTAAATTAATGGTTGTTGGAAGCCTAGGGGGTTCGGTCTATGATCCGAGGGATCATCGCCGTGGAATTCATCCATCCACTGAGCCAAGAGCGCGCGCCTGAGATCCTGGGAATGGAGGTTTTGATTGGCACAAAATGGTGGTGTTTAGTCCCTAAGTGAGTGGATCATGGGCACCCCTATCCTTCAAAGGCCATTCCATGGGAGAACCCTTGGAAGGTGCTGGTACTCGTTTTTCTTTGTGTTATTTTAGAACTATGTCTTTGTGCTTCTGGTTGTCTATGTTTATTTTCCATATTTCGTGGGCAGCCTGGATGAATCCCCGTACCTGGGAAATGTGACATATGTTTTTGCCGGGCTTCCTGGACTGGATAGTTAATCCAAGTGATCAGCTGGACCAGCTATGGTGGGAGAGAGACGTCTCCATCAGCTGGCTGTAGGGCCGCTGGTGCGAGCCTTTGGCCGTGACTGCTAAGCTGTGGGGTATTCCGCTTTTTCCCCATGAAACAGGGAGCCCCTGAACTCGGAGACCACAGGGTTCCCCAACTCCTTGCTAGTGTAGGTTAGACCCGGTTTTCTCATGATGTTTGAACCTCCTCCTTCAACCTCTTGTTTCGAAAATGGAAGAGTGACCCCTCTTTGGTCCCCAAAGAGGTGTACAAACTAGTGGTTCCCTACGAAGTGAGGGGAAGTCAGGGAGTAGACCTCAAGCTTATACACTCTGACTCACAAACATGGCAGTGGAAAAAATAACCTGTTTGTAAAGGAAAGTAGTCTTCCAAGGGGCCATTTTCCACTTCCATGTTAGTTGTTGCACGCTCCGAGCGGTGAGGCAAGCCTCCTGTTGAGTTGCTAGGGGAACTCCTCCCTCAGACCGAAGCTGAAAAAGGAAGAGCCCTTGTCCGAGGAAAGGGGTTGTCTTCATGGGTCTTCCAGGAGAGATGTTCCACTTCCATGATGGCTTCCCCTAGGGCTCCAGTCGTACCTTCTGAGCAGCTGTTTGAGGTGGGTGCCAGGAGGGAAACACCTTCGTTTCGGAGGTATGACTGGAGCCCTAGGCTTCAGTGCACCGCTTCCAGCTGGTGAGTCCTAACTGGTCCTAGTTACGCCAGTGATCGACCCAGGGGACCTTCGGCGACGGGAAATGCTTCGTTCGCAGGAAAGAGTTCACACCGATCGGTCCGACCGAGGGCCCAGACGCGACCTGGGACTACAGATGCCGATCAGTTGGGGTGCTTGAAAAGGGGTCAATGTACCAAGACCCAAGACCATCCAAAACCTAGAAAAATGTAGGTCTTGAAAAAAACAACTTAGTTTTTGCAACTAAAACCGTGTTTCTCAAAAACAATTCACGTTTATTATTTTTCGGGCAAATTACGGGGTTTTGCACGGGATACATACGGGTTCTAAACATGAGAAAACGAGTGTTTCAATGAACAACTTGGTTTTCGTCGTCTTGTATGCCAAAACACGGGTTTTCAGAAAAAGGTCGTCTTCTTTCTAGGGTTTGCTCCTGGTAGGTAAATATTCCATACATGGAGCGTATGGGAGGTGGATGGTTGATGCATAAAAACTCCGTTTATGTAGACTCTTGACTCTTGATTCATAAACCCCCCAAGCCTGAAGAGGATGTTCAATTCAAATGAAGGGGTGCTTGAATCAAGAGTCTACATTAGATGTAAAACGTCCCAGCAGGGCAGAAGGCTTTATCCCCGTGACTTCTCCACCGGCTACAGCCCCCACCCGCCAGGGTGTATGCAGAAGGGCTCTTCCCAGAGGAATGCCTACGCTGCGATCGTGCGTTCGAGTCAGTGTGGGCCTCCGTGTCCCGGTTCTCCCGTGGGATGGGGCATGGGTGCATCAGGAATCCAGTCTGTTGTGGGGTGAGGTTCGGGCTCCTTTCAACCACTGGTCTCCTATTGAGCTAGGGCAGCTGTATTGCCTGGTTTTGCCGAAGGTGATGTTGTATTGTCCCATGATTAATTAAATCCCCTTCTGTTTTGCAGGTGCCTCGGCGGCAAATCCGAGTTAATTATGTGCTATTCCAGGCCCGAATCTACAGGAAGTCGCTCATGGGTTTCGCTCGGATGGGCGAGGCGTTTGGTGGCGAAATAATCCCTACCTTAGGATTCAATACACGAAGAAAACGTCAGGTCTGAGTGAATACCCAGGGTTTTCAGATGAAACCCGGGGTTTTTAGCTGAAACCTGGGTTTTGGTTTTCCTGGGCGGCCCTGTTTTCCCCACTGATGTGAGGAAACCTGCCCTGGTCTGAATTAGGTGGTCTAAGGTGCACTCAGCTCCTGGATATAACTATAGAAGGGAAACAAAAAAACTGTGGGCTACAATTTCTAGTCATTCGGACACCCCCCAGACCCACGATTTTTTCACGGGTTTGCACGGGTAAATCACGGGTTTGGCATGGGTTTGGCACGGGTTGGGAATACCTAGGGTTTTCATGAAAACCCGGGGTTTTCTTACTAAAATCACGGGTTGGCACGGGTATATCACGGGTTTGCCACGGGTTGAACACGGGTTAGTTGAGGCAACATCTCAATCCGGAACTTTTCCCGATTGGGGTAAGATAATTCCGTTGTGGGGAAGATAATGGGTTTGAAAAAACCTGCTCTGCTTCATGTTTCTTTTGTTTTTTACCAGGTTGTCCTGGTCAAGTCAAGACTTAGAGCGTTTAATCGCTGCCTGGCTGCCGGATGGCAGGAAACCCGGGGTTTTGAATACACACCCGATGTTTTGGATAGACACCCTGGTTCTTTATCGGTGTGGTGTATAAACCCGAGGTATCCATCGGAACCCGTCATTTTTTCAGGGTTTTGATGCTAAGGGTAGGGATCCACATACCTTCTCAGAAGGTACTTGGGCCCTCCAAGCCTACATAAATAGTCTCCGTCCTCACCGTACCTGAGGTTCGGTATGTGGATCCATAGGGAATCACCGGATCCACGAGTGCGGTGGACATGTTCTGAACCGTTTTTTCACGCAGAAACGGGACCTTTCCAAGCGGTCGAGCAATTGGGTGTGTATGTGAAAACCGGAGGCCCCCGAGCCCAAGGGTGTCGATCTTGTCCTTATGATTCTTTCCGGGGGTCGAAACTGAGAGTTTCTCCCATGTTCTCCCTATTCTAATATACAAATGATCTCCAGGCTGACATAATCTGACATAGAAAGTGGACCAGTTTTTGCTTGCAATCCATGGTGTGCTCTTGGGACTTGCAAGTCGGGCGCTAAGAAGAGGCGTCTAGAGCTGGAAGTAGACTTAAGCGCCAGTTTAAGCGCCTTTTCTCGTGAGCGGTGCGGCTACCACCTCGTTTAGGCTGCTGCCTGTTCCCAAATGGCTGGTTAAAACACCCAAAAACATGAAGAATCTGGAGCCACAGAAATGCCCCCCCGCTTCTTGGAACCTTCAACGCCAATTCGGGCTTCGATTCAGACAGAAATTCTGAGCCTCCAACCTCCAACCTCCGCTCCAAAGCCGCCCACGTCCGATCTCATCTGGCGCATTCCTGGCGGAACCCACCGCGCCGCGCCTTTGGCGCCTCCGCACCGCTCAGTGCTTGACCTTCTTGCAGCAGATCGTGGCCGGCGATTCCTGGGGCCAGGCGGGGGAGCACATGGAGAGGTGGAAGAGGAGTCTGATTTTCCTATTCCAATGGGTCTTGGGGGGCCCCATCCCAGACACGACACATGGGACTGCCATAGATGCTTAATTGACCCCCCAAACCACCCCAATGTACCCTAGGCTTCCAACAACCATTAAATTAATCTATATAATAGGCTTCACCGAATCAACTAAGGATGTTACACTACAAAAACCAGGTCAACCATGTTTTAAATGGTCTTGGAAGTCTAGGGTGTAAATATGCCAGTCCCATGGAGTGTTTGGGCATTGATGGCCACAAGTGTCATATCGAGTGATTGATAGGTCAATGCCCAATCACCTCGTTGGACTGACCGAGACCCAGCGCAAAGTTCAGAGCCAGGGCCGCCGTGGGATTTCGTCCCATTCACTGCACTTCAGGGCGTCTTCTTACAAGGCCACTATCCCAGGATGAGGTCACTTGGGTCTGTGTAAGGTCACTTAGAAACTCCAAAGAGGTCACTTTGAAGGTCCTGGCTACTAACCACTTATAGTTACTTAAGATGACTTAAGGGCTCAACCCGACAGGCAAAGAACCTAATATGGACAGCCAAGTCACAGTCGCCAACATCAGCTTGATCTCAATCGACTCAGTCGCTGCTGTCGCCGCGTTGGGGAGCTCCCGAACCGCGGCGCGAGCGACTGAGGGTATCCCGGATCGAGCGACCTGAAAGGGGGGATAGAGCGACAATCCTGACAGTTAGTACAGAAAGACGTCACGATGTCGAAGAATCCGCCGATGGGGCTGTCCAAAAGCACCAGGCGGCCTGTGTAAGAAAGGGCTTCACTATACAGCACTGAAGCTCATCAAGCTCCTAGGCACCACCAGGTAGTGGAGAAGCCTTCAGGGGAGGTATTTTGTACATGTTTGTGTGAGTGATTCCCCATTGAAGACCTGGACGAACACATGAACCGTTGAGTTACACCTGTTAACGATGCGCAGCACACTGGTCAGGCGACGATACCCATCATCGAGAAGTATCCGTACACTGCTCCCTACTTTATCTTAGCCGCTTGGACACGGGATCAATTGGTTGCACAATAGGTTTAGGGGCTACAATCCACTAAATGTAACATTGACATGTATTTTCCTATATATAGTCTCCATGACCTTTGTAGAAAGATTGAGATTTTCAATGTATGGTGCGACAATCAGGCCGGAAGATGACACCACCAAGCAGTTCCATGGCGGGGTTCTTATTGGAGGGTAGAAGTGCTCATGATCCACCTCACTTCTACCGAAGCATCGGAGGAACCGCGGCTGCCTGTGTTTCTGAGAACGCCTGCGCAACCGGAGGGGGTCCACAAAATCACTCCATGCGGCCTCCAAACGACCACGCCATGGGCTCCTGGACGCTGTGAGTCATCTATGGTTCCCTTAGCCTGTAAAGGGCGAGGGCTGGTTCCTAGAATCCATCTCCAGTAGGTTCCTAGAACCATACCGGACCATACCCTAGAAATCCAAAGACCCGGTAAAACCCATGTAGAACGTGTTCCTTCCGGTCCTCGTTTGTAGTCTTTTGTATGGCCAACTCCAACTCCTTGCGGTCTGGCTGACCCGCATGTTCCTGCAGGTCTTTGTCACCATCGATTTGGGCCTGCTGAACTTGATCTTGTCGGTGCGGCGGCGTTTCGGGGCTTTTCAGAGCAGAATTCAGAGAAGTGGCCTTCAGGGCCTTCAATGCAAGAGTCTTTTGATCGATTCTTTGGGATCCTTCCTATAGGAAGCCGTTTGGATCACGTGTTTGTGCCAGAACAAGCCATAAGATGTGGCAAGCCAGAACCCACGAAAGGTGGCTCCCCTGGTCCTTGGATGTCTTTCAGAGGCTTTTTGGGGGTTCAACTGCGTGGGGGGTCTTTGGCTTTTTGGGACCCTCCACTGGCTCCAAAGAGCCCTCAAATTGGATGTTTGACTCCTGCCAGCTGTGCCAGATGGCTGGACAATGGCCATTTGTGGCTCCCGTGTGGCCCCCTAGGGTTGACCCATGTTGATCCTTTTCTTTCTTCGAGGTTAGAGCCAGACAGCCAGCTTCGCCTCTGACCGTCGCTGCGTCAGGAGGTCAGTGACCCTCCATGACCCTCCACCCCAACCCGTCAGCACGTCGATACTGGAGGGCCAATGGCCACTCAGACCGCTCCATTTCGAACACCTCGTCGACCACTTGAGATTGTCGACCTCTTGACATGCCGCAGGTGATTGTGGATAAAGCACACCAAGCCCAGCAAGAGGACATCAAGTTCCAGCTCACTCAGCGCCAAGCGCAGTTCGAAGGTGCTAAGAGCTCCTCAGTTTGCAGACTTCCTTGGCGTTTCTTCACGCCGGCCCGGGCCGGACTTGGGCCGAGTGAGGACGAGGTCAGGACGAGGAACTCGGGCCCAGGAACTCGCGGGGGGGTGACTGGGTGCGGATTTCAGCTGGAAAAGGGATGGATCCGAAATTGAACCAAGGACTTCATCCTTTTTCAGCTGACTGGTGCGGGTTTCAGCGAACCAAGGACTTGATTGGACGTTGCCATGAACTGCTTCCCATCAAAGACGGGAAAGATGGGATCTGTTAGGAGGCCGAGAATTGACTATTGGAGGGTTTTGAGGAAACAACCTGACAGTGCTACAAGTTGGCGGTAAAGATGTGGATCCTCGCCATGGGATTGCAGTTGTTTCTTAGACCCTGGAAGTCAAAGACAATTTTAAGAAATGGTTGACCTGGCTTTGTAGTGTAAAACCTTTAGTTAGTAAAGCACTGGTTGTTCGATAAAGAATGATGCAGACCATAAACAAATGGTTGTTCGACTTCTATCGACTTCTAGTCCTGGGTAGGTAGGCTTATGCAAATCATCCAAAGCCACCTTCAACAAGCCATGTGACACTGTGGCCTTAGTTGAATAAGAACCTTCAAGATTCCGGTGGCTTCCAAAAATGCCTCCTAGACTCGATGGAGGTGCACAGACCAGCTCCTTGGGGATCGCGCCATTTACTCTGAAACCACTCTTTACATGACTGCGAAGAAAAACTGGGGACACCCGAAACGTGCTTTGGCTCATCAGGTGCCTTTTGTTCCCACCTGGTTCAATCCCCATACCTGGTGTTCAGATCTGCATTGATAGGGCTCCACGTGAGGGAGCCCACGTTCTCCAAGCTTCTCCCACCAAACATGGACCAGATCTGGTACTGCCGAGTTGGCTCCCGGGTGGTGACCCAAGTCGATCTTCAAGACAATCGCCCTTGGTTCGATGGAACAGCTGCGCATCGAATGGCCATACCCCAGACATGACCTCTGGTTTTGATAGGAAAAGACCATGTTTTGGCTCCAAGTTACAGGGGTTGACCTCAGGTTCTAGGTACTGTATATCATGTATCATGTATACATATCAGCGATGGCCAGTCTAGAGACAGGCGACATGGTGGCGTCTAGAGACAGGGCACTCTATCCCGAAAAAGGATCGATGGCAGGTGCTTTGGTATGGCACCCCATCTGTCTAGGACATCTTGGGGGTGCCAGTGCCATCTCTGAAATCAGTGTAGATGCAAGCATATGCTCATTCACATGACCGTAGTCGCATCGCAGCACGCTGCCAAGAAAATCTTCTCTCACTTTGTGAAGCCTTGGATGAAGACGCTTGGTGATGAAGAATGGGTCGTCCGTAGTTCTTCCTCAGTTGAAGCAGGTCCTTTCGTGTCGATATACCTGATTATGGCGGCTTGCAGGTGCCTAAAACGCCACTTCGAGGACAGCAATGTGTCTTCTATGTTCTGAAGTATTGCAATGCCTCACACGTCGCATCAGATGTGCCATAGGAAGTGCAGTTGACTTCGTTTACCGCATGTGCCACCAAGGACAGGAGTGGCTTCATTTCCCTCGATGAGTTGCTGGGTGAGCATCCGTTGCAGGATGAGCAGGATCTTACTCCACTTCATGAGACCTCCTATAAGATCCCTAGGGCTCCAAGTACCTCCGTTTCGAAGATGGGACAGGGGTGGGTGGTCTTGGGGGTCTGGGCCCACCGGTCACCTGAGGAGATGGGACAGGAGCCCTAGGGGATATACTATAATGGTCGTGATTACAGTTCTATAGGATGTTTGCTAAAGAAGTGCACACAAATCTCACGGTGCCATAGGCCTCCTTGCGGAACACCCTCCGCCTCAAGAAGCGAGCGTCGAACCCTCCGATGGAACATCGGCTCGTTGCCATTCCGACCTTCTCGCCGAGCAATGCATATCGCGCGATCGCGCCGCGCGACTGAGACCCGGTGTGTTTGTTCATGTCGAGGCGTGGCTCAAGCATGCTCAACCCACTCAGGTTGCTGAGTGGCTATGATCGCCTGCCGGAGTTTCAGGAACAAATGCGCCTGATGGATGTGGAACGGGAAGATATGCCCCTCGGCGGGTGTGTGTGTGTGTGTGTGTTTGGGTTCTTTGTGTGTGTATACACGATATGCGGCATGATTTGTTGGTTTGGACATGTTTGGACACTTGTTTGGACATCCTTTTGTTATCTTTTGTTTGAGATGTTTGAGAGGAAAAGCATGAGGTTCTTGGGAACAAAATGGACACCCATGAAGAGTTATCACCTGTGAATTGGGGGTCATGTTCTATTGCCGAGTGGCCCTAAAGTGCTTTTTGGTCGTGGCCGTCGAGCAGGGAGCGAAGACTTGTTTAGACAGTGCACACTGATAGCTACAGGATGCTAGAGGTCAGGATTGTAAGACTAAGAACAATTCATAGAACCCCTGAATCAACATGCAAGATCATCAATGACACTTGAATCTACCCACCAGACCAGCCTACAATAGCGCTTGCCTCGGTCTCTACAGTGAAATAGACCATGAGTCTTCCGAATCACAAACAGGTGGTGAACTCACTCCACTTTCATGTTACTTCCGGGGGAGTAAAAAGAAAACACCCCCCCAGCCCCCATCTCGGGTTCAGGAGAATCCGGCCATCGTGGGTGCGGCCCCGCGAAAAAAAAAATCCTTGGTTTCTAACCGAACTCATTTCGGTTCGACCATCCTCAGGAGGTACCTGGGATACAAGCCTAACTGCTTGCCTTTGGCACCCACTCATTTGTCCTAACTGCTTGCCGCTCAGGCAGTCCTTGTTTCGGGTTCTGGACGAAGACGGTTCTGGAGACATTGCATACCAGGAGTTTGTGGAGCAAGTGGTGAAGATGAGACGCTCGAGTCGATTCGACCGGCGTTCTTCGTCGGAGCCGCGACACGCTTCGCTGCTTCGCCGCGGGGACCTTCGCTTCGGTAGGACGAAGGTGCTTCGGAACGTGAGATGAGAAAGCCCGTCAACAGCCTCAGAGTACCGTCCATGATTTTCAATGATTCGATGTGTTTGTTTGAATTCTGTTGAAAAGCAGGAAGTCTTGGAAGATGAGTTTGAACCGATGATTTACAGCGGTTTCAAGCAGTAGATGGCGCAAGAGCCCCCAAGTTTGGGGATATGGACCTCCATTTGTCTAGGACATCTTGGGGTGCCAGTATCATCGAACCTTTGAAACCACTGCGCAGTGACATGCGAATGACCAAGTCATCCGGATGACCTTCTCCCGAGACGGACCGAGTGACTGGCACCCACTCGATGACGAAACTTAGATCCGCACAGTCAGTATTGGGCACGGTCTGATCGATCGTGGGTGTGCATTTCTATTAGGGGGACCCCCAAACAGTTGGTTTTTGTGTGTGTGTGTGTTTGTGTTGTTTCCCTTCTTCCAGGGGGTCGTTGCCTGGGAGGTCCCCCTATATTTGATATACACACACTCCTTTGAGTTGGATAGTTGGACACGGAAGACCCACCAGCTCCAACCCAGGGGTGTGCCCAGATGATCGACTAGCAAGAATTACTTTACCCCGACATGAAACCCAACGTTTTTGGGGTGAAAACCATGGGGGTTCCTGTAGAATTTCCCTCAAATCGATTCTGGGAGACATGGAACTGCTGTTCTGCGGTTCTTTTGAGAACTACTGCGCTACTGAAATCATCCCCTCACGCAAGTGAGCAATAGATTCAACTGGCCAACAGTCCAGATGCGAGGGCTTTGGGCCAGCACCATGTGTGGAGAAAAACTGCTGCTTGTCAGCTGAGGATCGCAAGACACTACGCTGAGCTTGCTTTTCCTCCGAAGTCAGATGAAAGATCTCAAACACTGTTTGCTTGATGTGCGCCTGGACCAAAGAACTTGGGTTTGCCTAGTTGGGGAAGGTTCTGTGGCAGAGCCCGATCAACCTTATTTGTCGATACCTCTTGTGTACCTTTTGAGGTAACAGAGGTTTTGGGTAAGGCCGCCTTCAATGCACAAGTGCACGAAGGCAGGACTTGCACTCTCCTCAGAACATGCAACCTATTTGCAAGCTGTTGTTTTCTGACTGGGTTCAGGGGTCAGCAAAAAACAAAGCTCTATACTTGGCCAATAACGGGATAGACGGAAGAACGGGACCAACTGATTGGTGTTCCCACTGTCGTTCGCAAAGCAATTTTGTGCAGTTTCATGTTATAGTGGATTGAGAGGACCAATAGCACAGATTCAATGTCGGTGGTTTATATGGACCCCCATCTGTCTGGGACATCATGGGGGAAACGTGCCATCTACTCTGAAACCACTGTAGGTCTTGGATCGACATTCCCAGCCCCACTTCGTTGAATCACAGTTTGCGGACTCAGACTTTATGGCACGGTCACAGATCAAGCCACTGCGAGATGCTCCCTTCAAACCCTTGAATCCTCCAAGAGTATCCCAAACTTGGGCTCCAGCCATATCCTCAAAAGGTGGTTAGACCCCCCTGGCACCCACCACAAGCACCGAACCTGGTGATGTGGGATAGGAGCCCAAACCGGAGTACTCTTGGAGCCCCGAACATGGGAGCCGAACAGATCCATACAGATCCACACCTTCATTGCCGAACAGTTCCGCACGAAGAAGCGGCTCCGTGGGTCTAGATGAAAAAGGGTACGTGTAAACCCTAGACTTCCAAGACCATTGAAAACATGGTTGACCTGGTTTTTGTAGTGTAACATCCTTAGTTGATTCGGTAAAGCATGGTAAAGCCTATTAAATTAATGGTTGTTGGAAGCCTAGGGTAAAAGGTTGATAAAGGGTACGTGTAACAGGGTACGTGTTTTTCACCATTCTCCACGGATGAAAAAGGGAGCCTTCACCTTGATGGCACGTCCCATGTACTTGAGGTACGGTCCGAGAGCTCCAGGTCCAGGGTACTTGGTCTGTCAGACCGATCGATCGAAACCGGTGACCGCCTTCAACTCTTTCGGTCTGTCATGCCTAGTCCCAGTCAGGAGTTCAGTCCATCAGCTGCAGGTCACCTTCACTTTGCTGCACCCGCGGCTTCCAACCACCATTTATTTAATAGGCTTTACCGAATCAACTAAGGATGTTACACTACAAAAACCAGGTCAACCATGTTTTTAATGGTCTTGGAAGTCTAGGGTGCAGATGGGTTTGCTTTCAGAGGTCAACAGGTGGAAAAGGCTTTCATTTTCCAAGCACCAGTGGGTCTCGGGAGTCAGCCGCCGTTTGGGTTGCCACTCGTCACTTGGGTCGTGCTTAGGATGGAGAACCTGGGCGGCTTGCGTAAGGACTACACCACCGCCTCGATGTCCTTGGCGGGCTTTGGGGACGCGGCTGCTGCGCCAGAGGACGGCGGGCGGTCAGTGACCGACGGTGTCCCCAGCACGATACGGATCAGTGGATCAAGCAAGGGAGGTGAAGTGACCGGGACCATAGGACCCGTAACCTGGCGTGCCTATGGGATGGTCTATAGGGTCCTTCAACCTCTGTTGGAAGTCTGGAGCTTGGTTGAGTCAGTTGCAGTTTGGTGATCCTGGTTCAGTGGTGAAAGTCGATCAAAGCTGCAGATTTGTTGGAAGAAAAGTGGACACTAAGATCGTCTAAGATCCAACACTTGAAGACCCTGAAAGGGTGTAGTTACTCATAGTTACTCATAAGTCCTTTGAATCTTTTGGTTTAGAAGGGAGTCAGTTTGTTTTACCCACTAAAGGCTAAACAAAGGACATGGAGAGCTGTTCGAAGGTGGACAAAAAGTAAACCTTTATTTTCCAGGCAAACTGACTGGCTCGTGGATCAGGTGTTCACACATTGTCGGGGTTTTCCAAGGGAACGTCACGGAAACCAAAAAGGCTTTCAGAAGTGATCAGATCATTCTCAAACAACTTCTGGAACAACTTGCTGTAATTACTGGTTAAATTATGTTAAGTTTAATTTCCCCTTGCAAAGCGAAGTAGATCACCTCCAAGAGCAGGGGTATGTGTGCACTCTCTGTTTATTTTTTTCTTTTCTTACTTGGATGGTTTCGAAGAGTAATACATGTTGCATCAATTTTGCTAACCATGCTAACCATGGCAGGTACGGTGCCTTGCATGGTGGCCATCATCAGCATTGCAGCACCTGAGTTTGGCCATTTGTTGCATCACGTCGCCCTCCACGAACACAAAGGAAACAGCACAGTACATATGACAATATGTAAAAACACGACAAAACCAACCATGAATTCATGAATCACACACACGCACACGGAACAAAAAGAAAAAGATCGCCGCCCCACCCCTTTTCCCAACAAAACTGAATAAAAAACGCCGTTGCATCCACCGACTTCTTTGCTTCGATGTCCACAGGAGGGGCCTCCCGGGAGCCGTCGCAAGCGCGAGCAAAAGTCCATCGGCACGCAGACCGACGGCGCCATGCTCGTGCGCGAGGCGTGTGGGGGGCGTTTGGCTTAAATGGGGGAGAAAGATCACAAACACAAAAAACATGCTATAGCTTTAAAAGAACTAAACATTCCAATGAAATACACCTTAGACAATTCACATGATTCACACATATTCACATGATTATGTTTTCCGCAGAAGTTAGGGAAGTGATATTCACAGGTGTTTTTTCGCCGCAGAAGTTGTGGAGTGTAAGGTTGACTGTTGATAGATATCAAAGGCCCTGTTGTTGTAAGGACCTGTCTGGGACTGACATATTTACTTACATTTGGGTGGTTGAAAAGGGGTCAATGTAAGTACTGTAGGGGTCCAAGATGTTCCAGTCGTACCTTCTCACAAGGATGGAGGCACTGTTACATGGGTTTGGAGGGTCGAGGGCCTCTTCTGAGGTTCGGTACGACTGGATCCCTAGGGGTAAATATTCCAGTCCCATGGAGTGTGTGGGTACGGCTAAGAAGGTTCTAGGTCAGTGAACTGACTGGCAATGGCCTTGGCTGCCTTGGGTGCAATCGAGTCTAGACGCCTTTGGTGTTGACCTACTCCTGCGCATGGTTGGGACATGCTATGCCCTAAGATTCCATGTATCAACTGTGACTGTGACTGTTTACCTAGATTGGGGTGGTTTTCAGATTTTTTAGGGGTCCATGTAGGTAAATCTTCCAGTCCCATGGATGGTAGGTCACCCTCTTGGAATCCGCCCAGGAGGCTCCCGTGGAGGATACGGATGGCACCCACAGTTGGACGGCTCAGGTTCAAAGCCTCAAGCTGCTTGGGAGATGTTCTCAAAGTGGAAGATTTGCAGGGGACACGGCCGCCCAGATCTTTCATGTTCACTGTGCCATCCCCTAGCTAGTGGCCATTTGGGAGCCAAAAAACAAACAAACACATGAAGTGTCAGTTGACATCCTCCAAAAGCGTGTTTGGGTTTCGGTTGTACTTTGCAGGGGTTCAGGTCACTGAACGTCCCCAGGGGGGTTGAACGGCAGATGCTGGGGTCGGCGACGTCCGATCCACAGCATTCAGCCGTAGCTTCCTGCAGCCTCGACTTGTTTACATTTGCTTGACTTACAAGCCCTAGGGATCCAGTCGTACCTTCTCAGGTACGGTGATTGGAGACACTCTTATGTGGGTTTTGAGGGTCCAAGTACCTTCTGAGGAGGTACTTGGATCCCTAGGGAAGAAAGAACTGAACCACTGCGGATGCTAGAGCTTCAATCTGAATGCTTTGAACTGTAAGTTCATTCAAGTGTCAAGTGCACAAATGGCACATTGCCAGAAAAACCAGCTACCAGGCAGCAGTGCTCCGCGTGCATCTAAAATCGTAGTCAAAGAACCTAAGAGCAGCAATCGTTTTTCCGGGGAACCAAAAGAGGATGTTCTTTGGGACTTCCTTGAGGTCCTCTACAGGAACAGCAGACGCCTCCATTGTGTCATCGGTCGGACACAGCGGACGCACTGAGGACGGCTATCCTCCAGCTGGAACGCATGGCTCCCCCAGAGAGGCCTGAGCCCTCGCTTCAGGATCCCTCGCAGCGGAGTCCCTCGCAGCGGCTGCCGATGGATCTGGCAGCACGCGCGCGGCCCGCGGACGAACCAAGCTTCTTGGAGCGAGCAGTCTTTATACTTGGTTTTGCTTCATGTCGTAGGCTGTTTTGATTACAATCTAAAACTCAAAATCAAGAGGTTTTTCGATCCAAATGCGGGTTATGAATGAAGAGTCCACATAAGGGCCCGGGTGCCTGGGTGGTGTGTATTTTCCCGAACTTGGTGAATGCCCTTCTGGGGGAAGATGTATTTTCCTGGCTCCGGCTCCGGGACAGCCAATACAGGTGCCAAGCTGCTATACCCTAGGGCTCCAAGTGCCTCCTCAGAAGGTATTTGGACCCTGTAAACCCACCCCAAACACCTTCTCAGAAGGTACTTGGAGCCCTATTGAATTGGTTCTTGGACATGGTGGACAAGACGGTGGAGCACCAACCCCAAACAGATTCACTTTGATCTAATCAGGAGGCTGAAGAAACACACTTTTTTTCCCCCTGGGAAACCAAGCAACCAGAAGTACCTTCTCAGCGCAGAACAATTGGATGTGTTCCCCAAACAGTTAAACCAGCATTAAACAGCCATTTCCTAAGGACCAGGATTTCAAGCTGGCGCCATATTGGAACCAACCACTTGTTTCTGGTGCCTTTGGGTTTTCCAGGTGGTGCCGGACGGATTTCATCCAACGCAAGGGTCACCATGCGTTCGTCACCTGGATTCACCTGGCCGCCCCCACGCACGCCTGGCCGAGGCCCTTTCGGTTTCAGCCAGCGTTGTTGTGAGCCTCGGGCTCCGTCCGCGCCGCCGGAGCGCGTGAGACACAGCCGGGTTTGAGGCGTGGCCCACAGAACACAGGTCCGCAGGTCCGCAGGTCCGGAAAGAAGATTCACTAGGTAACTAGGTATACTATTGCCAGTTCATACACCTTAACCTCGAAAAGTCCACCAGTTCTTCGACCTCACATCATTTGGCTGTATTGATGCGTTGAAGTCCAAAAGGTGCATGCAGAAATAGAGAGAATCAGGGCAGAGTGGGCGGGACTCAGTTGACGCTACCAAACCTGGTTGGTCGCCCTTCGGCACCTGTCGAGCCAATGAAATCTCCGAACATGCTCGATCGGCACGCGTCGTGCCGCGCCGCTGAACATAGCTTAGACCGTGAACCTAATGGTTGGCGGCCCAGACTGCCGAACCCCGAAAGCAGAGCAAGAGTCCTGAAAACCCAAGCACAGCTCAAGTTGCTCGTCGCCGCAAAAAAGCAGAGTCAACACCGATGAGGCTACTTTTTAGCAAGACAGCCAGACCATGTCCTTTTTGGTGGAGCTTCGTGGATGTTTTTGGGGCTTGGGCCGTTCTGCAGAGTGAATCAAAGTGTTTACCGGAGCGCAGTGAGTTGCACCTGAGAAAAACATAAAGACAAGGTGACAAAACAAAACACACCGATTCCCAGATCAGTCCCTATGGAGGCTTTACAATCTAGAAGTCTATTTTTGTAGATCAACAGTCAACACTCACCAGTGATCAGATGGTGATTACATCAACCCCAGCCCTGTTGTCCTACAGCTCTCGACAAGGATCCCAGCTGTCCTTCAAGGGGACAAGGGCACTAGTCCTTTCGAGCAAATCGGGTCCAACAATTGTTTCCGAGTGCCCCTGAATGTTTCAGCGTGGTTTATCTTTTGTTTGTTTATTTCGACACTTTGAGAGAGACATTGACCACTTTTAGGTGGAACGATCAGCTTCCCTCGAAGAATCATGGGAGTGGAAAGAGACCTGTGAACTAGGGGAAAACGGCAAAAGGATTCTTTCTACACTTCCCTAGGGATCCGGTCGTACCGAACCTCAGGTTCGGTACGACTGGACCCTTCCTGGCTATGGAACACAGCACCGGACCGGTACGACTGGGTCCCTAGGGCTTCCGAAAGGATCCCGAGGGCTTCCAAACGGATCCGATGGATAAGGTCCAGGATCGCTCTCTCTCTCTCTCTCTTAACCAGACTCACTCCCAGACACGGCACCCTCTGTCGGCCTATTCAAGCGACCTATGGCATGCCTGGCGACCGAATCGGCCGAATCGGCCGAAGAACAGTGTAGCCACCCCCCACAAAGCAACGATAGACACATTGCAAACACATGGCATTTGGAGCCAAGTCAGTCTATGTCATTTTCAAGTGACACATGATTAATCATGATTATGCATGTATATTAGACGTATGCAGTACAATCAAATAGTATAGGTGGAGTATACTCAGTACTCAGAGGCTTCGGTGAGCATTTTCTGCAACAGAGCAGCATAATTTTATGATTTGGATCAAATCCCTTTGCCTGGATTTGGTGAATCGCAGGTCGGTGCGGCACCTCAAGTGATCCGATTTCCGCAACTGATGCGTGGACATGGACCCTTGGATGACGATTTTGCTCATACCAACTGGGGTGGTTTCCACCACCTTCCTCGGTGGAATGGGTCGGATGTGTAATGATCGATCGACCCGACGTGGGCAGCTGACCGCAAGATCCAGCTTGGGGATCGGGTCACGAACTGAAGAACCAGGAGGTTTGATGATTCCCAGACACGACACATGGGACTGCCATATATACATTGACATCCCAAAACCACCCCTGGCCGTTTCTCGGCAGTCCTATGGCATATGAAGAAAGGACTGACTGGAGCAGCTCGTGAAGAACGAAAAGGATGGACACCTGAGACCCCAGCAATTTGTTTGCGGTTCTGGGCTATGGACTAGACCCAGGGGGGCCAGGGGTGTCTAATTTTGGGTAAAGGGGATTTAAGGGGTATCCAGTAACCACCCCTTAGGGGACCCTGGAAGAAAAATGATTGATTATGATTGATCTGGTTTTGTAGTGTAACATCCTCAGTCAAACGATAGTTGTTCGAGGCAAAAAATGGTGGCGAAACGAATCCTAGGGATCAGCGAAACAGCCAGGCTCTTTCGTACGGAGCCATTCGCATGCCGACCTGGGCGCGATCCCACCTAGTACTCCTTGCAATCCACTGCAAGCCACTTGGGCATGTCTCGAGGTTTTAGAGGCTCGAAGCAAGCGAAGCAACGAAACACTGGAGATCACCAGCCAAAACCCTTGAGACATCCCAATTCTTCCGAATCTCAGTCTCAATGAGCTCCTGCCTTGCGAAAATAAAGCGCCGGAAACGGCTCATCCAAACGGCGGCGTGTTCTGCGAACGCAGTGTACTGCGCTGTGCGCCGACACGGCGTGCGTTCGCGGCCCTGCGTGGGCATTTCTGGTGCTGATGAGAGGAGCTCATTAGGGTGCCCTGCGACCTGGGGCAGCGTGAGCGTCAAGATTTGTGGATGGGGTAATGGACAAAACCCCAGACACGACCTGTTTGGGACTGACAGCCATGGGCCGACCTTAGGGTTCTTTCTTTCATGGGATCATTTGCAGGATTTTGCAGGTATGTACAGACATGGAGCGCATGAAGAATCCCAGACACTCCATGGGACTGTCATATATGCCTGCCGATCAGTTGGGGTGGTTTTGGGGGTCAATGTAGGCATATATATGGAATGCATGAATCATGGACAATGGTGGTAGGAACTGGTAGAAACATATTATGTAGACTGTTGATTCATGAATCCCTCCAATTTGGTGATGTACTGTGACCAGACCACGAGAGGGGGCCCCTTCCCTGCCACCTGTGCTAGGGGCGCTCTCTTCAGCAAGTAAAATTATCGCCATTCCGCTAGTCTCACTGGTGCTTAGTAGGGAATGAGGGAATGACCTCCAAATAGAGATTCCATTCCTTAGGCTCCATTCCCATATATAGACCCCAACTAGATAGAAAAGTAGATCCCCACTAAAACATGTAATATTGGAAATCGTTTCTACCGCACCAGGCAGTATAGTGGGGTTTTATGAATCAATCGTGTACACCAACCTTGGCGCAGGTTCCTTCACTTTGCCGGTCGACACTTGTTCAATCGTGCGCACTTGCTCGATGTTCGTCAACTTGTTTATTTTTGTTTAGGTGCCATCTCTTCAACCTGTCAACCCCCCATAGTTGTCCCGGCATAATCAAAAGTTTGCATGATTATGGACGTTTCCACTCCGGCACTAAGCCGCCCATCAAGCCGAAAACCGAAACACACCATCGAGTTGGCCGAAGTGGCCGGGGCCTTGGTCCACACCATCAACCAGTGACTGTCACGTACTCTTCTTTGAGATGCCGGCCTGCAAACTAGCCATCATCCATGGGAAGTCAAGCAGCTGGCCCGGGTCTCAAACTGCACGGAAGTTTGTTTGATTCGCTGAAAATCTCTACATTTTTTATAGGTGGTTCTCCAAGTGCCGTGTGCCGGAAATGCATCAAAAGCACCTGCAGGACTTGAACCACAGCAACGAGGTGGAATCCAACCCAAGCAGCCCACGTTAAACCTTGCTCGTGGAGCCACCTGAGTCACCTTCCAGCCCAACCTGCTTCCCATATGTTCCACTCAAATGCAGACTGTCTCACAAGCCTGACTGAAGTGATGACTCGACCAAGAGGGGTAGATCGTTTACAAGTAAACCATGGTGTGGTATGGTGTTGCTTGAAAACGGCCGTTGCACTCTTTGGCCCCAAGAAGTGCTTCATGGAGTTTCATTATTTGAGTTTGATCATGATTGATGAAGCATTTGATGGAGACTCTGGTGATGTTTTGATCATGTCAGGCAGTTGATCCCTGCTCTACTGACCAGTTCTGGGATTCCTGAGGTATATAACATTGCAACGTTCCAGACAGCTCACCATAGTTATGTTCCATTCGGTGAGATTCTTGAACATTACAAGAACGTTCGTCAATGGACACCCGGAAGAATCCACTTAGCCCTTTCGATGGCGTGTCCGGATTCTGGAACTCTGGTCACTTACGACCACTTAGGGAGGGAGTTCGAGGGCCTTCCCTGTACCTTAGGACGGGACGCAACAGATATTACAGGGGCAGGAAACCCACAGATTTGTACAGTGGCCCTATCTATGTAAGATTAATGTAAGATCACTTTGCAGTATATTTGTTTCATCCGCTGGTCAGGCTGGTCCCTTTGAAATGTTGTGTTTTGGAATTAAATTCTATGCGTTGAAGGACCTTTGTGGGGCATGATGGCCTTGAGTCTGAATGACACTGAATGTATACATCATGTTCATGGCGAACCTGGCCTTGTTATACTGCTCGAACCTCCTTGGACTTGGACGATTTAAGGTTTGGCTTGTTCCCCCCCCACACAAACGTTTGACATGTAGAAACTCTACTCTACCACTGGATGAACAACCTTCGTCGAGATTTGTTGGGAGCTGAGTGGGTCATGATGGTGCACCGGTCCATGTCGTACAGGATCACAAAGTCATTTTTTGTGGGTCAGCTCCACATCCCAGAAGCTACTCCCTGACTACATTGGTACATATGCATATATATATATATATATACATGGTTGCCAGTTTAAACATGCTTTCACGTGGTTCAGTGATTGATTGTATAATCGCCAGTGCTCTTTCGGGTTGCGACGACCAGTCTGGTATTTGGAGACCGCCCCGCTCTTAGAACAAGCACTTCTGTGTTGACCCATGTTCGAGAGGCCGAAGGCACTTTCGCAGAGCGGAGACGTCCAGGACATTGATCAGAAAAAACAACTTTGAGCTCTAATCCACATCCTCAAAGAATTGAAGAAAGTTCAGCTTTTGTCAACTCACCCCCTGGGATTTTTAGGAGGTCCTCTCTCCAATCGGAGACATCAGGAGTTTGGTCTTTTAGTTGGCGACCACAGCGGCTTGCTGTGGGGCGCGCAAGGATCCGAGGCGTGCTGGTTTCCAAAAAGCGCGCGCAGATCGCCGCG